AATTGATTTTGAATAAAAACGTTGATTCAACTTTTTGTGCATCGAGTTGTGCCGTTATCTTGTCTAACACATTGACTCCATTCATTACTAAGGCTATATTTCAATAGACAACTTTGAACGTTTCTAACAAGCAACGCATTAAAATGCGAATACTTGAAATAAACTGACATCTGATTCCTGATTCTTGTCTGCCAAATGACTATACCGTACCCAGTAATGCATGGTTGGAACGAAATGATACAACTAAAAGTACTTCAAAACAAGTAATTATGAATTGAATCAAATACAGTTTGACATATTTATATCTGAACAAACAACTAGTTAATATCAAAATATATAAACTAGTAGTAACATATTCGTGGCGCTGCAAAGGTATAATGCGATTCATCGCTTGAGTAGATTCGCGAAGCTATCTAGGATGAGATGATCAACGAAAACGTATCCATTATCGCAAATAGAGTGCAAGTATCGCGGAGGAATAATTGGACACTCAAACACTACCAAGTTTTTCTCAAACCAAGTCCTCAGCTCCCTAGTCCTCGGTATCCTTAGTAATAACACTAATACTAGTACTATATGGAAAATAGTTTTTCTCGGGATAAGGACTAACTCGTTCGATAAATTCAGTATAATCTCTAAAAACTTCAAAACAAGAGATCAACCATAGAGGACATTTCAATAAGCGGATAAAAAAGAATTGCATCTCGATGAGATATTCAACTAGTAGTCAACCAATAACCAACTCTAACACAAAAAGCCATTTTAAATAAGCAGTATCAAGAAATATCTTACTTTCTTTCCAATGAACAGTAAATCATTAAATTCAGTATACAATTCAAGTAACATAAAACAGTAACCAGTTTCTTGTCACGCCGATAAAGAAGAAATAAAAGTGACTTTCTCTTCCTGTTGAGATTTAACTAGAAGTGGTAACATTTAGAGTAATCTAAAGCAAGTGACTATTACTTCCTTCAATACGGCTGTAACCAGAATTGTTTCGGATATCACTCTGAAATTAGATTCAAACTCAACTCATCAACAGAAACAAGGTATTGGTACGGCATAAATACATTGTCATTTATGACTTGAATCAATTGTGGTAATAGTCCAAAATTAAGAGGCAATGAAAACCACCAAAGGTTGTAAAAAAAGTTCAAGCAACAAAGGATACAATAAAAGTCCTGAAATTAGAACATGACTATCAATTTATGTTTTGCTGCTACTTGTGTAAAAATCACAGAATTGATTCTGCTTTTTGTGAGGATCAACCTCAAAATCTATAAATCATATGTCTCATATTTTAACCCTGTGAAGCCAGGGAAGTATTGATTTACTTCTTTTCCTTGAAGATCTTTCAACTAACCTTTCTATATTATTCAATCGAAAAGTATATACTATGTAAAACATAAATCTGTCTTTTATAACAATTCATATGAATAAGGGAAAACAACCAGTAGGTCGTACTAGGAAGAGTTCAATTTCTATTCCCAATAGATAGTTTGTAGAGAACTTTGACTGCAATCTTGTCGCTTCTTTCTTTGAATTTACATCATCCCGCAGTCTTTGAATCCTACTTTCTATCATCTTCATCCCTTTTCTTGTACAATGAGCATTCCACTGTATTTAGAACATATTACAACTCTAAAAAACAAGATCTTCACCATTCTACAATCACACCGATAAAGAAGAGAAAAAACGAGATAGAGATATTATCTTATCCTTATCAACTAGATGACTACTCCATATGAAGCTGGTCTTAGGGTCGAAAAAGTAAGATGGAAACGTTCTGAAGCACAAATACCCAAAAGATGTAGTTTCAACATAAGAACAATACAATATGATCAGATAAATCAGTAGTAGATTCTAGATCACAGAAAACAGTATGTTGTACACTTTCATGATACTGCAAATTCACTTGTCAAAGATTAATTGATTCAACTGACGAAACTATCTCGAATTGATCACTTGGACTATCAATTGCCCACCCCTCCGAAGGCAACACAACTATCAAGGGACAAAAAGATGCTATGTGATCGAGATTTCCAATGAAAAAAGCTTCTGAAAAGGTTGTACGTCGACGTTTTCGGAAAAGAAATGACCACTAGTTGCTTCATCATACTATCATGAGATAACAAACAAGTTCGTTTCAAGAATCAAAAGATGAAGATTTTTCTCAAACAGAAACAAGAAAATCGAAAATCGACCAGTAAAGCAACTAGATACCCTATTTGTTGTTCAAAATCAGGACCGTATGTAGTTCTACTGATAGTAAGGTACAGAAATAGTCGCAAGTGTGCAAATAATGCCCTTTTATTTTGTAAAGTCAACAATACAATTTTCCTTTATAATAAAAAATAGGTCAAATTCGTACTTTTATGACAAAAACTATTATTAATATTCCATATACCACTAACCAATAAACTATGGCTTTCTCTTGTTGTCGTTGTTGCTGTCATTTTACAATTCCAAGTAAATAAAACAATGACAATTCTCCGCTCATGCCAACAACGAAGAAAAAAGTAAAAGATAGAAACACAAATCATTCTCTTTGTAGAATTGATGACTATGCCATACTGCACTAGGCTCGGGCTCATATTTGTTGTTGTTGCTGTGCTGGATTGTAAAGTCAAGTAGCGAACGAATGGATTGATGCAGCTGCGATAATAGAAAAATGCTTTATGGTTCGTGCCAATGAGCAAACTACTTTGTTCGTCTGCGTATGCTTTCTAGGAATTATATACCAAAAGTTGGACTTTATCTTCAGAGTCAAACCAAAACTCTAGTCGGACACAATGACATCAATGTGTGCACTCGTGTAATATTGTAGAAGCTCAACCAATCCTTCATGAATGTCTTTCAGAAATACTTTGTATACTATCCAAACGCAACCTGTTTGCACAAAATGTTGTGTCTCCTTTTCACTTTTTGACAGCTACAACTACCACTACTTTCAACAGAATGACCTTCAGTGTGTTGGGAAAAAAACAAATCAGCAGCACTCTTGACACGGCAAATACTGTTATACACAAGTCGCCTTGTTTCCCATTCAAACAGTACTACTACTGTTACCCTCCTATCCAACTATATAAGGACCAAAGACGATTTGCAATAGATGCCTTTCAGAAACACCATCAATACTAGTTCCAACTTTATCACTCTTACGACTTACATATCCTTTTAGACATATTTCACCCTCGGTAGAACCATTAATTCATAAAAACAAAGCGTTTTTCGAAAACGGACTAATAGCTACAGTCGCCATCGTCACAACTCTTTACCCAGGTGAACACAACCAAGATTTTTCAACAGTGTCCTTTTGCTTGCTTTATTTCATGGTTCCCAACAAAGTGAGTATACTTTGAACTGAAAACTTTTCCCGTGCTTTCAAAATACAAGTTTATTCAGCTTTCGTTATCTAAAGCCCCACATCCATAATATTTCAAAAGACATACTCGAATCAATAGAGAATTGATATAAAAGCACAACAATACAAACAACCATTAAAAATATGCAATGATGGACTCAAGACTTTCCTATGCTATCCTGAGAAATGCCTGTTGCAGAGTTACAGACCGAGTACTACATCTTAAAAAGAGTCACATAAAAGACAAGAAAACTATCATACGGAAAGTAACTCTGTGAACTGACCAAAACACTCAACTAAGTGTCTGTCTAACTGGTTTCTTGAAAAACATCTTTGAAATATTAACCCAAAGACTGATTCTCAATAATCGACTACAAGACTAGACTGTCAACTGCTAATAAATACGCAAAAATGCCCTGTAACAATTATAAGTAAATCTAAATGAACTTGCGAGACAACTAATTGGGTAATGGAGTGAAACTCAACAACAGCTTAAACTCCTTTGTCTTTGCTCTTTTCTTGACAATACAGCTCACAACTTTCCATACAAGACCAAAAAAGACATAACAACAAGTCTTGCATAAAGTATGTAAAAGTCAAAGAGATAGCCAATGTTGTACAAATCAAAAAGATACTACAGTCTATTCGGAACTCAGAGCTCAAGGCGACTCGACGGATTATTATAAAAGAATGGACTGCAAGGCTTAAAAAAGAAACGTAGATAATAGAAATCCACTTGTCCAACTAAAACAAAGAACGAGTTGGAAATTAAAGTCGGAAAAGTTTCAGAAGTAAACTTGAGCCAAGTTCAAAGCGTTGACAACACTGGCCCTTCTTAAACTATTGTATAATTTCCAGTCGAATTGATGACGAGAAGAATCGCTATGTATAGTCTCATTTCTACTGGAGGTGTTGTATCTTGCATGGCTAGTGAGTTTTATGAAAGAAAATAAACTTGGAGGCTTGGAAAAAGCTACTGGAACAATAAATGTGCTGGATACAACCAATCTCACACCATAGTAACGTTGTGAAAGGAGAAAAATAGTGTTGTAACAAAGTTCCTGTTCAACTTACTATCGACACTGTACCTTTTAACAGAGTTGAGTTTGACAAAACTTGTCTGTAAGGTGAATTTCAGACTTCCTGTGAACCTCTATTGATAACAAATCAAAAACGGGTTTTGCTGTCACCAGTTTTCGACTCGTTCTCGATCTCAGAATCTTCCTTTGTTAGCCTCTCAAAGCCTTGGAAAACTGCTTCACAATGTGTAAAATGGTCGTTTTCCAGTTTCAGTGGAAATAATTCTGTTGGCTTTCTGTGTAAGAAATGTAGCCTTTCTTTCTGTGCAAAATAGGCTCAAGGAATGGTCTTTATGCCACTGTGAACTGCAAAGAAGAAATAATCATATACTCAACCGTAGAATTGGAAAGTATAGAGAGGACAAGGCTACAACAAAAAACTGACCAAAGGTTTCGAATACTTTTGTCTATGTACAAATACATAAACTATTTACGACAAGGAGGATCGAGCCTCAAAAGTTACAAGGGTCTCGGTTTGATCTCTACATAAAGAACTTCTAGAGAGTTTTGACTGGTATAAGAGTAAAAGTGGTGGTGCTTTTACTTCTCCTTACACGTACATTTCAAGATTCACCTTTCTTTATTACTTTGCAAAGAGGAAATGTGAGACTCTTGTCTTTCTACTATTTCTACATTTATATTCTTTTTTCACTTTTTTCACTAGTGCACGAAGTTTGTCTTCAACCACCATACAATTTGATGAGATTGATTGACTCAGCAAAAAAAATTGCTTGCGGGTTGAAAGCAACATATTATTCTTTGTAGAGCAACTTGGATAAAGCGTTTCACTTCTGTTTCACGTTTGACTCGTCTCTTGTGCAAATGAGCATTTTTGGCATTGATATTTCCGTTTGTTATACACAAAACGTTGAGTCGTCTTTGATTCTCGTTAGAAATATCCAAAAAGAAGCCTCCACCAGTGTGCCCATAAGGTTATATTTGGCAAGAGTCTTATGCATAGTGTCTAACGCGAGTAACTTTTTTACATTGACTCACTTATTCAACGAGCTGATGGATGAGATTGGAACAAGAGTAGGAGTCAACTGGAGCTGAACAAATCGGTACTTGAATTTGCAGAGCTTTTAAAAGTTTTACCTTTCTTTGTATTGGAAGAGATAAAAGGGTTCTTGGACCTATCTAGGTCCTAAAGCAGCTTTGTAGTTTTTATAGTTTGCTTTCTTATATTTTCATGGTTTGTGGTTCTTACAAAGTTTATCGTAAAGGAGGATGCAGCAAAAGACTTTAAACCTAAACAGTCACGTTTACCTTCAAAAACACCTCAACTATATAGTCGACTACTTAGGAGAGAGAATTCAACTATATTTCAAATGCTATGATGAGAAACGAGAAGAGAGTCGATATGACGGACTCAATTTGACTGAATTGAATTTTTTGAAGATAAGTTTTCTCTTGACAGAATCCACAGTATCAAGTATCACAACTGTCTGTAAGTATTTTCAAAGAAAGAGACCGAATTCTTTGACTCTATTACAGAAATTGGGTATGGATGATACACTTGTATGAGTCAACGTTTTTTTGACATTAGAAACAGACAACGTTTCTGAGTTCTGATAAAACCATGCGATATTTTTGATTCTTCTTTTTGCACATTCTATTTGGTTTGTCTTTTGCTATTATCAACTTCTGAGCTTTAGCGATAAGCTGCTACTTGTTATGATTGTAAGAAAGGAATTTGATGATTGCTGAGACTAAATGAATGCTGTGCTTGCGTGTTTCTGCATTTCTACTAAATAATACTATTTCAACTAGTGCCCTTGAGTAGACTGCACAAGAGAATGACTTTGTTACTACACTAGTTTAATGTTTCGAGTATTTGGGACGATGTCTTTGAACAAATTTTACAACTAAAAGCTTTTCGTTGAAAGGCAATTTCTGGTGTCAATGTTGCAAGATTGCAGACCTGCAATGATTCAACATGAATAGACTTTACGTCCATATACGTTGAACGTCACTAAAATGCTTGTCTTCAGAAAGTTTGAAAAGGAAGAATAGATGAAGCTTGTTCTCTGCAATAGTTTCAAAATAGTTAAAAAGCGCTTTTCTTCAATGATCTAGTTCTGAGTTTCAAAGGTAACCCTACTATCAGGTTTTCTCTTTGTTGATTCTTCTTCTTCCAATGCTATACACTACCTCCTGTTAAATGCTGTCCTTTATACTCATTCTTGGATAGGTATGGTATCAGATAGGATTGGTGCCGTATTTTAGCTGAGAACTGAACTATGGACTAGCACTGTCACTTTGTAATATGGTTGGGTTATTTCGTAATTTTAACTACATATGAAGCTCTTGAAATACTATCAATAATCGCTCTAAGCCAGCATGGAATTTTTGGTGAGACTCACTATGGTTTCAACTCAGCCTGCAACGAAGATCGACGCTTCTCCCAATTCCGAATAACTATGCTAAGTTGTAAGGCACTCATCACTTAATTTGTCTAACCCACTTAATACTCATGTGACAGCTGTATATTACACCATCAGAGGTAAGAATTCAGATCATTCATTATTTTATTATCTCTTAAAGACTTGCCATAAGAACTTCGAAGCAACAGTTGGATTGGCTCAGATAGAGAAGCCATTTGAATTTTCTCACTTTGTTGGAAAGACATATTTACTAGATAACGATTGTACGCTATGAAGTTTACAAATTAGAGTTACGGAAGCAAATTGCATTTAAACTTTCAGCATTTCCTTGTTTCACTTGAAACGCGAACAAGTTCATATCGTCGATTCTTCGAAACACTGAGAAACTACTTGCTACTTATACACAGCGTTCTTGAAACTTCTACTTGTCGCCAGACAGAGCACCAAGTCGTCTTTCTAAAATCAGAAACACTGGTTGAGAAAATTAAAGTTTGTATACTGCTGATATATCAGTCCTTTAAACTTTTAAGGGCTGTTGAAAGCAAGAAAGAGGGGCACAAATATTCATTAAGAGCGTTTGGAAATATATTCTAGAATAGCTGCGCAAATTATTCAAAAGAAACCGGCGGATTTTGAGTGGAGTTGTTCGTCTGAAACAGAAAACCTCTCTCGCAACTACAGAATTACACCACCTCATACATAACCGAAGGTTTTCTGTGCACTTGGCAGAAAATCAATAAACTATATAACTGCAGAACTCTTTCCCGTAAACTTTCGGAATAAGAAATAAGTGTAGTAAAGTAATACTTTAAGAAAGCAGTTAGGCACTGTTCTCCACGAAGGTCATCTGACAAAAAAGGACAATCTTGAGCTCTAAAGAAATTTAAAGAAAGCTTCCTCTCTATATAGACTTGAGGAAATTAAAGCCAACTAACCCTGTTGGAATAAATTCCAATTGAGGAATATATTACTTATCAATGAAGTTGCATACTTGGCTAAGCTAAACTACAGAGTGGAATGTTATTCAGCCTCAAGGAACACCATAGCATCTCGAATAGCAGAAGCAATACAGATATTCTTTTCCTTCATAACAAATATATAACACTTTTAAGAGGAGAAACATTCAAAGAATCGTAGTCAGTTGTCTTGAAATTGAGCATCTACGCTAGAATACCTGCATTCAAACAAAAAAGTAAAGTTTTCAAGTAGAGTGAAGCTATTGAAGAGAGATCATCAAAAATTCTTCAACCTTGCAACAGTGTTTCCGATATACTAGGGGAATTCTACAATACCTCGAAAACAAGGCCGAAGGTACAGATTTATGCTCTTCCCCAAACCATTTGCTGCTTAAAGAACAATTTGACCGGAAAGGGGGGTAAAATATCCTTACCAAGACTATCATTCAAACGATTACCTCTCTTAGTAAACTCCTGTCTTAAAAAACCTCGAGATTCTACCAACCTTTTTTTACACTGGAAAATTTTTGACAATGTTGGGGACACTGAAATATACAATATCTTCAAACGTTACCTTCTCAACTTTATAGACTTCCTCCAACTTTTCCACAGCAACCGAACCAACAGTTTTGAGGTCGCACTCTTCGTCAAAATTAGGCAAAAAAGGTCATCCAAACATTATTTTACTTACTTTTGTCAATCTTCAAACTCCCTGATACAAATGTGTGTCTAAGGTCAACAAATCTTCCAAAGTCACTTACACCAACCTGTCTGCAACGAGAAGAACAACTTATCAATAGGTACAAACATCAAGGGCTTGTAAAGGTTCTACTCAAAAAACGACAGTATCTTGTTCTCATAATATACTGTTGTTTTCAAGGTGTAGTGTACACCGCTTGTGCAAGAAAAAGTTGAGTCAAAAGACAAGGCAAAACAGCTAACAACCTTCCAATCATTAATTCAATCTCCTTCAGAACAATTCTTCTAGCACATTTGTCTATGCTTTGCTCCATCGTGTTCCTTTCAGGAAGAAAATTTTTGTGTTAATTAACATTGTCAACATATTTACTTTGAAACTATTTCGGTAGAACATAGTCAACTGTCGTCGTATGGCCAATTCTTAATTCATAAAATACAAAAAGTTTGGGTGCCATGCTGGCTCCTCGGCAAAATGGCATAGATATGCCACACCTTGATAAATATTTTGAACGACGTTCCTTCCTCAAATATCTGAAGTTGTAAATAGAATAGTTATCATAAGTAACACAGGTTTACCGAAACATACATATAGCTCCCGGAAAATACAAACGTCAGCAACCCCTTCAGAAATGCTTTGGTTCTGATTTGTCTTAGTTTGAGGAACAGAAAGCGAGCATGGTATACCTCGAGAACTTTTACCAATATCCTGGGTGGTCTCTTTCCGGCTGGTTGTCAATAACAACTTCTATTTCGACTCTGACAATAACTCTCTGAAGTTTGAGGTTACTTAATCCCACAAGGCTTCACTTTGTCGAGTTTTTCATGATGTAGAGCCTGTTTTGTTTTCGATATATTTGAAACTTTTAGTCAGCGAAAGAGGTCGCAAATGTGTTCAGGAAACTTTCTTCACTCTATCTTGAAGTCGTTCGATGAATTGTTTCAATAAGAACTAAAATTTATATTGAGGTATATAATTCCCAAGCTGAAAACTTCATATGAAACAAACTGGCAAAAATCTTGGTCAAGATGGACAAGGAAGCTGATAGGGCTCTATTTGGAAGTGCATAAAGTCTATTTAAAATTATATAATGGACAACTTCTACTTTGTTCAAGTCTTTGTTTGCCACATTGAAACTGGAAACAGGAATGAAGAAGAGAATGGAAACAGTGCCAGACATTCTCAATTCCGATAAGCTTGTCGTGCCAATGCTTGTGGAACATTCAGTGGGCGGGCAATCTGAAGAGGAACGTCCCCAATTGCGCACGCTTAGATAATTTGTAATTTATCGCTATGAAAGCGATCTTTAAATACGGCAGGGATACACATCCACATTTAACGTTTCTTCTCTTTGCTTGGAACTGGCATGAAGTTGTTACAATCTTTTTGTTTACTCTCATTGTGCATTATTTTTTGTTTGAGCCCGCTTTTAGCAGAAGCTGCTGATTACGAGAGATTGTGCCACTGTTTCCAGCAAGATACCAGTGCTTTCGATTTATACAAGCTTGTGGGAACGTACTCCGTAACATCATGTTCTTCGTGCAATGAAAAAAACTGTGCAGCCCTTTTTGGAGAACAAGAAAGTGACTATAATAAGCTATGTGCGTATATTGGAGAAAGTGTTGTCGATGCAGTAGAATCAGTGCTAGAAGGAGATTTCAAGTCAGCTGAAACTTATATGCAGGATTTGATCTCCAATCAAACAACCTTGATTGAGAATTATATCGACAAGCTTTTGGGATACTTGAATAATACTTTGGACGGTTTTCGAAATGAAGTAGGAACAAACATAACTGTGATTGAACAAGAAATCAATGAGATAAATACCACTTTTATAGCACAAGATATCCAAGAGGCCGTCACTCAAATCGAAAATTATGTAAGCAAAGACATCAACGAAGCTATAACGTCATTGGAAGTTCAAATACAAAAATATGCAGAGAAGATTGAAGTCAATATCTCAGAACAGTTGGATATTATTGAAACGGATATTGAACAAGTCAACCTTACTTTGGTATTGGATGAAATTAAGAAATATGCAGAGAAGATTGAAGTTAATATCTCAGAACAGTTGGATATTATTGAAACGGATATTGAACAAGTCAACCTTACTTTGGTATTGGATGAAATTAAGAAATATGCAGAGAAGATTGAAGTCAATATCTCAGAACAGTTGGATATTATTGAAACGGATATTGAACAAGTCAACATTACTTTGGTATTGGATGAAATTAAGAAATATGCAGAGAAGATTGAAGTCAATATCTCAGAACAGTTGGATATTATTGAAACGGATATTGAACAAGTCAACATTACTTTGGTATTGGATGAAATTAAGAAATATGCAGAGAAGATTGAAGTCAATATCTCAGAACAGTTGGATATTATTGAAACGGATATTGAACAAGTCAACATTACTTTGGTATTGGATGAGATTAAGAAATATGCAGAGAAGATTGAAGTTAATATCTCAGAACAGTTGGATATTATTGAAACGGATATTGAACAAGTCAACCTTACTTTGGTATTGGATGAAATTAAGAAATATGCAGAGAAGATTGAAGTTAATATCTCAGAACAGTTGGATATTATTGAAACGGATATTGAACAAGTCAACCTTACTTTGGTATTGGATGAAATTAAGAAATATGCAGAGAAGATTGAAGTCAATATCTCAGAACAGTTGGATATTATTGAAACGGATATTGAACAAGTCAACATTACTTTGGTATTGGATGAAATTAAGAAGTATGCAGAGAAGATTGAAGTTAATGTTACCTCGGATATTGATCAAGCTATAAACACTTTAAAGGAGTTTGTTGACAGTGTTTCTGTTGATGTTGAGGCAAACATTTCTCTGGATATCAATAAAGCTGTCAAGACGTTGCAGGATAAAGTTGAAGATATCGAAATTAACATCACCAAACAGCTTAAATTTATCGGAGACGATATTGAAAACCTGAATGAAACTATTGTGTCGGAGATGTTGAGCTTTGTTGAAAATCTATCCGTAAATATCTCGATTGATACGAATGAGACTGTGACATCCATTAACAAGACGGTGACGAAGATATTTGAGGAGCTCGAACGCAATCTTAGCTTAGATTTTTACGACATTGTTAGTAACGTTAACATTTCTTTGGAGGATTTGGATGATGAAATTTTGAAACTTATCGAGGATATCGCTTCTGAGGTGAAAGAAATTTCTGAGAAAAATATAACGGTGAAGGTGGAGGATGTCTTGAAGGAGATGCTCAACATTAATCTTAATATTAGTTTGGAGCAACCGACACCTCCAAGAAGGCCAGTTTGTAACGCATGCCAGCAGCCACCCTGCCCTTACTCCCCATCTTGTCAAATGTACCAACAGCAAGTCGGTTGGTAATGCAACAGTGTCAGTTGTAGTTAGTTGTTGTCGACCTTATTTGAAAGAAAATCCGTAGTCTAGTCATGGTATTATATACACGTGTTTGTGGTTTAGTAAAGAATGTTTCCAGGTTTCACTGAAAGATCAGCCAGTTTGACTTTCTCTTACGTCCTGTTACAGTAACTCCTTAAAGACTGCAGCTGGGCTTGAAGAAATTCAAGTGTACTCACAACTAACTGTTTATTCGTCTTGTTTTGAATGAAACTCCATATGTCTTACATACAGTTGATAGCAGGCATTTTCTACCTTTTGTACATTTATCCGCATCGCTTGGAGTTTGTTTTCCAAATTGTCGTTCGAATGAGACATGTACACTGCAAGATACTTTATCTCTGCCGACAACTGTCTTAGAAAAGATTCGACTTCAAAGGCCTTTTTGCTTTCGTTGCGAGATGAGCAGTTGATACAGTATCTCATCAGCTCGCCTGAAACATCGATCATACCTAGAATGTAGTCTTGTACAGATATGAAATGAATGACGAGGTCGATAACTTCCTATTTCTCGACTTAACTATACAATTGTTGTCTTAATAGATTCTTGCCTCCTCTGAATTTTCCAATAGTGACTGCCACTGTTGTGAAATCTCAGCGTTTATTTCATCCAAAGTAAGCGCACGACCCTCCGACAAGTAAGAGAGAAAGAGCCTGGCTTCAGTGTATTCCTGTAAAGCTATGGTAAAAACAGAGTGGAATCTTAATCAAAGGATTAGGTAGGTAAGCCACTCGCAAGATTGATGGAAAGCATACCTAAAATATTCCTCTGCAGACAATTCCGGCAAAAGTAACTTACAAATAAGTTGTCTTATATTTTCGAGTTGCTCCTTTGCACTGGAACAAATAGAGAAAAGGTCTTCATCAGCTGCCCTAGTGAGCCATAGTCAGGTTATTCGGCCAATGAAAGTATTCAACTTACCTGTGCAACAAATAAATGGCTTTTTTACTTTGGTAAGTTACATCTCTACTGGCTTTCACGAGTCTCTCTCTCTTTTCGATCTTCTGAAGGTTAGTCCTACAAGTCTACAGAAACAAAAGCATTACCTTTTGATTAAGCTTATCTGCAAGCTCCTCAAAAAGAGAATATATAGATACGTCTTTGTGGAACAAAGTCCCTGACAGCATTTTCCAATTCGTATTTCTATTCTAACCATTGATTCCTAAAATGTATTTTGACTATGCTCTTATTCTTGAAAACTTTAAAACTACAGAAATGAACTGTGAAAACAGCTCCTTCAGCGATTGGCTTAAAAGGAATATCTACAAATTTTCTGTTCACTGTTTCGTCTCTGCTCAACATAAAACTGTCTGCTGGGATGAAGGAACACATTGTGGTATACTGTCGAAAGAAGCACACACTAAAGATTATGTTTATTCCTATATCACTCATAGTAAATAGTTTGACGACGAAATGTCTTCGAAACTTCAATAAGAAACACAATGGCCCGACATTTTTTAGGATAATGGAAGGCAGTAGCATTTTACAGCAGAAAGCAGGAAGAATATTACAAAAGTACTCTCTTTTGGAGAGAGAAAAACTAGGACAGCAGCTAGAGAAGATTGAGCAACAGTGAGTTTACGTGTTCATAACGTAGAAACTCACTGATCTCTTCAAGTCTTGACTTTGAAAATGTGTCTCAGGGAGGAAGAGGCTCCAACTTGCAAGTCCCTGGCGGTGCTAGTTTGGTGAAGAACACCAAAAGAGCTATAGATGAGATGGAACCAGTTATCATAGAACTTAACCACCTGAAACAGAAAGTAGTCAATTTGAACTGAGTAACTTTGAAGAAATATTTATACAGCCTTCTTAGGTAGAATGCATTTCGGAAAGTTGCACCAGTCTTGAGAGAGCACTAATGGGTAAAGAGAGAGATAATAGAGATTTCTTTAAAAGTGTGGTACAAGTGAAGACTATTATTTCCGAAAAGGAGAAGAAAAAGAAGGTTTGATGGCTTTTCTCGATAGTTTAGCTCTTTTGTGAATGTTTCGAGCAGATTCTTGAGAGAGTGAATAATTTATTTTTCTTAAAGGCAGACGAAGAAGATGCTTTGGAAGGTCCAGTTACAGTTGAGTTTTTTATTGCTGTTCAGAAACTCCACACTGCAGCCTCAAGGTCGTCGAAACTGGTCAGAGACTCAAACAGTCCCCTTGGACTTGAATTGTTAGAGGTATCCATTTTTTAAGCGTTTCATTTTTAGAGGAATAATGTTTTTATAGTATTACTCAAATAGAAAGGGTTTGGTTTTAGAAAAGTGTTATAGCTTTATTCGAATACGGTTCGAAAGTTTACAAGACTTTGAAGTAAGCAACGAAGAACTTACTTTACTTCAGAAAGCTTTTTCTTTTCTGCGTGAACAACCAGCTTTGCTTGACTCGTGTCTTCAGGTACTTTTGTCATAGTCACAAGGTGTAGAGATCTAATAATATCTAGGAAGTGGCGAATGTTCTACGTGGCAAAACTTTAGAGAACTTTGTGGAAGCGCTGACAAAGGACGGACTAAGCAGCGACTCAATACAAGATGTTCAGAGGTATACAAATGACATGCTTGCCTTTATACATCATGCTTTTGCGTCACAGTATGAGCTTCTATCTACGATTTTGGGGTGTGTTCCTTCAACATTACCGTCGTCTAACAATGAGCATGATACACAATTAGCAGATAGAGGAGATTCATCATTCGAATCGTCAAGTCATTTTAGCAATAATGATGAATTGCAAAGAAAAATTCTCTCAGTCGTCTCGGAGGGACTTTGTCTTCCTTTTCATCGTCGTTTTGAGAAGGCGTTTAGCTCAAGGATGACTGTAATTGTTTTATTTAAGTTGTCAAATTTGTTAGAATTTTATAGCCAGCTATTTGAGAATTTCATCGGCAAAGATGGTGCTTTTGTCAGGACATTACTAGAATGCAGTGCACAGTCAATGACTTATTTCTTTCAGGTTTGGAAGGTAGGTTCTTATTGAAATGCGTTTTTGCAATTCCTAAAAGAGACAGGAAAAATTTGACGTTGTATTGGAGAACTTACCTGCAGTTGATGAAGAGTTGAGTCCACCGTCATTTGTTTATCAGTGTACAAGTCGTTTGTCAGATATAATGGATACACTTGATATGAGTCTCCTTTCAGATGAGAGAAAGGAAGGCCACGCGGAAAGCATCCTTTCTTTTGTTATTGAGCATCTGAAGAACTTTTGCTTTCGATTGAGCCAACAGTTGGACAGTTTGAATTCGAAAGTTTTCATCATCAATTGCTTAGAAAGTGTACGAGTCCCTCTAACAAAGTATAGATTTGCGGCAACTAAAGTTGAATCCATTACGAGAGAGATTGATCACCATTTAGATCTCTATGTGGAAGATGTTACAAAAGCCTCTCTTGAACAAAGTGGCTTATTAGAGAAAATATTACGTCTTGAGTCACTATCATTGAAAGAATCAACAGTTTATATCGCGAGTGTTCCAGGCATGGACGCTGAATCTATTGCAATTGCCCTGAAGAACTTTTACATGTCGATTCTTTCTGGGCTTGAAATTGAAAAACTATTGAATCCATCATCTTCAGGCAAGCTATCAAGCACCAGGATGCGCTCCCGAGTGAAGATTGCAATTTCAGAGTCACTTATTTCTGCATATGATTCTTTGTTCGCATTAGTGAATGATCCAAGCAATGGATATGAGGAAGATATTACGAGGAGAATGGGTGTCGTCGATACGAGTTATGTAAGAATGGCACTCACTACATAATGAGCCTGAAGTCATGTTATTGTGTCTTAGCCGAGTTTAATAATAGGCATTCTTCTTGTTGGTTTTAAAATAAGTTGTCGCCATAGTTCCAGCTTTAGTATTGATAGAAAGAGCCATAGAGATTTGTGATTCTCTCAACACAAAGAACAATCTTGAATTTTCAGAGGAAAAATTTGCAATTTCATTGATGGTAAACATAGTTTCAGAGTCTCTTTTTGGAGTTTGACTGTTCGCTGAAAGCATATGCAAAGGCATTTACGTGATCTAACGAGAAACCAACCCTTCGACAAATCTCTTTGACATGAGAACCCCAAAGAGGACAACAGTGGAACAATATCCAAATTACTAAGTTCTCGCTTGAAGTTTAAAAAGATACTACTTGTAACATCTCCCACTATAGACTCTTAAAATTCAGCTTTCTCCATATTACTGGGTCTATTTCTGAACAAAAAAACAAAAAAATAATACAATTCATTCCACTTATATTGGACAATCGCTACGAGTTTTAACAAGACAGATTAAGAAAATAACATAAGATGCTGTGTATAGACTTTCTATGTAGAACGTCTTGTTTTCTTGAGGGCCACAATTTCAAAATTTAAAAACAATATCTTTCTTGGATTATCAATCACTATGAACGAAGACTGTCCATCTTTGGAAAGCGACTTCAAACCTAGCTATTTCGGAGCGATTCCTTATGACAAGGAAGAGCGTCAAAAGGTTGCACAACTTCTTTCTGAACCTCTTACGAGAGACGATGTTCAAACAAGACCTGGACCTTCTCGACTACCACTCACATATATCAGTGGCTTCAAAGCGATAGACAAGGCTAATAGAGTATTTGGCTTCGATGGTTGGACTTCACAAATCATGGGCTTTGATATGAACTACAACAAGGAAACTCAGCAAGGAAAACACATATGCTGCTTCACGGTCAGACTGAGAATCACCCTAAAAAATGGCGCTTTCCGTGAAGACGTCGGAGTGGGTTTTGCTGAAAGCCACAGAGAAGGTGAGAGTTAGGTTTTGAGAATTAAGAGAGAGACTTAAAGTAATAAATAGCTGAGGCTATTGAAAAGAGCCAAAAGGAGGCAGTAACCGACGCCTATAAGAGAACCTTGAAGAACTTTGGCGTTGCTCTGGGTCTATGTCTATACGACAATGAACACATAAAAGCGCTGAATTCTCTCGAAGACAGTACGACGAAAGAAAATATAACCTGTTTGGAACAGCCTCGAAACTTCACTTATTCCAGAAAGACGTCCAACTGTGTTCCTAACGAATATATAGATGTTCGGAGGGATCGACCTGTAAGTTGTTACCCAAGAAGAGGTTCATTTTCAAACTCAGACAGTCATTCAACCAAGCTTTTCAACGAGTCTGCAGAAAACTGTTCGAAATACAAAGGACTGGAAGACTTTTTATGTTTCCAGAGAAATCAAGAAAGAAGCAAGCAACTTGAGGAATCTCTTTCAGGTTTAAAACCCTCTGATTTTGAAGACGTGGAGCACATTCTGTAAAGGAGAACAATAAACCAGATAATTCGCCGTTCACTTGAACATAGTAGACGAAACAGATATCTCCATTCTTGAACGAGTAATAACAAATCCAAAGAAGACTGAAAATATCTGTTTGCTTTGCAATTAGTAGTGCAGATTTCAAAGTGGTTTTGGTGGATCCCTCGAGATGTTGCCAAGAACTAAAGCAATTTCTCTATTTGCTCCACTTTCTTCAGAGATACGTTTATATAGTAGTTGTTTTAAATCAAAGTCCAAACGCAGTCGTACTTGTATTCAAGATACTTGTAAGAATATCTGTGTAAAGTGTTATAGCGTTAGAGCTCAGATGACAAACTCTAATGTTGACGGAGAAGAAATCTGGCCAGGTCTGAATCGACGTCCTCAACAGTCTTTGGAAAGTTACATCGCAGGTACTCTTTTTCCTTTGTCGTTGGAAGAAGCCGTACAACAGGCTTCTTCTGCAGTAGTGAAGGCAGCGGAAGACAATTATAAACGTCTGAGAGTTGAGCTACAATATCCAACGCTCAGTACTGTGGGTAGTTTGCTTGAATATGGAGAACTGGCTTATTTTTGTAATATGGTATGTGAAACGTTTCTTGGACAGTCGAAGCGAGTTCACTTGTTTGGAGATACACACCATATTTTGAACTTGGTGCCGTTTCTTGATACACGACTGTTTAATTCCATTAGTGTCTCCTGTATAGATGATGTACAGTCGGGTGGTCGTCATATAATGGAAGATATATGTCTTATTTTGTTACCCAGCAACGTTGGATATGATATGGGTAGAAGAATGGAGAGGATCGAAAGACTTATATATAGCGTTTCTCATAATAAGCATATTGTCTTGTTCAATGCTTGTATGGAAGCATGTACAAGCCTTACATGCAGTGGACGTCCTTTCGAGCCAATGATTCTTAATGATTTTCATATCGCGTACTTTATCCATCCCAATATTTTAAGACAAGGATGCATTCAGTCTTCTTTGCTTCGTTGTTATCCGAGAAATTGGGAATTATTTGTATTAAGACTTCCAAGAGATATCAGTAGCAAATATTTTTTGGCAAAATCTTTCCCTTCGAAACCTTCCATGGAAAGAATCGAAACAGAAGTCTCTTGTTGTTTTCATTCACTTTAGTTATGCTTCCAATACTTGTGTAGTTGATGTTAAACAATTTGTCGAAACTATGTAAACTCGAAACATATCGAAATACTTCTGTCAAGTTCAATCTGCTATAAATACATCGAAAGAATTTGAAAATACGACAAAAAAAATTAAATCCATTCTATTTATCAGCTTTTCACAAACGATCAAAATTTCATTATACTACTTATATATATGGTCGAAGTAACGACTTTAAATCTTCATAAGCTCGATCTATATCGTCATTCATCACTGTATAGTCAAATATACCGCTTCTCAAAGCAAATAAAATTTCTTCCTTTGCTGAACAAAGTCTTCTCTGGATGGACTCTTCATTCTCAGACTTTCGATTTCTCAACCTTGATTCCAAGTCTTCCATAGAAGGAGCTGCTATCCAAATAAAAGTAGCTCTTAGCATCGACTTCTTTACGGCTTCTACTCCCTGAATATCCAAATCTAATAAGCATATTTTCTTACTATCAATAACCTGCTTCACAGAATCAAACGAAGTGCCGTAAAAATTTCCGTGAACTTGTGCATATTCGATAAATTTTCCATTTGCAACATCCTCCAGAAACCTTTCTTTGCTAATGAAATAATAAGAAATTCCATCTTTCTCATGTTCTCGAGGTAAACGAGTGGTATGAGAGATAGAAAACCCAAAAACATCAGGATAATCATGAAGAAGTTTTCTAATAAAAGTTGATTTTCCTACACCCGAGGGTCCAGAAAGCACGATGCATGAGGTAGGTTTCTCAGCGCTTTCTGTCGACAAATATTTTTTGTCACTTGTTTGAATATTCTTTGAAACACCCTGCAACGAACTAAATAACGTTTCAGATGCAGAAAACAGAACAGGTAAACGATACGAAGACAATCCAGCCATAGTGGCCATCAGATTCCAAATTGAAAAGCTGGACATATTCTTCATACATGCCATACTTGACGACCTCGTTAGGATAAGTTGAGTACAAATTGCTGCAAGTGGAATAAGAAGCCTTGCAGAATTCATTGTTGAACGGACAAAGCTAAACGAATCCTTGCCAAGACTGTCTACACTGTCCATCAACAATCGAAGGTACACAAAACCGAACATAGAACCCAACAGGAAATCCATGGCTAGGCGAAAAGAAACCAAAGAAATAAGAGAAAAGCCTAGTACATCGAATACAACTAATTTACGAAGCCAATTTTGTTTCAACCTGTTATATTCTGTCATATGTTGATCACCTGTGATTGAAGCCACTTCAAGGGAAACATTTCCCAAAATGCTCTTTTCCTCAACAAAATACATATCTTGAGGGAGTCTTTTCGCACTCACAAGTTTTATCTCACTCAATTTAAACCAGGCTCTTTTTTTACATCGGTCTACTTCATATAGGCCACCGTGTCGTGGTTTAAGATATCTGACGTCCACGCACTGTTCTTCAAGAGGTCTTCCAACATCAACCTTCTCAATAACACCAAACTAAGAAAAGAATGGCGACTCATCATTGCTTAATTTAGTAGAGAAAAGATATTAAACTCACCAGCAGTTGGTTCTTCCACTTTCCAGGACAGCGGCAAACCTGACCTTCTTGTGGCATTTCACCTCTACAATTCCATATAGTAACAATGTTTCTTCTATAGTTACATTTGTTAATAGCTTTCCTAAAACAAAACAAATGGATAAATTCCTTTGATATGACTCTGGGTAGTGTAGGCCATGTGATTAGAAGAAGCATTCTTATCAGAGACAACAAAAATTAGAAAAAATCCTTTCCTTGTCCATTCTCGTCGCCGTGGGAAGATTTGGTTTTTTGAGCGTGATGACTGTAAAACGACGCTGTCACGGAAGAAACAGAAAGGGCCGTAATCATACTTGTCAAGTTTGCTGTGACGGATGTGGCTGTAAACTGGCTAAAGATAAGGCAATCAAACGGTTTACTGTTAGAAATATGGTGGATAAGTCGTCCTTGAGAGACCTGCAGGTAAGAGCTTGTATTGAAGAGGTCTTTTGTAGATTGTATCGTTGCCGTTAGGATGCTTGTATTATCGACAAATATGAACTTCCAAAGTTATATGTCAAGCTGCAATACTGCGTTTCTTGTGCCGTACATCGGAAGATTGTCAGACCGCGTTCTCGTGAGGAGAGAAAAATACGTTACTCGTCGAGGACAGCGGTATTGGATAGATTCCGTAAAAGAGAGTAAAACATTCTAGTAAAATCACTTTATTTGCAATCGTCTTGTATTGAAAGTAATCATAATGGAATGCAAACTGATTGACCGAGAAGGAACTTTTTCGGGACACTTGCCTTTGTCAAATAAGACACTACCTTGTAGGAACTATGTTACTCTGGCAATAATTGGCTGTCAAAGCTCAGGCAAAAGCACTTTGTTCAACGAATTGTTTGAAACCAAGTTTCCTGTTCTAGACGCAAAGAAGAATGGCAGACAACGTACCACTTTGGGTATTTGGTCAGTACGTTGAGTTTTTTTGGTTTCTTCAGTTTCGTTTCTAACTATTCCTAGACTACTAAGAATGTGGACCAGCTGCAGAACAAGGAATCCAGTTCTGAACGTGGATGTAGTCGACAACTGGTACTGTTGGACGTTGAAGGAACAGATAGTAGGGAACGACAGGAACCAACGAAAACTTTCGACCTTTGTACTACACTTTTTTGTTTAACTGTTGCGGACGTTATTTTGGTAAATCTATGGTTTAGAGATGTGGGAAGACATCAGGCCTCTAATGCTGATCTCTATGCTTCGGTATTCTCCACAACACTAAAATGGAAGGAAATAGAAGGATTGGACGTTATGAGAAAGAAGCATTTGAAGACGAGGTTATTGATTGTTATTAGAGACTTTGAAGAAGTAGAAGCTTCAGAAGATCAGGTGAAGTGGTTCATTTCGCAAGACTTTAGAAATATTTGGAAAACCGTTGAGAAGCCCAAGTCTTTGGAAGACACTGTCATGGAAGATATTTTCATTTTAAGCTTTCATTTTTTGCCTAATGTAAAGTACAGGAAAGATGAGTTCGTAAGCTCTGTTTCTAAGTTAAGGGAAAGAATATTACATGACGATGATTCTTGGAGTTCATCCATAACTGATTCCCTATGGAAGAAAGAGATTCCTTTGCAAATTTTAGAAATGTTTCTGAAAGAATCTTGGGATCTCATCAAACAACGCCAAGGTCTGAATAATGATTTGAATAATATTTCCTATTTTGATTTGAACACACATAAGAAGTGTTCTTTTTATCTTGAGCAGTCATGGAACGAATACAAGTTAATGTTGATTGAGTTTCAAAGGACAGTTGAAAGGAACTATAGTAAGCCTATCGAAGAATTTTCGAAGGTGGCCAATTCATTGTATAATGAATGTCTGGCATGTTATGATCGCATGGCAGCATCATTCCGAAATACATCTTCTTATCAACTAAAGCGAAAATTGTTAGGTGTTAAACTGACGAGTGAGTTGCTTGAAGTCCGAAAATTTCAAATTTGGGCATATCGAGATCAGATACTTCATTCTTTTGAAATAGAGTTCGCTCCTATGATAGGCGCTGTTGGTAATTTCAAGAAGAATGCAGGAAATCTTGTGAAGCGAAAAGTGAAAGATTTTCAAAAATGTCTAGAGAAGTGCAGAGTTCCTGGAATGTTAAAGGAAGAAGAACTAAATGATTTACAGGATCTCGAACGCACACTCCGTGACCAAGTACAGGATCGTAGTCGAGAAGGAGAGCTTATGTTTCCAATGGGTCTCTCTTCTGGAAATACAAGTTATTCTAGAAGATCCACACCTTGGTGGAAGGAATTACTTATCAAGGCTTTTATTCTGTATCTCCAATATCTTCAGTCAAAAGCAAACAAAAGGACGCAACGAAAGAAGATGCAAAATCAAGAGAGAATACTTCCAAAAGGTCCAACTTTTTGAGTTGAAAGTTATTTCTTCACAGGAAAGGTTCTTTGGGTGCACCCTTCTAGATAACTTGCTCGTTACTATCATATGAAAGCCCTTAGGTATGATTGTTTGCGATGCAACAAGTAAACGACTTCGAAGGAGCTCCAAGTTTTCGCAACTCTATTACTACTTGAAATAAGTAGTCATAGCACTCTGCGTGCGTTTTTGCTTCCTTCCAATCCTTTCCCCAAACATAGACGCCGTGTCTCTCAACGAGAACCGCAAAAGTAGAGGGATATTTCAACATAGCTTCCTCTAAGGAAACCGTTAAGTCACCTTCATACGCTGTATTCTTTATTATGGGTACTATAAGTGTATTGTGATAACCCATGCCCCGGATGCCTTTGATCATCTCCATGTGCGAAATACGAAACTCTTCTTCTTCCGATATCAAAGACGCCAAAACAGCATTAATACTGTGACTGTGAATAACTGCACCTGCTCCTCTTAGTTCATAAGCTTTCATAAACAGAGGAGCACAAGCTGAGAGTTTCAGCATCTTTCCAACTTGAGGCATCTCTAAGATACGGCCCTGTTCGTCTAATACAAAAATGTCTTCAATATGAAGTCTCTCCTTCTGTACTCCGCTGGGTGCCATATAAATTCTCCCATCTTCTTTAATACTTATTCCACCTCCAGTTCCTGAAACCCATCCAAGTGTATAAAACTGCCTACACAAGTCGACAATAAGAGACTTGGCTTGCTCTCCAATCATCATTCATTCAGAAGGAATGATGGGATTCTTACCTTTGCTTTGGTTAAAACCAAGACGCACTTTGTCAGAACAAAAACTGGGTGGTAAAAATATTTCAGTGAAGAAGAGACTCAAAACTCGTGTAACTGCGTCGGTGAAACTTCCTAACAACTCATTGATATTCATCACACCTAATGGATGTTGTCAACAACTCCAGAAACTTGAGGAGACTTGTACTGAGGCTATGATAGGAGGAGTCTCTGCAATTCAACTGCGTGATATTGAGGGCAACGGTATGTACTCCTATTCCTTGTTCAGCGGAATTTGACTTTTTTTTTCTAGCTGCTGACTTTCATAAGGCAGCAATGCGACTCGTCAAGATATTGAATCAAAAGTGTCCTCTTATAATAAACAGAGATATTGAATTGGCGCTGAAAATTGGAGCTTCAGGTGTTCATTTTGCAGAATCGCAGTTAGGTAGGTGTCTTGTGCTGTCGTTTCGGCTCATTGACGGCTGACGACTGATAAGAAGACCAGGCTACGAAGGAAACGGCTATCAACTCTCAACTTTTGGTAGGCATATCTGTACACAGCATATCAAGTGCACGGAAGGCTGTAGAATGGTCTCCTGGTTACATTCAGGTGCGAAAGAAGACCTAATAATTTTATCAACTAATCTACTTCAGGTGGGTTCTGTCTTTAACACACGGAGCCATCCAGGACAACAGCCATTAGGCCTTTCAAGGTTAAGGGAAATTCGGAAATCGATTCCTTCCAGTATTCAACTAGTCGCAGTTGGAGGAATTCATTTGGAAAATGTTCACAAGGTTCGCTTTGCAACATATGGAATTGAGGTTTATTAACGCCATTCCCAGGTTAAGAAAGAAGGTGTTAGCAATATTGCAGTTATTTCTGCAATTGCACACAATTCCAATCGTGTAGAATACTGTAGGAAGTTAAAGAAGCTTTTGGGTTCATGAACCTTTATAGTTACTCGTTGAAATTAAGGATTGTTCCAAGATGAAAAAAATTAAGCAAGCGAAAATGTCGTATTTGAAGCAAGGTCTCGAATTTCAATTATCTATTTGGTGAACACAGCTATCGAATTGAACAGGATAAAATATCAAGAAAACTAAAAGTCCCAAATATCCGAGTCCGATAACTACTGTTGCTATAATTCCAAAAATGCTTGCTACGGATAATGATGACAGAGCGGATTGTAAAGTACGATTCCCTTGAGCTCCGGCGATGAGATATACATTTGCTACTGCTATTCCAAGACCAATAATCCACATAACTACGGAAACCCATTTAGGATTCCTAAAAGATCCCATACAACGTTCTGATTGTGTGAATTTTAACAAAGGAAAGATAAGAAAAGGAATTACACCAGAAAGAATTGAGGAACCAATAAGTAGAGCTAATCCAGACCCGTTATTTCCTGCAAAGATTGCAACAATCAAACCCGGGATTATAGTAATGGTTCTTGTCATGAGGTTTCGTAACCAGAGTGGAATTTTAATGTTAAGGAAGCCCTCCATCACAATCTGGCCAGCATAGGTTGCAGAGACTGTGGCACTTTGAGCAGAAGCTAATAACGAAATACCAAATAAAATACACCCAACACCAGTTTGTGCGTAGACCGTCTTAATTAAGTTACACGTGTCAATGAGGCTTATATTTTGTGGTTTTATCTGGATCAACGGGTTCTTATAAAATCCAACCGCAGCAAGGGATATCAAAGCCAAATTGACTACAAAAGCTAGTACCATCGGAAAAATGAACTCTACCACATTGTACACGTACGCAGAGTGTAGTGCCGATTTCGTCAACTCAACGCGCCTCGTTTGTACTAAGGACGACTGCAAGAAAACATTATGTGGACTCACAGAGGCTCCAATTTGGGAAAGTGCTACTAGAGCAGAACCACTTGGAAGTGAGGGAATGACCCATCCCCTCATTAAGGCAGTGCCATTCGTATCTACCATAGACCATTGAATAAAGAAAGTCACTGACATCACCAAAATCATAACCATCACAAACAATTCCAAATAATGGATATTTAGATATTGAAGAGAAAGTATTAACAAAGTAGTTGCAAACGAAAGGAGAACGCCAGCGTATAGTGGCATTTGGAACAAAATTTCACAAGAAACAGCAAATCCAATGACTTGCAGTAAATCAGTAGCCATCATTGCAGCTTCCGATAATATCCATAAAATGTAACGAATGTAACGTGGATAGTTCCGTCGACAAGCTTGAGCAAGATCCATCTTGGCATAGAGGCCCAGACGAATGGTCAAAATTTGAATAAATACTTCTACCACACTTGACCACCATATTATCCATATCAGCTTATATTCAAAACCAGCTCCTGCTTGGATGTCTCCTTCATAATTTCCAGGATCTATGAGGGCAATGCATATTAGCCAGCCTGGACCTGCGAACTTTGTTAATCCTCTCAACCAGTTGTAAATACATCGCCACCAGGAACGGATCTTTCTCAGTGCACCAGGAGTTGAATGGATATGCCCACTAACGACCACTTCCTTATCTGACAAGACTCCATCTAGCTGCATAGATAAATCATTCTTTTCAGAAGCAGAACTTTGGGATAATTTATTATCTGTTACTTCGTTTGTTGTTGTTACTTCACTTGCTGTTATTTCGCCCGATTCAGCCATAGTAGCTAAAAGCAAAATACAAACTATCGTCTTTTCAACCTCGGGATTCCGAATCTAAGTTGGACATGCACGCGTCCTATTCCGATGGACACGAGCGTGACATACTCTTCGACGTGAACAAACAAATCACCAAAACTATTCTGGAACTTTTATTGAGTACAATAAAAGGAAACTAGCCACAGTTCAATTCATTTTTGTCGACGTTTCCACAACTTGTTCGTTTTCAACCAATGGAACCCTAGAGGCCCTTCTTGACTTATTATGAACAGGAGAATTATGACGGAACGCGTACTGAGGTCGCAATGTACTGTGTTCCACGTGTCTCTTGTCGTCAACCTTCTTGTCCTTTGCGTCAGTCACGTTGGAAACTGGTCGTGTTTGTGGTAGAGAGCGACCGCTTAAGATAACTGGTTGTCGCGTTCTATTGTTGTCCGTCAAAAGGGATTTGTTGGTAGTTGGCGAAGCTTCGCAAGTTCGACGTTTTCCATGTTCATAAAGCCTCGTGAAAACGTCCTTTTTTGGATCTGCTACGAAAGAACTTTTCTTTCTAGAGAGATTGCTAATAGATTGGGGTTTCCTTGTTGTCGAGAAATCTTCTTTCTCAGTCTCAACAGTACTTGGAGGAGAGCCTAATTTCACTGAACTTTGTGGTTTGTTGCCTACTGATCGCTCTGCTGGCAAGCGACAAGGAATTTTCAGCAACTTCTGGTCTAGAGTCATGGAAGTATTTCGTGACTCCACATGTTTGTTGTTATCCAAAAAGACTTTTCCGATAGTTTTTGAAGTTGTTCCATTGAGCGCACTATTTCGTCTTTGTAAACTTCTTTCCTGCGTGGCAAAAGTAAATGTACGTGGTATTGTTGCCATTCTCTGGTTGGTGTCTTTTGTTGGTTTGAGATCATGAAAGTTGAATGTCTTCGCACAGTTTTGTCGACCTGAACGAATTGTTTTCCTTAAAGCGTTTCGCTCCGCCTGTATTTTTTGCATTTCTTCTTCCTCATATGTTAATGGAACCCCCTTGAGTGCACGATGAGTGTCAGCTCTTTTCTGGGTATGAAAGATTGGGGACTCTGGCACCGTGAGGGTTTGACCGTGGACTCGCCGGACCACTTTGACTAGTTGCATTTTAGCATTCGGTTCCGGTCGAAGAGCACGTTCGACACAGTGTCGCAATCGTCTTTCAGAATGGAATTTCGGTGACTGTGGTATCGTTATACGAGGCTTCCACGATGCTCCAAAATTTTTGGGTGTTCGAGGCTCATTGACTTTAGAGTTCATATCTGTCGATGATTTCCTTCTTTCCTTATGTAGAAATGCGCGTTGCTCTGTTCGAAAAGCTGGAGGACCAACACTTCTGTTTTTTCGAACACAGGAGAGATTTTGCTTAGATTCCTCGACATGTTGAACTGAATTTGCAGTTTTGCATCTACTTCCTTTCGTCACGATAGATTCATCACACCTGCTGCCATTGAAGTATTTGTTTTTATGTTGTACTTTGTTCCTATTGCCTGATTCCAACTGCTCTGTTAAAATAGATTTTTCTGATTTCGAATAATGCTTGATATTCGAGAATCCCTCGTTGCCTTTGATTGGAAATGTTTTGTGCGGTTGTTGATCTACTGGTTGGCTTGAATGACTGTCTCTGCTGTTGCTTAAAGAAGGTGGGGAAGTTTCTTCCTTCTGCGTGACTGGATATTCTTTCTTTTCCCGATTTTCTTCGACTGAACCCTTGGCATTTATTTGGCCACTATAATTTTCCTTCTCTGAGGCATTCTTTTCTTGAAAGTGAGTAGTGGAGTCGACTTCACCGTAAAGTTCTTTTCCACTTTGCCCTAAATATCCAGCGTTTCGTTCTCCTTCATTTTTTGAATCTAGGGAAGATTTCTGCTCTTTAGACCGTATTTCTTGTTGTGTCACCAAGGATTCCTTGACCAACTCAGTCTTTGACTGGAGTTGATCGAACCATTCATCGGCACCATCATAAAGAGCTGCCTCAGAAGCGGCTTCTAGTAAGTTAACGTATTTCGGCGCAAGGAACTCATATTTGGGATCATATTCTTCTGCAACCTCAGCCATTCAGAGTAAGTTGGAAACAAAGTGTAGTTCTTCGAGTTGAAAGATAGGCGCGCTCTTACACACGCCCCCACCCACAAGCTCGAAATTCAAAAAATGCGCGCCCTTACAAGTTCGATGGAGAGAGGGGAATCTTTTTCGAAAATAGAGTTTTTATAGTCTCAGGGACTTAGGCAGAACGAAAGAGGATTCACGTATTGACAATGATATTATACATCACAGTGCGAGAGAATGTACTATTGCATCCCTCACAAAGTAGTAGTTATTAAAGTTCATATCATTTGTGACACGGATTGGTTCGTAAATTGATCTTTGCCTTCCAATTTACTGCAAAATTATTTCTCGTGAGACTTATCCTGAAAGTCAGCAAGCAATGTTCATGATTGAACACACAAATAGTTCTGTCTAAGGATTCGTTAAGAAGAGCGTGAGTTTACACTTTTAGCAAGTCAACTGTTCTCCAGATGACAAACTTGGAACTCTACCTATTTCAAGATAATGATGGAATTTCAAAACTCTCAGCAGTCCACTTTTCATGCATCGAGTTGGATACAAACGAAAATATTGAAATCAAAATAACAAAAGAGACAAGAGTTCTACATGAAAAAGGACGGATTTCCCAATTCCTTAAGCTCCAGGATCCTTGCGCTACATAAGTTAGGACTAGAACAAATGTTGGGCTGGAAAAATATGTCAAGCATAGTTGAGTGACGAGATGACCAATACCCAATAAAATCGACAACAGAAGAGCACATAAGAACTCTCCTTGCATCCAAGGAGGACCCTTTAACCCGTCGAAAACTGAGAAACTTACGATTCCTACGACAGCAGAAATGAAAAACAATAAGAGATATATCCCATAGAGAAGTTGGATAGGTCCGTATTCTCTTTCTATTAAAATTTTCTTCACGCCATTTACGAACACTGCACACGTTGCTCGACTGACTACACATTGCAACCAACCATATGTAATCTCGTCTTCTCTAACGTAGCATAGAAAGGAGAGAAGGAGAGCACCGAAAGAAGCCAGTCGAGTGATACATGAGACTTTACTGCGGAATAGCACTTTCTCCATTTCCAGACTGAGGGGAAATAAATATACTTTAAAAGGACTCGTTTCCAATATACCTCTCGACTTGAATACAAGGATCCCGCATTTGGCAGATATGAAGAACAATATGGCAAAGGGAAACAGTGTACTTATATAAACCAGGTTAAGATGAGGAAGACTTTTTTGCCTCCATTTAGAAACATAACACAACACCGAAACAGCAGCGCCACTTTGAAAGACTAGCATTAGTTCAGCTGATCGGAAGTCAAACTTTGCAGCAAGCTTTCGGTTCGTTAGGTACTGAAGCCTTGCCAAGAAAGTATAAAAGAACACAAGCGTTATCGTTTTTAAACACCTCTTTGCATACTGTTCGGTTTTCTTAGAAACCATAACAGTTATACCCTACACGCAAATTTAAACATCGAACTGTCAAATATTTCATTAACAAAAATTTTTCTAGAGGGGAATTAGCTAGTTGTAGACGTTGTGACTGCCAACTATCTTTCGTGTAACTTTGACAAGCAGACTAGGGAAAATGGAATTTGTGAAAGTACGGAATGATAATTTTAGTCTGAAGCTTAAATTGTTCCAATCCAATCAAACAGTTATTTTATGAAACATTGCAGTCAAAGGTCTTTCCTGGAAAATCTCCTTGAAACACGTGAGAATTGAACAAGCAGTTGGAGGATGTGTTCTGGTCTCTCACAATAAAGCGTTTCTCCGCATGTAATATACCTTCCTCATGATGATATGTTTTTAGGCTTCGGAATAGCCACAGTAACTCTGCACCAAAATAAAGCAATTTTCCATTACAATTGTAAGCGCTTTGGCGATTTCATGAAAAGTTTGTTGGGAAATGTGGTGCTAAGAGTGTCGAGACTTTCACAAGTTACTCCAGTGCTCCAAAGACGAGGCTTGATATGTTTGTTATCTCACAGTGCTACTTTCAAAGAAAGTTGGTATATCGAGCCCAAATGCACTGGTCGAACTCACGGATTCATAACAGGAGCAACCAAAAATGAAAAGGGACGCCTTGGCGTCTTCGTCGGAAGTTGTTACAAGTGTTCATTCGAAAAAGTTAAACTGGGAAATTTTCGTATGCTTCAAAACTCAGTTGTTCATTCTCGTGGAGGACTACTGTCGTTAGTCCAAACGAACAAGTCAGGTTGTACAACTTCAAGCAGACAATTTTGCTCAGACGAGAATACCAAACACAACAAGTCGAAAAATGAAGATAAGGGCAGAAAGTCGGAAGCAGAAAGCACAACGGAAACTGAGAAGGATAGTGGAAGGACTGGTTTCGGAAGATTTTATCCCAAATCCAGGAAACTCAATGACAAGGAGAATAATGAACGGTCATCTTCAGCCAGTGGAGAAGAAAAGTCTAATGAGAAAGGCAGCCTAAATAATGTTCCAGGTGGAAGTCAGTATCAGTTATTTGCCCTGTTAATTGGAGCTGGATTGTTATTGTCCATGTTATCGTCAAGTAACCAGGATGGTGGAAGTCGTGCACCTGAGACAAGTTGGCAAGCCTTTCGCAGAGACATTTTGCCAACAGGAAGAGTTTCGAAAATTGTAGTTGTGAACAAAGATGTAGCACGGGTTTATGCTCGTAACGCAAATTCCAAACTTGGTGATCCGAACGTAGAAATATGCTATTTTCGGATAGGAGATCTGGAAACTTTTGAAAATAAGCTACAAGATGCTCAAGAAGAGCTAGGCTTTAGTCCGAAGGAGATAGTTCCTGTCGTATATTCTAATGAAACTTCCTTATTAAGCACTGTCATCGCCTGGTCGCCTACTATCTTACTAATTCTTGTTTACCTATACTTTTTACGAACAGGTGGTTTCGGTCCTATGGCTGGTGGTATTGGAGGTCCAGGTTCAAGAGGCTCTTCGTCTAGTGCAAGTCGAAACATATTTGGTGTCGGAAAGGCCAACGTTACTGTCATGAACCGAGATACGAATAAAGTGAGCACAACCTTTAAAGATGTTGCTGGACTGGATGAAGCCAAGACCGAAGTGATAGAGTTTGTTTATTACTTGAAGAATCCTGAACGTTACAAGGAAATTGGCGCCAAGATACCGAAAGGTGCACTGTTATATGGACCTCCTGGAACTGGCAAAACTCTTCTTGCAAAGGCAACTGCAGGAGAATCTGGCGTTCCTTTCTTGACTATGAGCGGCTCAGACTTTATGGAGATGTTTGTGGGTGTTGGTCCAAGTCGCGTCAGGGACCTTTTTGCACAAGCTCGCAAACTTGCTCCTTGTATAATTTTTATTGATGAAATTGATGCAATTGGTAGAGCTCGAGGTAGAGGTGGACTTATTGGCGGTAATGATGAAAGAGAAAATACTTTAAATCAGTTGTTAGTGGAAATGGATGGATTTTCTCCAAATAGTGGTGTTGTTGTGTTCGGAGGAACTAATCGAGCAGATATTTTGGACAATGCACTGCTTCGACCCGGTAGATTTGACCGTCAAATCTTGATTGACGCTCCAGACATACGTGGCCGCCATGATATTTTCTTAGTGCATCTTCGTCCTTTGAAAGTTAGTGATCCCCCTGGAATTGAAAAGGTAGCCCAGAGATTGGCAGCATTGACACCCGGTTTTGTTGGAGCGGATATTGCCAATGTTTGTAATGAAGGTGCTTTAGTGGCTGCACGTGAAAGTGTCAATAAAATCGAGTTGCGTCATTTTGAATCCGCCATAGATCGAGTAATTGGCGGTCTTGAGAAGAGAAATATGGTTATGTCTCCGGAGGAAAAGAAGACTGTTGCTTATCATGAAGCTGGCCATGCAGTAGCTGGTTGGTTTTTTAGATACGCTTTACCATTATTGAAGGTTTCGATTGTACCTCGAGGTTCCTCGGCCCTGGGATATTCACAATATCAACCAAGAGAACAATATTTGTATTCAAAAGAGCAACTGCTGGATACTATTTGTATGACTTTAGGAGGGCGAGTCTCAGAAGAAATTTTCTTTCAGAGACTTACCACTGGTGCTGCAGATGATTTTCAAAAAGTGACAAAACTTGCTTATCAAGAAATAAGTGTCTGGGGAATGAATGATAATGTCGGTCATGTTTCGTTTCAGAAGAGTCCAAACGAAACTCGCTTTTATAAACCTTATAGCGACCGAACAGCAGCAAGTATTGATAGAGAAGTTCGCGAATTGTTGTCCAATGCTTATCAAAGAACGTATGCATTGCTATTGGAGAAGAAGGAAAGTATTCAGCAAGTTGCAGAGCTGCTTTTAGAAAGGGAACAAATTGGTTATGAAGACCTTGTTCGTATTTTGGGTAAGAGACCGTTTAAAGAAGTCCGTGATTATGAAGAAATCCTTGAACAATCTAAGAAAGAAATCAGTTCTTCACATTAGTTTGTAGTTGATGGCTTTAATGATATTGAAAAGTCGTCCCATAAACCTTGTGAACTTGCATATATTTTATGTTGTCAATATTGTGGTGGTTGCTCTAACCAGCCACAATTCCTACAAGTCCGAACACTTTCATTTCCATAATATCTCTCGATAATAGGTGGAAGATCTTTAACTAGATCCACACAGTGGAACGATTCTTCGTACAGTACATGTTGACAGTTTTGACAGTACCAACGAAGCTGATCCTTCTCTTCGGGTTTCCTTTGTCTTTCTACTACGAGACCAATAGAGCCAGCCTCTCTTTGTGGAGAATGTGGCACGCCAGCGGGTAGACAAAAAGTATCACCTTCCCTAACCGGTACTTCATAAAACTTGCCTTCGTGAACCACTTTCACAACAAGTGTTCCTGTCACGTTTCGTAACTCTACTTTAAACGTTGGAACAATCTTTACCTGATAGTTGATAAAAGAACTCTTCGCCACATTCAATATGATAGTCAGTTCTATAGTTGGGACCACAAACGATCATAACCTAGGTAGACAGTCACTGATTTGGATTCCACAAGTAGTATAACTAACTTTGAATTCTCCAGAGTACAACAGTCGGTTACCCACGGGAGGCTTTAAAAACTGTCTGTTCTCTTCAATCCATTTTTCCAAGCTGAAAGCTGCCAACTTGCGAGTAGAATTTGTTTCAGTGTTCTCTGTCATGTACAAGGCAGATAGCGCAACTCATCCACCAATGGAAATCGTTCAACTTACAATGAACTTCTCTTTTGTACAAATCTACTTATTGAACAATGAGAGTTTTATAAAAATCATAATCTTCCATGCTTATATATATATATATATATATGTATGCATAGCTTATCCATCAACTTCCAATTAAGAGTATATTTCTATTTTCGCCGACCAACTTGGAATGATGCGGTCGTTGTTGCTTCGAGTAGTAACTAAGAGAATTAGATACACTTCTCTGTATAGAACTTTCTCAAAATGTTCTTCAGATTCCTTTGGAAGCAGAGGGGAAACCTTGAAGACTTTTAAGATTCGCCCGTACCAGTCATATACTTCCAACGCAAGGGGCAAAGGTTTGTCTCAGATTTGTTCGTTGAGTACTTCATCTTCTGCACATCCTTCACCGAAATCAGGTCAAGTTAATACAGTTTCTGAACCCGTTGCGTCAAACTTCCACTTGGAGAATGCTTCAGACAACTTGGGTTCTTTGGATTCACTTCCTAACCAGGCTTTAGAAGAGATAGAGTCCAACTGGTTTGATCCAATGGTTTATCTGATACATAGGCTTCACGAGGCGACGGGTTGGCCGTGGTTTGCTTTACTGGCTGGAATGACTTGGTCTATTCGCTTAATGATGCTTCCTCTGACTTTGGGATCGTTGCGAACTTCTGCCTTACTGAACTCGTTACAACCACAGTTGAAAGATATTCAAGATAAGATTTCACGTGCTAAAGAAAGAGGCAACTCCGAGAAGGTGGAAGAATATAATAAGAAATATATGGAAATTCTGAGAGTGAACAAGGCCAATCCTATGAAAGCACTCTTTGCGCCACTTGCACAGACTCCCGTTTTTATTGCCTTTTTCTTCAGTTTGAGAAAATTGTCACAGATTGAGCCCACCTTCTCCAGCGGTGGAACTTTGTGGTTTACAGATCTTAGTGCGCCAGATCCATATTATATTCTTCCAGTAGCTTGTAGTAGTATTTTGTTAACGACTCTTCAGTTTGGAGGAGAAACAGCGTCGACTGCTACCAGTAGAACAGCATTCAATATGATGCGTTTGATGGCTCTCAGTATTATACCCTTTACTTATCAAATGCCGAGTGCTTTGTTTTGTTATTGGGTACCTAACAATTTATTTTCATTGGCTCAAACTTTATTATTCAAAGTTCCAACAGTACGAAAGGTTCTTAAATTGCCCGACAAGAGGAAAAAAGGAGACTCTACAAAGGATAGTCATGCGAAACAAGATGAACAGACAACATTTGATCATTTATATTCTCAAGCAGGTTCGAAAGCTGAACGAGAGGCATTGGCAGCATTGTCTTATAATTCAGCAAGAGAAGGAACGAATCCTATTCTTGTCGCTGCAAAACAAGGAATGAAGCCTCGACTCTTAGAAAAGAAAACTCGAGTACCGAGATGAATGAAAAGCCAAACGATTGGATGCCAACTGATTTCTCAAGAATTCCGTGTTGGTTTCCAAATATTTCGTCGCAGTCCCATAATACTTTTTTATAGTGAAATATGGTGTTTAAGATAATTCTTTCACAACTTTGGATATCTTCCAACCGAATCATTTTAGAGAGGGAAACATACATTGCAATCGAATGCAAGATTTTGATTGATTTTTTAGTAAACGGTTGGATACAGTTTCTTCAATGATATTCTATTCTGTTTTAATAATAATTAGATAGAGAAGTCTTTTTCTTCTTCTTCTTTTCATATAATGAAGACAAAAAGGTGGGTACGCCATCTGGCACAGTAACTGCATTGTGGTTCAATATTGCCTTGTCTCTCGACTGCCGTCTTTCCTCCTTTTCTTTTGCAAGGCGTTCTTGTAACTCAAGACGACGTTGATCGATAACATTATGTTGCTTCCTTCTTAACTTTGCTGCCAATTTATTCCTACCTCGTTTCCTCTTCTTCGGACGATCCTTGGGAGTATTTGCATTTCTCTCCAAATGCTTCAGCTCCATTAGACGACTCTGAGGATCCTGTTCTACTGTTCCTATCATTTGAGGATTCAAAGTGATTGTTGCTGGAGGAAGTTTCTCCAGAAGAAGTCGAACTTCTTTTTCTCTTCTTTGACGTTTCGTTTCGTATGGATGACTTTCAAAAGTATCAAAATTCGGTTCTCCTGCACCCGGAACAACCATAGATGAGAAACCTGTGGCATGTCCAACTCCTAAAACATCTTCAAAAGGACAGAAGCCTAAAGAATGAACCTCATTTCCACCTATCAACTCTTTCATATATGGTTTCGGTGTTGTTTCGTCTTTTTCGCTTAAATAATCTTTCCAAATCCATACTTGTGAATTCATACCAAGTGCAAGTAGTCCACGTTGGCTAACATTCATTTCGGTGGCTACACAAGGCAAAGACCACTGTTTCATTAAACGAAAGGTACGCAAGTCCCAAATCTTCACTTTCTTATCGCTTCCAGTTGTGATCATATTCTGTCCCTTTGGATCGAAACCAATACAAGTAACTGGTCCTCTATGTGCGGATATCTTAACCAATGGGTTCGAAGTCACTGGAGTCCAGAATGAAATTACACCGTTCTTGTGTCCCAAATGAATGATTCCGTTTTGCATATTCTGTGCCAATACTTTAGTCTTACCCATCTTAGTATCCAACTTGGATACGATTGTTCCCAAAGAGGTATCGGTATATATTAAGTTACCATTCTCTAGAGAGCTCACCAATAGCAAATGATATGGTAAAAAGGTTAATGCTGTTGGATAACGATGTTCTCTGAGACAATGAAGTTCTATTCCTTGAGCGTCATAAATAAAAGTATATTTTCGCTGAGCAAGTGCAAAATATTGATCAGTATGTAAGAAGGTAAGGTCACGAATTGTTTCTGATAAATAAAGCTCCGTTTGTAGTTTAGCTTCTCTCCAAAACGTTAAACCAACGTGTCCCTTTTTGCCAGCCAACAAAAGAGACCGACTGGAACGAGAGTATGTTACTTTATAAGGACCCAAAATGTCCAAATTCAAGTCAAATATTTTTCTTTTCGTCTGATCGTCAACCAAACCTTTCAACTTGGCTTGTGTTAGAGAATAAGTCTTCTCCAGCTCATTTTCTGGTTCCAAAAAGCCTTCGTTCTCTGGAAGCAACACTTCCGCCGCTACTGCCTTTTCAAGAGCTTCTTTTTCAAAGTTGTGGGACTGTTGAAGCAGTCTTTTACTTCTCGAACTGCCTTTCTATATAAACAGAAAGCGTCAAATGCAGCTCATCAAGAACAAGTTTTCAATACTCAAGTTACCTTTCCAGTTAGTCTTTCCTGACTTGTTCGTTGATATTTGCCCACTATCTTTTTATGCCTTTCTTCCAAATGTTTTTGTTCTTTTGAGTTCTCTCTTTCACCCTTAATAAACTCCTCGGTGTGAATGGAGCCATCGTCAACCATAGTCAATGGATGAATGTTTTCTCAAATCAGACTTTATAAGTTTAGGAACCATTTCAAAAAATAGGTGTTTTAACCACAAAAGCAAAGACTATTATCTACCTAATAAGATGCTCGTTCATTTAAGGAAGAGCTTCAAATACAAACTAGAATGTTAATGAACCGACGCTCGACGTCTTCTTCAGAGTAACCTTTCTATTTAGACAAGAATCTTAAGTTCATATCAAACAAAATATCGGTTGGAACAAATGGCTCAGTTGGTGGTGCATGTTTCGCATGCATTCTTCACAAGTCCTCAGTCGAACGAGACCGCGAAATCATCATAGCCGATTCAGCAACAACATAAATAGTCCTTACCTTGTTTTCATTCGTCGTTATGACTTTACAAGTTGACAACTCAAGATAACTTGGCGTCCTCTCCCGTGAGGAAGCGATGTCGGAGCGACACTTTGCCGAAAGAATTTGTCAATCATTTATATATTACTCTTTGGAAACTCTCATCTTGTGTGAAATAATTTTCTTCTTATATCAAAAGATATGCTCAACATGATGCTTTCACTATTCCATCCTTTCCTGAATGATACAAATAACAACAATAATAACAAATCATCCAATGCAAATACAACTGAAAATTACAAAGTCCTTCCAAAATACCACGTTTCCTAAGCAACAAAGAACTACACGTCACTCTTCTCTTCATTCAAAATGGACTCTATGGTTTCTCTCATATCCCAATATCTTTCAGAAGAGACACGATCTTCCTTGCAAGTTTCCTTTGGTATATCGTGGGACAAAAAACTGTCCCAGAATATAATGACTATATCAAGAAAACAAAAGAAACTCACCTGTTAAAACTTTCCTTCCAGTCAAAAGTGGACGATAAGTCTTGTGTATCAGTCTTTAGCGACAACAAGACATCGTGACGGCCCTTCCTCAACTTTTCTGCCAAATCTTCTTTCTTCGATACTTGAGAGTTGAAAAGCCTATACGTCTTTAGTATTATCAAAAAAGAATTCTTGAAGCAAAAAATACTTGTACAATCTCCATTTTGCTTGTTCCAATCGCAGTATGTTCAACAAGTGATAGATATTGACAAACTGTTCTTCAATGAGTCTCAACTTGAAAGTGTGAAAACTAAAAAAATTCTTAAAATAACTTCTCACCTCCTCTTCTATGGTAGACCAGTCAGGTTTCGAGGTGGTCAAGTTATCTAAAATGTTCATATAACGCTTCAAGCAGCAAAGAATAAGACGTTTGATGGCTCCAGTCTTTCTGTTCGAAAGTTGAATCACGTCAACTCAAAATAAAACAAACCCACTTTTCAGTTACTTTGAAAAGAATGGAGTGACCCTGTGACTCTAACGACGCTAAAAGCTCTTTTCCCATCTTTTCAAAATTTTAACACAAATATTGCTACTAGTGACCAAGGCAGACCTACTTTTCTTGGAACACCGAATATAACAAATTCCGAATCTTTATCAGGAGGCCTTGGAGGATCTACAAGCTCAGAGACTAGGAATCAACAACGTATAAGAGCTTTCCTAACCTTGAACATACGAACTATCTCGGAAAGGTTCGTACAATCTAGTCAAACATGAAGTTTTGTATTGACAGATTATCCTGAAAACTTACTCTTTGGGAGGAAAGGGAAACTGTGGAACCGCCTTCCTCGTTTCCGAACTCATCCACCACAGCTATTAATATCACTAATGCAAAAGACTTTTCTCTCATCGATCTTACCAAAACCAAGTTTCTCTTTTCAAATTCACTTCTAGAAAATGTCGAGTGTTCATGTTGGTGGTGTTGAGTGGTTGGTTGTACCTATGAAGAATCATTTTATGCATTTGAAAGATATTTTGTAGGAAGATTTACAATCCTCAAGGAAAAAGAAGAGTTCTAGTGACTAAGAAACTTGTAGGCGATCGCTGGTTGCGAGAACTGGAGGTTAGGTTTGTTTTCATATTTCAAACTTTCTCTAAGACTATATTCAGAACGCAGACTGTCGAGTTGAGGTATGCGATAGCAGAGAAATCTTGACTAACCAACAAATTGCTGAAGCCATTGGGGATCATTGTAGTGCCGTGATTGGACAGTATGTAGAGGATTCTGGAGTTGGTTTGTTCTAAAGCGCTTTTAGATTAACTGAAAAGTGGAATGAAGACTTGTTTGGAATACTTAAGAAAGCTGGTGGAGTGGTATATTCCAATTTTGCAGTTGGATTCGATAATATCGATATACCTGCTGCAACGAAGCATGGTTGTTGTTGTTATTTCAATTTATACTGTATACCAAAGGGTTCTAGGTATTCCTGTTGGCAATACTCCAGGAGTGCTTACGGAAGCAACTGCTGAGATGGCGGTCTGTTTGACCTATGCAGCAGCACGTCATCTTCTTGAGGCCAATCAATATCTTATAGAGGGCAAATATAAATCCTGGCTTCCAGATTTATTTCTTGGACAACAAATTTATCGCAAGAAACTTGGTGTGATTGGAACGGGACGAATTGGAAGTGCATATGCCTTATCGATGGTTCGAGGTAACCTGATGGATATAGTTTACTACGATAAATTTACAAATAAGAAAATGGAAGAACAACTTGAGCAGTTTAACCAATATTTGAAACAAATTGGAGAAAAGCCTATCGAATATAAGAATGCATCTTCCATGGAACAAGTTATTCGGTAGGTATTATCTTCGTTTTTAAGGATAATCATACCGACGAGTACATTTTACCAGAGAGGCCGATATTTTAAGTCTTCATCCCAACTTGGATAGTTCCACATATCATTTGATGAATGCAGAACGTTTGAAGTTAATGAAACCAAGTGCGATTTTGATCAACTGTGCAAGAGGTCCCATCATTGATGAGGCAGCTCTAGTGGAACATTGCAAACAAAATCCTGGTTTTGCTGCTGGTTTAGATGTAAGTTTTCATAACAGTTTGATTCGTTTGTGAAGTCATAGTTTGTATAGGTTTTTGAACATGAACCAGCGCTTGCCCCGGGTCTAAAAGATCTTCCAAATGTTGTTATAGTTCCTCATATCGCAAGTGCTACATTTTGGACCCGTTCTGCAATGGCAACCATAGCATCCTTAAACGTTGCCTCTATTTTAAAAGGATATCCTTGCTGGTCTTCAGGCGATATGACTCCTTTTGTTGGAGAACCTGGTGGAAATGGTGAGTCACCTTCTCAAGTTCCACCTCAGGCAGCTCCGAGTATTTTAAACGCAAAGGAGCTGGGATTACAGTCGCTGCAACCATCAAAAGCTGCTTTGTAGTTGACAACAGTAAAACTTGGGTATTGCTTTCATATGCTTTATTACAATGTGACAGTGTTATCCAACACTCGTCTTTCTTAACGAAAAATATACAAAACGGAATGAAAGATACTACAAACGACAAATCCCAAATATCACTCAAGTCTTGTTCAAAATACTCCTAACTTACATCAACTCTCACAGGCGCGGGAATAGGGTTCAAAAGACCACCACCACCACAACGAGGACAACGTTCTTTCAGAGAACCCTGACAACGTGTACAATTCATAACGCGACGCCTCTCTGACACTCCGCTTGGAAAAGACCATTTGGTGCATAAACAGTCAATATAACCAGTCCCGTCACAAACAGGGCACTTGCTTGCACCTTGCTCAAGCAACTCTGCCTTTCTTCTTTCTTCCATAAGTCTATCAAGTACCGAGAAAAACCACAAAGTTGTAGCTACACCAGTTACAAGTAACAAGTTTTTCATCCAAGAATCTGCGGCAAAGACACCATAATCCAGCAGAACCAAAAATTTTCCAGTCACGGGTGAACACCTTTTTGAAAGCCTAATATTGGACACACCACTTGACTGTAAAAAGTTGCAGTATGTTGCTCTTTTCCCAAAACGCCTCCAGTTGTAGAGGCAAGCATAAGTAGGACTCACAAACATGGAAGGTAGACAAGCCTCGCAAAGTAATTGCTGGCCAATCAATGAAATCAATTGAGACCATTCAAATGAGAATATCTGAGATTATATTTAGTTACAAGGACGCGGCTCCTGTTCAGGATAGAATGGGTGACATTGAAGTAAGTGTATGTAGCTTCGGAATTTTGTGCTTTACACATAGCACACTCAGACAGTAGTGGAGATAACTTGCTTCTTTGGCACTTCAATTTTAAGATATGGTTGAAATAGTGCGTCGTTAAAGACAGCTATTGGTTACACATTCGTATATGAAGAATACAAGGGCCTTCTACTTGTAAAGAAGATAACTGAAAATAAAATAGTTTCGAAGAATTTTCGACTTTTGTGTGCTAGACTGTATTCATACTCTAGACACAAGAAAATTCAGATAGCAAATGTAACGCTTATTATAGAATTTATGTGAAACAACTCGTGAGGAAATCTCGACTCAACCTGTATTTCTTTCAGTAACTATTTGTAGATAAACACCAGACTTAGCAATGATTCAAGGCTACAAGCTTTCGTGTCGAATTGTTTGGCTCAAAAATTACGTTACAACAAAGCTGGTGCTTAAAACTGACTCCGAGTTGTATCCAAATTGTTTTTGCAGCAATGTTCTAGAAACCTATTTATCTTTGTTGACTTGCAAGAAAATACTGAGGGTTATCTCAAGTGCTGATGTAAGTTAACTTTTAAACTTCTACATTCTCCCGTCTCATCTCATAGCCAAACATATCCAATTTTGTGGGGCTCCTCAATCTCCCAATCATAATGAGGGTGCGTTCAAATGGAGAACAAAATTAGATTCACGTAGTAAAAAATTCATTTTAGTGGAGATAATGTCGGTTTCTTTTGTGGACCTCCACTTGTTAACAAGAAGTGCACATACGTTGCCTTTTTTTTCTCAAGGGAAAAAGGACTTTCGAGAAACAGGACACCGTTGCGCAAGTAGTAGGTATACTTTTCGAAGGTGTTGCACAAGACGGCCTTCAATTGCTGGGTCTCGTCTCGTTTCACGTTTGGAAGGGAAGAACGACTTGTTAGAACGGTTCGACGCCAGTTCGAAGTATTTGAACAAAAAAAGAAACGACAGAGGTCCTGAGTTTTATGCAAACTTAGGGACAGTTATTGAAACGTTGAGAAGTGACTATTCACATATATTAGAGAAGGACATAGACTACTCGGTTTATGACGAAGACTTGATATTGCGAGACCGAGTGCACGGTCAATATTTGCAAGGAAAAGAAGCATACAAAACTGTATTATGGCTTCTGAGAGTCCATACCCATATTGCTTTCCGTCAGGCTTTTACGGACGTGAAAAGTATGTATTATGACGACGACAGTGCCATCATATATCTTAGATGGGGAATTCGTGCCGTTCCCAGACTATTGCCTTGGGTAAGTAAAGTCTTAATAAGACTACTCGGCACGGCTGATTTTGTTATTTAGGATGTACATCGCCAGCGTTACATTGACGGCCTGTCTATATATCGCCTCAATTGTGACGGTTGGGTTCAGGAGCATATTGTTGACAATGTTTTGCAGACACCCATCAAACTCCCATCTTTGGTAGAAAATTTGTTAAGTTTGGGAACAATTAGATTGCGTTCGCCAGCTGGTGTTGGCGTTCAAGGGGGTAGCAGTCAGTGTGGTTCCCAGTATAACAACTTTCTTGCATCAGTCTTAAAAATGTTTGTACAAGACGTTGAATCTGAAAGTGACTGCTCGCGAAGTAGTAAGGAGTCTCGAGTCACTTTGGAAAATCAGAGAGAGACTAGTTCTGACATGGAAGAAGGTTAGCGGTTCTGGCGAGAGCCATCCGATATAAACTTTTCTATTGTATATGTGTCTCATAATATGTCATAATGTACCTTTATTACTGCAAGTTAAGTAAAAGATCGATTTTCTGACATTTCCTGCTTTTTTTATTGCAAAAAAGGACGTTTTCAGAGCTCAAAGACAAAAGACTCGTTTCAAGTCATAAGTGGAAAGGAACTTCACATATTATTGCATTTTCACACATGACTTAATAGTGGAACGCTAACTAGTGTCCTTTCACAACACTAACATTCCTAACTGTTTGTGATGTAACTAATACAGTCGTATGTACAGGAGATTGTTCACGAATATCTCAAATACTTCAAGCTCAAAGATCAACACAAAAACTGTTTAGAACGATAAAAGAAATTCCGTAAACTCCATTTCAATTGCCTTCTCACTTCAACAATTTACTTGAGTTCAAGACTGCTCATCTCTAAAATTATACCTCACTTTGATAAGCAAATAGTCCTTCCGATGCGCCATTACAGTTTCAGTTCTTCGTAATCACCTGAGGAACGACAATTTCCTCAAAGCGAGTGTCTCTGGCATATGTCAACGCCCATTTGGTCTACATATTTTCAGCTTTGACTTTCACTCGTTATGAATACCTTACTGTGGCAAACGCTAAGTTATCCCAAGGTATCTTTTCCCATGGAAAAAGTTCCACTTCAAGGGTTTCATTGTTAGGAGCAAACTCTTCCAGTTCTGACAGTTCAGACCTAAAAATTAAGTGAACCTAGTGCGCGATTTAAATATGTGCTTCTATAACTTGAAACGTGAAGACTACTTGTCCTGCCGATACTAGATTGTAGACACCCAAAAGTTGGCCTTTTTGTATTTTCAATCCAGTTTCTTCCAATGTCTCCCTTCTTGCACCCTGAAAGCTTAAAAGAGCCACTTGAACAAAAAGTTCCCCTTTGACGCAAAAACTGTAAACATACCTACTTTCTTCCATTTCCATAAAACCTGCTGGAATAGTCCACTTACCATAGGAAGGTGGAATACCTCGTTTACATAAAATGACAGATGCCTTGTCCTCCAAAACACAAACTGCACCAACCTAGAGAAATATAAGAAGGACTAAAGAATATACAATCCCAAAGTATTCAGTACGTACGACAACTTTAGGATTCACATAGAAGACTGTGTGGCAACGGGAACAAACAGCGCGAACTCGATTGTCTCCTGTCGGAATCTTCCACTCCGCTTTGGAACCGCAGCGCTATATCGTTGAGAAGACACTAAGCAAGTCAACAAATGACTCATATCTGACATACACTGCAATACTTGATATTTCTGATATACTCTGGAAGTTGATTCTCTCTTTCACTAACTAAGGAACTACATAGCAATCTCCTATTTGGGGCTTCATCAAGGCGACTTCTGCCCAACAAAGAGAACAATCTTATTCCCAAAAAATAGGTCATTGAAACATTTTTTGTGGTTTCACTATTACAAACGCGCTTCCAGTGTCTCTGAGAATAAAACGCTGTGAAACCGAGGCCAGAACGAATCATAGGCTTCTCTGATCTACACAACCTCACACGGCATTCTCAAAATTTTATATGAGTCTTTCATTAGCAAATGAAATATAATGTCGCCACAATGGGCTCTCAACGTAGATGCCAACATAATACTGCCAGTTCCATCCTATCGTTCTACTCACTTTATAACTATTTCAAAAGAATTCACTTAACAACTTTCCAAATATTAGACACAAAATTTCACGAATTACAAAGGCAATTACTTGAGTAACTAAGGCTTGCCATCAACTAAAACGACACTCGATATACAAAAACAGATAAATAGGACGTGTCCTACGTCAGAAAAATAGAAGAATACTTCAAAAAACAACAACTACGGGACAATAAAGTGCGAAAACTGGTCTATACTCTGTAAACGAAACACACCAAAATCAATATCCGTTTAGGATAATTACAAACAACTTGTAGATCATTCGTTTTTTTCTCATACGATGAATAACTCCACCTTAATTACCAAAGAAATCTTTTTGAACCCGACCATAGTTCTTCGATACATCGAAAACTTCCCACATGGACGCTGGATAAATATGTTTATTCCTTTCGTACCATCTCCGTTCTACAACCTGAAGTAAAAGTAAGCTAAAGCAACAAAGATTGCTTCCCTTACTAACCTTGGCAGCATGACTATCATCCTTCTCTACTGAAGCATCATTTCGAATCCTTATGTCCTCGTGCACATCAAAACAAAATAAAGAACCATTCTTCCCACGTGCTTTCATGCTTATAAGGTCATAAAACGACAAGTGATGGGGAATAATCATATCTTCTTTGATGAACATCAAGTCCTCAACCTTACAGTGCTTAAGAGTTGAAACTTTCTGCTGAACTATGCTGAGAAACTTGGCAATAGTTGTACCTTTCTTACAAGACAGCAACTTGCGCTGACCTCTACCATCCCATATGCTATATATTATATCAATCTCTTCATTCTTTACGCGTTCTTGTTCACTAAGCCATTGTTGTTTCAGTCGCTCTCTTTCTAGACGTTCCTCTTGTTCACGGTCTCTGTCTGGTAAGAACGACGTATCTACACCAGGATCCATACCAATTTTTCGGTTTTGCTTTCCAAAGAATCCTTCCTCCTTTGGGGAAAATACATCGGGCTCCTTGACAATATCTTGACCTGACGTATTAAAACCAACACCATTCGCTTTCTTGGAAGAAGCGAAACGTGTTATTTTGGCGAACTCCACTGAGTTTTCTTCTTGGTCTTCCAAACTATCTCCAAACGATAGACGACTTAAGTTTGCTCGTTTTACTCTCTTTTTCTTAGTTTCTAACTCTTCTGCTCTTCTGGAAGCGTTCTGACAAGCTGCTTCTGCCACGGCGCACCTTTCTAAATACTCCCGTCTTGCTCTAAAGTCCTGAAAAGTCACCAATCCAACAGTATCTTTTCGAAGCAAATCTTCAACAACATCTTTATGAGCAGAAAATTTATTCGAAAAGTTTGAACCGTCGTGGCTGTTCATGTCGGACAGCTTGCCTTGGTCCATTTTCAAAGTTCTCTTGTCAACCCACCCCCACAACGGTTCAGTGATCGTCGAGTGACAAAGCATTCGACGTCATCACTAGTCAATAAAACTTTCCAGAACGATGAACTCAACCAATCAATAGTTTCAGTATTCGCAAGAAGACGTAAAGTTACAAATTGCTACTCGAATAAAGACTAAAAGTTCAACACTCTATGAACACTAATGCTTCTTTTTGTGATACGTTTGACCCTATTTCCTAAACTCGTGTTTCCTTAAGCGTGCTGATGACAAGTGAATAACTGCTATTACGATAAATTTCAAAAGTACATGAGATAAACTCAAAACCTTATACTTTACAAGAACCTCAGACATCATGACGCACAAACAAACGATATCTTATATCTCTAGAAAAATATATAAAAGCTTATTCGGTCCTTTCAGGTTGCTGGGTGGGTGGTTGAGAAGCGCCAAATGAAGGCGGATACACGGTAGCGTTGCCAGTATAATACGATGGCGTAAAGGTTTCGTATTGCGTAAACAACGGATTGAATCCTACAGGCAATGTACTACTTGACTGCACCGTCGCTAAATGAGCGTGTCAAACGTGTTTCAAGCAAAGCCGCAAGCTACACTTACTCGCAAAGCCGTATGTGGGAACAACCAAGCCCAGAGCGACTCGTCTTTCAAAATCATAAACCTGTCAAATTAAGCAACGCTGCAAGAACGACGAGTATACTTACCACAGCGTCAATCTGCTGCTGCAAGGACTCACCTATAAACTGTCTATAATACTCAGCAACTAGCAGTCGGTGTGAGTAGCAAGGTACCCAATTCTGAATAGCCGTACTTACAATTCATACGGTGCCTGTTACCATCGTTATGTTGCTTACGTACAGCAGGCTTCCTTGGATTAGCTAAAAAACACAAAGCAATAGAATACACTTACCGAGTCGTGCGTTAGATAAACATCACAATAGTCACAATAGTATTTGCCCATGAAACAATCAGACTACGATTTTTAATAATCGCATCTTTTCTGTATAGACTCCTTTGAATTTCATTTATACAGTAAGCATAAATATATATGTCTAGTGAAATATTTCGATTTTCAAGTTCACTAGTAAAAGGGTGTGAATTATAAAGATCTTCAAATTGGATAGAACAACTATATTATGAAGTAACGACTACAAAGTTTGTACTGTGTAAAGAAAATCGCCATTTTAGTTCCTGAAAAGAAATTTCCCATAAAAATCAATGAGAAACCCGGGAAATAGATTTTGAACACAAGGGCATTCTCTCGAAGCTGTTTGTGAATTTTCATGGCTACTTCACCACCACCTCCACCACAACCAAAAGGTGCTGGACTACTCGCAAAGCCTCCTCCTCCTCCTCCTATTCCTCCTCCTGGGAGCAAAAATATAGCACGCAGCAATCCGTCAACTACAGCTCAACTTGCCAATAATACGGAATCTCCAGTGCCGCCGCCACCTCCTCCGGTTTCAACGAGTGGAGGAAGGGCAACAGCGGCTCCACCGCCACCTCCTCCACCATCTTCCAGTGCTGGAACGAAGAGTGTCCCTCCTCCACCTCCGCTTCAAGCTCCAAAAAGTGTGGCAAACGTAGCAACGCCTGCTCCACCGCCACCTCCTCCACCATCGTCAAGTGCCGGAACGAAGAATGTCCCTTCTCCGCCACCGCCTCAAGCTCCGTCGAGTGGTGGGAACGTAGCAAAGGCAATACCACCTCCTCCTGCTCCTCCAAATATTGGAAGCTCAAGTGCTCAAACACAAGTTATAGAAAATTCAAATCGGCAACTACCACAAAATTCGTCTAAAGTTCAGGTAAGTTTGATATGATTAAAGATATTGTACTGGATGCCTGAACAGCATCAAGCATTCTCATTTCGTCTCGGCAGATATTTCATCATCTGAAATCCAACCTGCAAACCCAAATCAGGGCGAAGCGACATCGCAAAAATCTGCAATGGCAACTTCGGATGTCGGAGCTGATCAGGATAAGGATAAAGAATTCAATTTGCGAAAACAAAGTTCTCATGGCGATAAAATCAATATGAATCCCAAGGAACCTCAAAAGGTAAGCAATCCTTTATAATACACTCTGGAAATATCGTTGATTGTCCTTTTAAAAGGCTGCTGTCCCTTCTTCGACAATTCAGCGAAAGAGACAACAGTCCAACTTGTTTTCGAAGTTAAAGCAAAAGAAACAGCCCACTACAGATCTTGAAAAGGAAGGTGTCCGTACAGAATTTGTTTACGCAGATGGAGCGCAGGAGGATGTATTGTTGTCGGGAGATTGGAATAACTGGACTCCTATTCAGATGTATCATGAAGGAGGTAACTAAAGTTTTCTTTCTTATAAGTCAATTAACCGTGATCAAGGTGGAATATGGTCGGTTGTCACTCTGGTTCCTCCAGGGACTCATGAATTTAAGTTTATCGTGGATGGAGAGTGGCGACATAGCACAAGACATCCAACTGTGGGTATTGATGAAGAAAGCAAAAATAATGTGAGAGTTGTTAAAGGCCCTCCAACGATACAGCCCAAAATGGAGTTACCAACAAAAATATCAGAGAAAGATCTCACAGACGATCAGATGGGATGCAACTGTAGCATACAGTAGCATTAAGGTCTTATATTTATCGTTCAAAAAGTATGAATAGTTTATCAGTCCATTTGTTCAATTCACGTGCAGAACAATACGGATATGACGACAGACTGCTTGTGTGAAGGATGCGTCTCGATTCTTCCAGAGACCACGAGGAGCACATTCCAACTAATAAAATATTTTTCAGTTCTCATCAGATAGAAAATCCTACTCAACTGACCTTTTGACAAAATGGTAAAATAACATCACGAGCATCTTTCAATATTCTCTCCAGTTGCACAGCTGAATATTTGTGTCCAAAACTAAACGCAGCAATCTGAGTGTCTATATATTTGTTTGCGTTATTTCACATGCATTAAATGTAAAAAGCTTCGTCTTACTAGGTTCACCATATAACTGATCTTTGCACATGGTCAGAATTCTGTCAATCACTAACAGGCCATTCTCAAGAGCATAAAAACAGACAGTTGCCAGACTTCGAGCATTTGTGGAATCTTTCTTGATTGCGGATAACACGAAAGAAGGCTCTGAAGATTACCATATCAGAACAAAAAACTCGAAACATTGATTTCATAGTACCTTGAATATTAGTTGCATATTCTTCCTTTGTAAAATCAACGAATAATTTGGTTTTCGAAGTATCCCGAGAATACAACTCCATCTTATCCGCTTCTTCGTCAAAAAACTTCATTTCTGTATAAGCAGCAAATACACATCCACATATCTCACTTAATGACGAGACTACGTTGCCTCTAGTCTTTAAGCCATCCACAGAATCAGGTTTTGAGTTCAACGAAAAATTCTTCCACAAACTTGGAAGCAAGTGTAATAAAAACAAATATATTCGTCGACACTGGCAACGGACATAAAGGTAATCTCGTTCCAACAGAGAACCTTCCCAAAAGTAAACCATTCTTCTCCATATGGTTTATAGTTGAACGACTTACCGTTTTCCGGATGAAAAACATTATTTCTCGAGAGTTGAATCAAGTCTGTTGGTTGAATGCGTGGGACATAGGAGCCTTCAATATGTAAGGAAACACTTTTTTCCAGCTGAAATACATCTCTGTCTTGACAAACTCGAAAAATTGCTTCAAAGCATAGCTTCGTAATCGATGAGATAATAGGAGACTAGACAGTCTTAAGTGTTAATATTCAGTTCTTCTAAAAGAAACTACTTACTGAGGCAGCAAAAGGTGCAATCAGAACTAGTAGCTGACCCAGTGAATGGACCAACCTTAGATTGCTAATAAAAATAACAAAACCAGGACTTCTCACTATTTGTCTCAAGGGAGTCTCCATCGCATCCAGACAGGAGAGACATAAATCCAACAAAGATTTCGGAGGCGTCTCTTTCAAAGTATTACAAAGAATGGAACTCGCAGTTTGTATCAAAGACGATATTATATGAATACTTGTTTCTACAGGAGCTAGTAGACCAGAGTGAATAAGCAACTCGTCATTGCGAAGACCACTAGAAAGCAAATTGGACGATGACTCAAGTCTAACATTCATTTGATGAACAAAACTTCCTCCATCGGCAACAAACTCCATAAACGGAATTAGCGAATTCGTAAACTTTTTTAAGAGTCATCCTTCCCGATAATAATTTTAAAGAAAATACCAACTAACCTGGCACTCTGTCAGGACACCCACATCTTCCAACGAAGCCATAGATTTTATCAAACACAACAGACTATCCAACAATGGAAGAGCAATAAAACTCTCTTGCTCATTTTCCGTATTCGAGTCATCTGCACGTGCATATCGAACAAGAGAATCAGATGATAACAAATTATCCTCGTTACTCCTCAACTGAACCGCAATGCTTCGATAAATACTCCGCTGAAAATGGCCACTAGAAAAAATGTTGTAAAATAACTGTCGCAGCCTTCCATTTGCTCGCAACAACTGATGAATATCTAAACCAAACTCTCCAAGCATCAGTCGATGAAATACTGTATACTGAATAATGACGGATAGCATTGACGAACTAACTGCCAGTTTGGATAGTGAGAGATGATGCCTTGCTTCCGAAATGAAGATATCGATGATCCATTCGATAGTAGTCTTTCGAGAATGGAACGCATGTTGACTTAAAATGTTAAATATTTGCTTAGCATCTGCAACCTTTTCGCCGGGCTGATTTGTGTCATATGTCATATATTCTGTCAAGTACTGGAATACTGTAGTAAGACTTGTCCATAACGAAAGACTTGTTGTTGAGGATTCCTTCAGCTTGAGCATCCACAAAATCAAAGTCTTGGTAGCCAAAACAAATATATTATGGGCATAGAACATACTCAATCGAGGGATAGAAAGGTCATGAAGTTTCCGCAATAGAAGAAGAACTGTCGCATGAATACTATTGTCCGATAAAAAAGTCTTCGTTGTTGGTTGTTCTTTGCTTGACATTAAGAAATCGACGAAATTCAGCAACTGCAAAATCCACGAGGAAAGCATTTCTTCCGTATTTGCCTGTTTCTTGGAATCCGAACGACACGTGGCAGCAAGCAACAACTGATACCAGCTTGAAAACAAATTTTCGAGTTGTTCAGAATGAATTGTGTCAAACGAGGTAACTATTAGAGTCAAACTAGAAAAAAGTTCCGATATATGGGATGATACTTCCAACTCTGCTATGTGAATTCCTTCATTTGCATTTCGATATGAATATTCAAAATAACACAACGCAATGAGCCGCAATGAAGATGAGAATGATTGGCAAAATAGCGAAGGATCTACAACATGAGAGATGAGATTTTCCTTCGACTGAAGTCCGTAACATGTCAGTAATTGAGTTAATATTTCCATTTTGTGAAGACCAATATAGCGAAACGCAAATAAACTTGTCGTTTGTCTACTGCAAATCAAGGACAAAAACGACAAGGACACAGCCAAGTTCTTGTCAGATAAGCTTTGGCTCTCAGCTAATACAGAGACAACTTTTACAACTGCAGAGAATATTCCTTCTCCAATTGATTCGATGTTTTCAAAACCTAACAAGTATAAACCTGCTTCTTCATCGAAACTTGTTCCTAACGAACAAAATACAAAATACAATAGAGACTCTAACACTTTGTCTCTTCTCAAAAACTTCTGCAAGTTTACATCAAAATGTAATGGTTCCCATAACGGTGCCTCAACCACCGAATCTAAAATGCTTTGACATAAGGTTGATCTCGTCTTTTGTCGAAGTGTAGAACTCAAACATGTATGAATAAAAGTATTTGAGCAGGCAGCACATGAACAAAGGGTATCTGCTGATGCGTATACCACCAATGAAAATGGAAATGAACCTAAACCAATGAACGAAAGTAACGACGAAAGATATGTCGATTCGGAAGAGATGAGATCAGAGAGGGAGCCAACAGAAGAAGGTAAAAAGCCTAGTCGATGACTTTTGAATAGCTCTGTCAAGCGCTGGACGACGATGCAACTACAACAAATGCTTTTGCATATGAATTGTAATAGTTCAAGATGTCCACTATCGAGTGCATTGATAAGTGCTGCTTCTCCTTCTCCATCTGCGGACATCATTAAGATAACATTATGAAAACAATTACTAGCAACGGATAAAATATTGTCCGTATGACAAATATCCGTATAAATTTGGTATATGACAGAGAAATATTGCGAATCTGCCAAACTATTGTGTGCTAGCAACAAAGCAATCAAGCTAGAAGCATTGAAAGCAAGTTGCCACTTATGTAAGGCAGACAAATATTCCATCTTTTTCCAGTTTGAAATGATAGTTCGGATAGTGATATGTCCAATGTTCTTCAAAATAGAAATTCCTGCTCCTTCCAATGTCCTTGATCCGGCATAGAGTTGATTAATGTAACCTTTGGCTAAATCCAGCATAGCACAAACAACTTCTAAAGCATCAGGATGTTCTATAGCCTGATTGTATTCACGACGAATTCCAATACCATCCCCTCCAAAAAGATGCTCTAATAAGTGAAATGATAATCTCTCCGAACGCATATCGTTAATAAAATGTATCAGCGAGGCTTTCAACTTTGCAGGAATCTCCAGTAGAGACAATTGCAAACATAGTACTGCTAACTCTTGAATATTACTTTCCGTCAACGTGGTTAGCAATAACTGTTCATCAGTCAAAGCACATGCATCGAGAGTGTCAATAAAGGCAGCCAGGGTGAGACCTTCTGCTTCTGACAAATAAAACAATTCCTTTGACTCCGCTTCGGTTACTTGTTCACGCCCTTTACTTAAAGCATTACAATAGTACTTTAGTGTGAGATAAATACGTTCCAGTGAAGCAAAAGGATGTCCGGAATGACTTAAAAAATTCAAGACCAAACAAGTCATCTGATGTCCTCCTTTTGCAAAGTATTTCAGCATACGAAAAAAAGAAATAACAGTTGAAAAGAATACGGGACCCGCATATGGGATTTCAGAATTTCGTTCTACAATATCGCCAATTTCAACGACAACATTGCCATAAAAAGACACCAAATTTCCTGACTGGGCATTCCATATTCGATAAGAATGGATATCACAAACTTTGCAAGCTCTTCCAGTGAGTGAAATAAGATATGCAATCAAACTGGCATTGTTGTTTGCTTCATGAGCTTCGGGTTTGACTTGTCGACACTGAAAGAAACTGACCTTCTTGCAAACTCATCTCCACGTCACCATTTTCAACTCTGTCCAGAAGCCTTACGATAGCTTCTCGACAACGAATACTCAGCATTGAACAAAGGTTTGACAAGTCAACGATATCATATATAAGTTCCGCATAGCCGTCTCTCATCAACCCTACATCTTCCAATAAACTGCCGTATCCAACATCTAGAAATTCACCTAAATGACTGTCAAGAAACTCAAAAATATGGCCTCGACACGTTAGCTGTACTAATAGATCGATTAGTGAGTCTTCATCGAGTTGAGATGTCGAATTACAATAAACGAGAAATAGGCAACTCATAAAACTAGGAACAGCTATGGCTCTAGATTCGGGAGAAAATAAGTCCGTATCACTAGGCACATTCTTTCGCAATATTTCTTCAAGACGTTGCAGAAAATCTCGATTCGATAATAGAAGATTCTTGTCACTACGTTTGGTTCTGGGATCATACAACTCAACTACTCGGGAGCGATCCAAGGCTGCATTTAACGCTAAAAACAAACTACATACGCTGTTCTTGATATCTCTCACAAAACAAGAGAAGAGATGAGCTGAGCTTCCATATGAAGATTCTTTTATCCAATGCTGTAATTGGAAATAAAACTCGAGGATTTGTTGGACCAGTTTGAAAAGTTCTACAACTTGATCGGAGGTTGACTGGCAAGTATAACACATAAGGAAAACACATAAACTAAGCAGATAAGGCTCGTCAGGAAATAAATAGCCATAGAGTTGATTGCGGTTCAACTCTATCAAAGCTCTCTCTTGATTATCATAACTCACAGATTCCAGAGCCTTCTTAACAGCATCCTTATCTAAAACATTCAGCCATCTAGAAATTCTTGAAGTGAGGTTAGAAAATAAGGCTTCTTCTTTGACTAGAATATCTCTAGAATTCAAAATGGCCTAGAAAGATAGGTAAGTTAATCCACACAAACATATGTATACCAAAATCTTACTGAAAAAGAAGGCTCTTCTTCAGGTTCCGTTAGCGGAATTCTTAGAATATCTAATAAAGCTCTCAAAATCAATCTTCGTCTATCGAGAAGAACTTGTTTCGCCCTTTCAACGGCATTCCTACGAGAAACTGTCATTTCCAACAATCAATTCGTTTCACAACCCACTCAATACTACAAAATCCATCCTCGCTTTTGACTTCCCATAATAGCTCAGCTGCTTCTAGCTCATGGATATCCAACGCATCTGTAGAATAGAAACAAAAATATTCATAAAACTAGGCAAACAAAACCGAGCACTTACCACTCAACAAAATAACAGCCCTTCCAAAATCTTCAGCGACTCTTCTTTTTGAACCTTGTAACACAATCACACCTTCCGATATAATTTGCTGCCGCGCTTGTTCGTCCCTTCCTCTATTCAAACTAGTTGGGTACTGCTTGAAAAGAAAAACCGATACTTCCTTACTTTTTTAACTTTGGATCAAGAGGATTGGAGAGAACTGAGTGCCATATTCTCAGTTCTTGTGGCTCAATGGTCACAGACTTGAGCAACTCTCTTAAACAACTCATACAAAAGTTTCTCCACACAAATCTTTATTATGCATTGGAGTCATTCGAAATGTCTTGGTGCGGTTTAAAGAACGCACCCTCTACAAGTGTCGTCTCGGGCTGATATTTGCCGTATTCAGTTAACTGTTCTGTTATACTCGTCAGAATACTACCGACTTGCGAAAAGTCCAAATTCTAGTATAAACTTTAAGAAACATAAACCAAAATCAAATATTGAAAGCATACCAGGTTCGTACATAATTGTCGCGCAAGTAAACGTATAAATTCCTCTGACAATGGAAAGTCCAACACAAAATTTCCACAATAACTCTCATCTCCAAAAAACAAAATGAGTTCAACGGCTTCCTTCCACATTTCCATATCGTCAGTTATGCATATCTGCTGATAGTCAATAGCGGACCTAATAATATTCTCGCAAATATAGGATAGGTTATTATACTTCTTGTTTGCAGTGCTATCACCCATTCCAATTTTCTCTTCTCCCCCATTTTTTGAAAGTCGTGTGTGTGCGTTGACTCGTTCGTCTGAGTGTATTATCGGCAGCCTAAGCTCTATTCGTATAGGAGCTTTATGAAACGAAGTAGTTGCTTCTATAAAAGGTTCCAAGTTGGGACAGTAATTGTACTCTGCAAGCTCTGGTTGTAATTCACAAGTAGTTGTTACTTTGGGCTGCATTTGTAATAAAGAGGATAAATAGTTTTGGGTTGAACTAGATTCCTGATGTAACGCAGTATCTATACTGTCTCGATAACGGCGATGTATCTCTTCATCCACATGGTTAACCCAAACGTATTCGTCTGCACTGAATCCGACGTTATCTCCAGATTTCTCTTTAGTAGACTCAAGTTGCTTCATATCGTTGTCAGTAAGATGAACTTGTTCAATAAGACAAGCACGCGCAGTATGGAACTTTTGCAACGAGCAATTGTCGTGGAATGATATCAATTCATCCCTCGCTGCTTCCTTGCACAAATTCTCGCTGCTCACAGGGAGATTTCCACTGCTTTCAGATAAAAGTTGCTCTTCCAAGTTGCTGAATGAAATGCTACCAGACGATTCAGTTTGGTCCATAATAAAACTTTCAGTTTCTATGGCGCAAGTTCTAGTTATACGATCCCATTCGGTTTGGATGCAAGAATAATCATTGGACTGCGACGTTGTCGTCTGTTTCCCTAGTATCTTTGGAGTTCGTCGTTTCTTGCAAGATTTCAGTATTCCTGTTCCACCCTGTTCCGATTCTAACAATGGAAGCTCCTTCCGCAATGTTTGATACGCATTTAATATTTTCCAAACAATTTCTCGAGAGAGCTTCTTGCATTGACCTGACAAATACTTGCCCACAGTATTCTTTCCAATTCTCGCAGCCTTTGCAAATTCTCTTCTCGACAATCCATGGCATTTTAAAAAAGCATTGATTTCTTGTCTCCAAGGTTCAAACTCTGCAACCGAATTTGGAATAGATAAACCAACAAACTCTAATAAATCATGGAGTGATCGCTTTCCATGAAAGTCGGAGAAATCTGGACTTTTTTCAGGCTCTTCAGATAAATAGTAAGGAGGGTCTATAGAAATATGCGATACCCCTCCAGCTCGTGTTTGCTTCCATGCATTTTGAGTATCACTGCATTTCAAGCACAGTGACCTTCGACAGTTGTCGTCAAAAAGAATGTTTGCATTTGACTCTTCAAGCACTGTGCCACGGCACGCAGCCACATAAGAAGGATGCTTAGCATTCAAAAATTGCGAATGTTCTCTGTTCCAGTAAACGCCTTGATTCGCTCTATCCCTTTCTTGCGGATATAACCAATTCTTCGTCTCTGTAGGATATCTACAACTTTCCGACTTTGACTGAGTATTTCGAATACACCCAGCTTCATTGTTATGCAAAGGTATGAAGCTGGTGTACGAGGGAAGGTTTCGAAGACTCGGTTGGAACTCTTCTGACGCGGAACTTGACAAGTTCTCCGAATAGGACCCAATAAAGGAAGGTAAAAGTTGACAAGAACATGCTGTATCGCTCTTATTTAAGGGAGGGAGTTCATCCTTCAAATATTTTTCACACAAGTCTTCCCTCTCTTCCTCCACCAGCTGCACACTTTGAGTGTACACTTCCAACTCCTCCAGAGCCCTAGCGTTCATTGAGTTTCCAAGCTCATCAATAGTTTTCGCTGAAACATTTTCTTGGGCTCTCCAATACAAACTGCCTTCAACCAAGTCCGGTAAGGATTCCTGTTCTTGCCAGTTACTTGAAGTTAAAACCTCCTCTGCGAGACCCTTTTCTCCTTGAATCCAGTCCTCGTGTACTACTTGTTTTTCTTGCATATGAGACGACTCTCTACAAAAAAATTCATATGTAAATAGAGATAATTATCAGGTTTCAAGCTTTGCAACTTACAGCTGGCCAGTAAAATCACTCATTGATTCGAAGAAGCTGTCCAACTCGAAAACCATCTAAGAAACCCTGAGTAACGCATTAACAACTAAAAATGGACTTGTCCCAACCTGAAACTTGAAACAGTTAAGAAAATACCACACGACAAAGAAGCGCAAAACATAACCCAATAATGGATGAGGCCATTGCAAATCCGTCAATTGACTAAAAATCAGCAGAGACGGTCGATTGGGAGAGAAACTTGGATGGAGTCTGATGCGGTACATGTCGTTGTAGGAAGCATTGGCTATTGCTGATATCTTGTTCTAGTGGGAAATGGATTTGTCACTGTTCGATATCGAGTCAAAAGAGAAAGCTCTTCTCGAACAAATGCAGGTGAGTGGCTATGAGCACGAGTTTATTTTGAGAGTCGACTGTTCAATAGGCATATCAAGCAAAGCTGGACGAACTTCGGCGTATAAGAAAGTCTCAGAGAAGAAGACCTAAAAGATTACCATCTTCCGGTTCACTCGACTCCGTGTAAGCTTTTCATTGAGTGTCCTCAGTGTTGGAGTGCTAAACAGATTGTAGTCCTTCTGGTACCTCGACAACTGCTTCAGAAGCTGCTCCACAATACAAAAGAGTTATTTGTGTGAGCTTGCAATTGCCTTCGGAAGGAACTTGTTCAAGTAGATCGTTGTTTCAGACAGGACTTGCGAATGGTTGGTTCTGCTCCACTAGTTTGATATGAGTCACGAGTTTGTTTTGTGATGATATTTGTAGGTATTATTGATTTCCAGTCAATGAATAATTTGCCTTTTGCTTTTGTTGGATGCGCTCCTTCAACAACTACAGTGGGAAGTCCTAATGCAACAGAAAAACGGAGGTTACATGGAGAACAGTTCTTTCCTGTGCTTTTACCACAAGAAAGTTTTGAACAGTACTTTTCATTTTGTAGACAAATCTTGTGGAACTTGTTGCATTACAATTTTTCAAAGCTACTAAGTAGCGATGCATTTGAGTTGCACAGAGGATGGTAACTTTGAAAGTCGTTTCTTCAAATAGTAAAGTATTCTGACATGACGTAATAGGGAAGTTTATAGAGAAGTTAACATTCAGTTTGCAGAAGCAGTTTGTGAAGTTTATGAAGACGGTGATATGATTTGGATCCACGATTATCATTTCATGTTACTTCCTGAAATGATTAGAAGTCGTCTATGGTATGCAAAGATTGGAATATTCTTATATACACCGTTTCCAAGTTTTGAAGTGTTCCGGTCCTTTCCTTGGAGAACTGAATTGCTCTCTGGATTGTTGGGTAACTCCTTCATTTTGTATCCATACAGAAAGTTTGAATATTGTCGATCATTTTAGGTTCGAGTTTGGTTGGTTTTCATAACTACGACTCATCAAGACACTTTTCGGAGTCCTGTTCACGTCTCTTAGGTACAGAAGGAACTCCAAAGGGAATTGAAGTTCGTTCGTTAAACGCAAATGGTCATCTTTGTGAAATTGGAATCTATCCGTATGGGATCGATATATTGTCACTGCGCAACTTGGCGAATAAACAGTCTGTAAAGTCGAGAATGAACAGTCTTAAAGAAAAGTTTTCAGGGAAGCAAGTCATTGTTGGTTTGGATAGATTGGATGATCAATTTGCTGGTATTCCATTGAAACTTTTGGCTTTTTATGAATTATTGAAAAGAAATAGAAAATGGCAACAAAAAGTCGTATTTGTAGAGGTTCTTTTTTGTTTCTTTCTATAATACATTGTTATTATGACGTATTCTTTTTAGATCGCAGTTGCCTCAGAACGACCATCTCAAACCTGTCTCAAACAAGCAGAACATGTTTACGAACTCGTTGGACTTATCAACTCTGAGTTTGGAACTTTTGGTTTTTGCCCTCTTCATTTCGTCAACAGGGAACTTAGTCCAGAAGACGTTTGTGCTTTATTGTCGATTGGAGATATTTGTATAGTTTCTTCTACAAGAGATGGCATTAGTTTGGTTTCTTATGAGTGGGTAGTAAGTGTATTTGCTTCTTCTACTCTGAAACTCAGATAAGCTGACTGTGGTCTTCTGTTAGTTGTGTCAGCATTCAGGCAATCACGGTGTTTTGGTTCTCTCCGAATTTTCAGGATCAGCGTTATCTTTTTCTAGTGCGCAACACGTAAATCCTTGGAATACGGATGAACTGGTATCGGTTATTGAAAATTCTCTTTCTATGACTCGTCATGAGCGAAAATTGAGACATGACGTGGCTTATGATTTTGTCTCTACACATACAGTTAAACTGTGGAGTAATAATTTTTTACAAGGTAGGAACAGCATCACTTGGTCTTTATTTGTTCTGGTTATCATTTCTTGTCTACAGACCTGGAAGAAGTGGAAGATAATCGCCTTAGCACGAAGCAAATTGTATTTTTGGATCCCAACAAAGTTGTGGAAGCATATCGAAACGCAAATGGAAGACGAATCCTATTTTTGGATCACGGTGGCACTTTGGCTCCATTTCAAAGTATTGTTCCTTTGGCTGGTCCTGGGGCTTCAGTCGTGCGTAATATACATCGATTGGCGTTGAATTCACAAAATGTATTGATGATTGTATGCGAGAGAGATCGGACAACGGTATCTCGCTGGTACCAGATTCCAACTTTTGTAGAAAATGAGCAAAGTTTTCACATTTCTTCTTCATTCAATAGCTTTGTTGGTGTAGAACAGTTTTCTGATGCTAATAATTGGAAACCAATATCTTCCGTATCTGCATCAGCATCGGATTCCTACTGTTCCTTATCCACCATGGACGATTCCACTATACCCAATGCAGGTTCCAAGATTGGTCTTGGTTGTGAAGATGGCTTTTTTATTCGACGTTCGGGAATGGAACAATGGGAGGAGTTGCATATCAATGCGTTCAAAAATGTGACACATTGGGAAAGTTATGTGTTGCCTATATTACAAAATTTTACGGAGCGCACACCAGGTTCAGTCATTGAGAGAGGAGAAGTGTCTTTGACATGGTATTATCAAGATTCAGACCCTGACTTTGGAGAGTGGCAAGCGAGAGAATTGCATAAACACTTGGAAAGTATTGTTGTGCAGGTATCATTTCCTTTTATATATAGGTTGGCATAAAACTGAAATGATTTTTGTTGATAACAGCATTTGCCATTGGATATCGTTACAGGAGATGAACATTGTCGTTGGTTGAAGATACGACCAAATGGTGTGAAAAAGTATATAGCATTGGAAAAAATATTGGAAATGATAGACTACGACTTTGATTTTTTGCTTTGTATCGGAGATGATCGATCAGATGAGGAAACCTTTGAATGGATACGTAGTAAAGAATATGCGGGTTGGGATATGGACAAAATATTTACTTGTAGAGTTGGTCGTGATTACCATAGCAATGCTATGTTTATGGTGAATAGCGTTCAAGAAGTTGCCAGTTTGTTGGACCAACTTATAGATGGAAATCAATCATAGCGCATCCATCGACTCGAATGGTGATTTCGGAACTGCTAGAAATGTGTCATAACGATAAAAACTGACAAGAGAGCGAAAAATATTGGCGGATTTTACTCAAACAACGAACAACTATTTCTTTATCCACAAGTTGCCACAAACTGATTGCCAGATGGAACCTTGCGTTTACTACTTGATGAATGACGGCTCTTCTCTAAACGAATATTTCCGTATTTCTGTGTAATGAAACGGAAAAAGTCCCTCCAAACAAGTTCAAAATAGGTAGTTTTCCGCACATCTTCAGGAACACTGGAGCCATTCACTTCGTGATAGATCTTCCTAGGACTGATACAACCCAACGCTAGCCAAGGTGAAATCTTGCAAGAAAAATCGGCACCCAAATAGGCTCCGGCAGTAGTGGAACTTATTTCCGTGCTTCTCATCTCAGAAAGGTAATCTTCCATTCTTTTCAAAGATTCCGACTCTCCTCCTCTGAAACCATGAATACTACGAGGATTCGATTCACCGGGAATTCGCTCTGGAGACGCATCTAATCCAAGTTCAGTGAGTGTTGGAATTTCACCAGGTTCACAACGAGGCCTAGGTGGAAAAGCTTCAGAAAGTTCCAAAGGTTCTCTTATCTTTCCACCAGTCTCAACACTTTCACGAAACTTGGTATAAATATCCGGCATATTCTCAACCTGAAAAGGCAGATCCTCAGCTTGATAAAGAGTATTGCTCCATAAGAGGGTCATCTCTACTCCAATACTCTCCAAAGCATCTCCCACATCTTCTTCCACAATGAGATCTTCGTAAGTGACTTCTCTGTGACAAAACACTCGTTTACACCCAGTCTGACGGCAAAGTTCGGGCAATACTTCTTCCGGACGACCAAGGCGAACTATTAAATCACTTCCTTTCGCACGAAAAGACTTTCGAAGGTCTTCCACTGAATCAATTAAAAACTGCGCGCGATACCGACCCGTTTTCTCAAAACCAAAGGAAGTTTTGCCAAACTGCCTAGGGTCAAAACAATAAACGGGCAGTATCAGACTACCTTCCTCTGCTGCCCGGAATAACGCAGGATTATCGTGTAAGCGAAGATCATTTCTAAACCAAACAATTATTTTCGAGCCCTAAAATAGGTTTTATACAACCAATTCTGTACTAGTAAGGATTCCAAACCTTGTAGGCCTGTCCTGCACTCTCACCAAAGTTCTCACCGAGGGGAGAAAACAACGGCGCCGTTTTCAAGTGACGCTGGTTGTCAGACTTGTGATTCTTCGGTTGTTTTGTTTGTTCAGGACTTGCAAAGGAAAGTGCATCCGTTCCTGTGGCAACAATCCTTTCATAACCTTTGGCCTTCGAACGTCTTCCACCAAGGGTAAGTCGTTGCCCATTCTTGGTGCATGGCAACAAGGTCACTGAGTGTTTACAAGAAAGACTTATCTTGCAAACAGAAAATCCTATATGTGATACAAAAGAAAGAATAGCAACGGGGGATCCTTCTTTTGTGGTCTTCATCGTAAATCACAAAACACTAAATCTCTTTCGAGGCACACGAAGAAAGCCACCACTAATGAATGACGGACTGCTTTCCGAGTCAAAGGTCAACAAGTGATTCAACTATTTACATAAATATCTTTGATCATACACGCACGTATATTCCGACATAAAGAATTGAAAGAAAAGTATCAGCAATTTATTATTTTCATTAGTATTCTGTTGAACTTGGAGGAACCGAAACTAAAGATTGCCAAACCACCGAGTTGCACTTGAAACCTGAGCCAAAGGCAATTTGCCAGATTCTATGACCTCTACGCATCCTTCCACTACGTTCGATATATTCTAATTCATACCAGACAGATGCTGACGAAGTATTTCCAAAACGGTACAAAACAAATCTAGATGGCTTCACATCTTCCTGAAAAAACAAATCAATACGAACCAATCGATCTATAATAAAAAACACCCACTTCACTTAGTTTTAAAACTTTTTCCAATGCGTCAATCACAGCTCGTCCACCAGTATGAATACAAAAGTGTTGAAATGCTTTATGAAAATCAGGAACATAGGGATTCAAGTTGCGGTATAGAGATGTTTTACGCAAAAAATAATTCCAGAAAAAGTGAATATGTTCGGAAATAGGCAAAACAAGAGGACCCAATGTCGTAATGTTGTGTTTCAAAGCCTTACCAGCAATATCCATAATAGACTTGGAGAGACGAACTCCTCTTACTCCTGAAAGCCTTTGTTAACAAAAGGGAGACTAAAACATTCACACATACCTTCACTATCTTCTTCCTGATATATACTAGTGTAAGCATTATCATCAGCACCAAAATGAGTTCGAACAGTATAATTCAAACGGTATTTCGAAAACTTCCTGTCCTTTGAACGATTACTTAATAATATTGCAGCACCACCCATACGAAACAGCGTATTCGTCACCAACATGGATCGCTCATGACCAATATACCAGTTCTGAGTTATATTCTCTGTAGAGATGATAACTGCAACAGAATTTGCATGTGCAGTCAAAAGATCTTTTGCAAGATCCACTGCAATCAAACCCGCAGAACATCCCATTCCGGAAAGGTTATAAGATAAAATAGAACTCTTCATCTTGAAATGATTCACTACCATTGCTGAAAGTGAAGGAGTTGGATTAAAAAGACTACAATTCACAATCAATATATCTATATCCTGTGGACAGAATCCTGTCTTCTCAAACAAACTAGTCAGACAGCCAAAAATAACTTCTTCAGCTTCTTGTCGAGCTGCCTTCATATTCAATACTTTGGATGGTTGGCCAATACGTTTGATCTCCTCTCCACCTTGTAGAATTCCATCAGGAAAATAAGTGTGGTCTCCAATACCAGAAGATTTCAAAAGCTTCTCCTGAAAAAGGATATCTTCCTCATTAAATAAACCAATTAACCTAGTTAGATTCAGGAAAGACTCGTGTGTTACAAGATTCTTCTCAGGAGGTTTAAATGTAGCAAAGTCAACCAAATATACAGGACGTTTCCTGTGTAGCTCATAAGCAACTTGTAGAAGAGTAAATAAAGTTGCCGCAGCGATCAGTTCGATAGTCCTGAGCCTTAAATGTTTTAATAAGACCCCAATTTGCTCAAAGCTTACGTAGGCTCGTGACAAAAAGTACGCGAGTGCGACAACCGATAATGCAGTGACAAGTCTCCTCGAGCTCAGAGGATCAATTGTCCTATAACCTTCTTCTACATCTTTCAAGGACGCACTCCTAGCAGTAGGATCCCTCGAATAAAATTCTGTAACTCTTTGCCAAGCCGCCTTGGAAGACTCTGAAAGTGCTTGCAACTTTGAACCACTACCTATCACAAAAGTTGGTGACTGCAATACAAAAAATCCAAAAGATACGAACGCTTTCTTTCTTTCCCATTCATATCCGCTTGCATGCTTTGACTACCTTCCAACAAAGGTTCGGCACTTGCTGAGAGCTCCTTCTCGTCTCTCATTCCTTCCACAAGAAAATTCCAGTTCTTTTGTCAAGTAGACATTAGAATTTTAAAAAAATTTGGATTCGCCGGGCTTCGATCCCGGTGCCTCACGGATGCGAACCGTGCACTCTACCAATTGAGCTACGAACCCGATAAAGTGCTGAAGGGAATGCTACAATATCTATATGCATTTTGAATTTTTTTTCAAGGAATTCCTACAAAAATATCTTCCAGTAAAAAAACAAAGATAAGACGCTGTACTTGCATGGAAATCATCAGATAGAAGCTCTAACAATGCAAACATATCTGAAATGATATAAAAGGTTCTGTTTGGTTTCATTCATGACAGATCATCATTTTCCAGCATGTCTTTATGTGGAAAGTAAATACATATTAAAATTGTTTGTTGAGAAGCAAACCTTGATATTATGTAACATTCAAACTTGATTCTTTCAAGCAAAAGGCTCTGAGCGCAACTCTTTATGCAATAACAAGTTATTCCTTTACACGCAAGAACTGAACTCACGCTAGTCGCAAGCAAAACTTATATAAAAAGAGAAAGGTGTATAAAGCAACATGAAAAAAAGGAACTATACACGATACTTTTAAATAAACAAGGGCCAAGTATGATAGGCTCAAATAATAAACGGATAACTTCCTATTCCTGTTCCGATTACGGATATTCGTTGATGTGTTCTCAATCGAATTTTGGCTGCGATTGAGAGTCCGCATCTCTCTATACCGATCATACGCAACGAAGGACATTTTTGAACAAGAGAACAAATTCCATCACCGACATTGGTGTAGCTCAAATTGAGTGAGGTAAGATGCGACAAACCTAAATACTTCTTATAAGAACAGGTCTCTAAAACAAAGAACAGTGACACTTACAAGACAAGTGTATCAATCCAGCATCGGTAATACGATGATTCTGTGATAGATTTAAAGTTCGAAGTGCACGCAACTTGCCTATGCTTTCAAGACCAGCGTCAGTTACTCCTCCAGCACATACTTCCAAAGATTCCAGGGTCGAAATTTCCGAAATATGTCTCAAACCATTGTCTGTCACTTTGGCACCAAAAAGATCAAGATGCTTCAGGTGTTTTAATTTCTTTAGATATGCCAAACCATCATCACTGATGCCTCGCGTATCCAAACTAAGTGACTCCAGTTTTGTAAGATTCTTCAAATGTTCCAAACCGGAGTTTGACACAGAAGTATATGCAAGAATCAACGTCTCCAAACTGGTCAAATTTGCCAATCCGCTTAGTCCCGAGCTCGAAACTGTAGTATCCGTCAAATCCAAGCATTTCAGTTGTTCAAGCCTTGATAGGTGTTCTACTGCAAAATCACCGATAAGACAAGAATCCTGAACACAGCATTTTGTAAAGAAAATACATACGTATTGAACTTTCCAACTTACCAGATTAAGATACTGCAACTTCAACATATTTCCGAGGTACAACGAAACTCCTCGTTCCGATATTTTTGTATATCCCAAGTTCAGTTTACGAATTCGTGGAAGAGCATAGATAGTGGCAAGAAAAGGATCACCAACACTACAGCCTTCCACATCTAGTTCTCTCAAACTATATAATCCACGTAGATACTGAGCATCTCTGTCGCTAAAACCGGTACCGGCCACTTTCAAAACCCGTAATCTCGGCATACCTTTGAAAATTACTTTTTGTATTCTAGAAGAAAACAAATTAGAGACGTTTACCTGGTAAAAACCTTCCAAAGTTTTGAGATACTCGGGTTTTCGAAATATTGAGATATCGCATTCTATGAAAGTTGCTTAAAATAGTCAAGCCTTCATCTGAGAGTCGAAAACACCAAGCACAATTGAAATCTTCCAACTTTGTTAGCCTATTTAAGCTTTGCAAAAATGAGTCTGAAACTTCGGAACATTGTTCAATATCAAGACGAGTCAGGTTATGTAAGTTCGCAAGATACGATAAACCTTCGCTCGTAATTTGCTTGCAAGACTTTAAAACTAAAACTTTCAGATATTTCAGTCCAGCCAAATGTTGAAGGCCCTCTGATGTGATCTGTACACAACCAGCAAGGTCCAAATAAGTAAGTGAGACTATTTCTGCAAGATTAGACAAGCCTTCATCGGATATAAATTTGCAGTCTTTCAGTTCTAAACGACTTAAAGTACTTAGGTTTTGCAGATAAAAAAGCCAATCGTTGGTAACCTAACTTAAAAGCTAAGGAAAAAATTGGAAGAAAAACGACAATATTACCTGAAGCTGTGAAGTGAAACGCAATCTATATACACAGTGCTGTTGCAATGTCTCCAAAAATTCGCAATTTAAGCGTCTTGATTCTACAAGATATTCAACAAGACGTTGTATTAACTCTCTTGGAAGCTTTGTATCATCTAGAAGAAGTAACTTAGTCTGTGGAGGTCGAGTATGACACAAACTACCTATAAACGACGGGTGTTCACCCAACTTGCGCAAGCACAACTCCAACAAAGACGGTGGTAAAGTTGTAGACAGCCGTTTCTGGTAATATTCTGGAAGCGCTCTCTCAAAAATAATTTCTTCTCCAGTTTCTTTACCGTCCAATTCCTTGCCAGCTTTACTACAACCGACCCCCATGAATGGTTAACAAAAGTGGCTTGTGTTAACAACTTTGCTAATGTATTAGGTTGTATTGAAGTATAACTCCGAAAAACATCAAAAATATCTATTCAAGGCTACTTCACGGACACTGGTATGAATCAACACCGCAACAAGACACACCCGCAAATTAAGATCAGAACAGATAAAACAATCTCTAGAGAAAATCAGTTTGCCAATGTCGTGCTGATATCGGACAAATGGCAGTGTCGAAAACTTTCCAACTGCTTGTCAATTTCATGGTTGATCAAAAGTATTAGCAAATGGTTGGGTGGAGTTCCAGTGAGACTTGCAAAATTCGATAGAGTTACTAGTCAGTATTTATCCATAGTTGTGCTTTAAAATTTGGTATCGTTATTTTATATTCGACATATTTCCTGATACACTTTATCCCAAAGCTGTTTCCACTTTTGTTCCTCAAAGATATGAGAAAGGTGACGTTCAGAAACTCTGCAATAAAACAGTCCGAAGTTTCATAAAGTTTCTGTGGAATAGTTCTCCCAAGAATTCACGTGGTAGTTTCCACCTTTTAAGGTCTCGAAAGCCAACTACAAGAGGTACTAGGGCAAAAATGGGAATTCAAAAACTCGAAAATACGTCTTCTCTATTCAGCAGATACAAGTTTCCCAAGTTTCAAAAGATTTTAAAGTTTCTCAAGTTTCTCTCAATCTGCCCAGTTTCAAAAACCAATCCTTCACTTCAGAACGCTGAAAAAAGCTCTGTTCTGCGAATTTCTCAAGGTCACGACGATCTTTGCTCACGAAAGTGTCTACATCTGCTAAAAACTGAGAGTTTTGACAAATTTGTTCCATTTCACTAGTCTGCAAACGAACCAAGCGAGATATATAGTCTAAATAAGTCAAATATTCTAAGGGAGTAACTTGATTGCACGTTCCCGTGAGCAACACGCTATATTTGTCTTGAGTTTTGTCCTGTTGAAAGGCTTCAAAATTCTTTCTAACCGTCGCTTGCAGCTTCTCCGCTTGTTCCTTCAAATTATCGGTCTTTTCTCTCAAAAGCCTCCACTGTTTTTCTAACTGCAAGGTTTGAGTAAACCATAATTTATCTTCCAACTCTGTAAACAACGAAAAGATAGCCAATAGTTTTGAAGATTTCACAAACTTTATGGTATGGAAAGTATCTGCAGTGTCTATGCAGTGTCGTATAATACCAATAACTTGTTCAAGCTCTTCTTCCCACCTTTGAAAGCCGAGTTCTGCTTCATAGGACAAGGCATCGAAATATTCGCAGCCTGCCATTTACCATTTGTATCGCTCTTATGGCAACTGATATCCTCCAGAGATCTCTTACTGCTCACTCATCCTTGGGTTTTACCTCTACTTTTGCTCCTCGAGAATTGAATTTACTCAAGAACGAACAATCTAAAGTTATCAACGTCGGAGGATGTTCAAGTTACGTGAAGGTTCGGCGACAGAAGAGGCCCCGTCCCTGGTTGACACCAAACTGGCCACCACACTGTTGTTTAGACCGGGCTTCAGCTTCGGAAACAGTTCTCAATACCGAACTCTCTTACAATTGGGTTGATAGCCGTTCAAATCAACAAGGAAGAGTTCAAGACAGATATCTTGAAAGAGTACTTGTTTCTCGTGTATATGAAGTCGCAATAGAGTCGTCTTTAACTTTGGCTCCATCGCTCACCAAACGTCTTGGAAATAATGTCCTTTTAAAGAGAGAAGATGAACAACCTGTATTTTCTTTCAAAATTCGTGGAGCCTACAATCTTATGGCAAATGCTCCCTATGAGTTGCTTAAGAATGGCGTTGTGGCAGCTTCTGCTGGAAACCATGCCCAAGGAGTGGCCTTGGCTGCGAAGCGTTTGGGCATCATGGCAATAATTGTGATGCCTGAAACCACTCCGAAAATTAAAGTGGACGCTGTGAAGGCTCGCGGTGGAATAGCTGTTCTGCACGGAGATAACTTTGACGAAGCAAAAGAATATGCCCAAAAGCTCGTAAGTGAGAAGGGGGCATTTTTTGTACCTCCGTTTGATCATCCTGAAGTCATTGCTGGACAAGGTACCATAGGCTTGGAGTTGGTCAGACAAATGAGTGGGAAACCCTTGCATGCAGTTTTTGTTCCTGTCGGAGGAGGTGGACTTATTGCAGGTATTTCAAGTGTTCTTAAGCGACTGCGTCCGGAAGTGAAAGTGATTGGTGTTGAACCTGTTGATTCGGATGCAATGAAGCAAAGTCTTGAAGTTGGAGAAAGGGTTATCTTAAAACAAGTTGGCGTTTTTGCTGACGGAGTCGCAGTGAAGCAAGTTGGTGAAGAAACTTTTCGTCTTTGCCAAAAGTATGTCGATGAGATTATCTTAGTTGATACCGATGAGATATGTGCAGCCATTAAGGACGTATTTGAGGATACACGTTCAATATTAGAACCAGCAGGTGCGCTATCGATTGCGGGTCTGAAGTCATATGTAGATCGCCAGAAGTGTTCAGATATGAACCTTATCGCAATAGCATCCGGTGCAAATATGAATTTTGATCGGTTGCGGTATGTAAGTGAAAGAGCCGAGATAGGAGAATACAGAGAAGCAGTGTTTGCCGTCACTATTCCAGAGGAACCAGGATCCTTTCGCAAGCTTATTCAAGTAATAGGAGACTGTAGTGTTACGGAGTTTAATTATCGATATGCAGGACCTCCAGAAGCCCACGTATTTGTTGGACTTGGTATTTCTGATAAGGAAGGAGCACAACAGGCACTTAAAAGGTTTCACGATGCTGGTTATAAAGCATTGAATCTTTCAGAAAATGAGGTTGCAAAGTTACATCTTCGGCACTTGGTTGGTGGCAAAGCAAATGGTCTGACAGATGAACTTATCTTTCGCTTCGAGTTTCCAGAGAGACCAGGAGCACTTTTGAAGTTTTTGATGGCTCTGCGTCCAGATTGGAACATTTGTTTGTTTCACTATCGTAATCACGGAACTGATGTGGGTAGAGTATTGGTTGGTTTGCAAGTTCCTAGCAAGGAGAGAGATGAACTCAAGGATTCAATCGAAAGCTTAGGCTATGCAGCTGTAGAAGAAACAGACAACGTTGCATATCGATTGTTCTTAGCGAGTCATGAGCGTTTGTAAACTTGCTATTCTAATAGTAAAAAGTGTGTTTTAATATATCCAGATGCATAAGTGTATATAGTCAAATATGTGGGTTGCTGAGTTGTGGAAGCTTCCACGAGTTATATGCGAACTTATACATTCAAAGCTTCAGTGACAAATAGAAAGTTAGATAGTTTGACTGTGAATGGAAAGCTTTCCTCAAAAAAGAAAACTGGTGGTTTGACGAGTTGTGAGAAAGACAAGTTGACTTGGCATAATAGACTCACTAACTTTATTTCGGTTCAACAGGGAAAGTTGTTACCTTAAAGATCATTTCATGGGTTCCTTCTCATCAGAAAAGGTTTGGTCCTTCTTGAAGTAACAAGTTTCTGGAGGGCGACCGTTTCAAGGACGGCAACCTTGATAGACTCCCATTCATCCTTTGATGAAAGAACCCAGAAGAAATCATTCACTTTGTTCGTAATTCGGAAGAGCTGAGAGCTTTTATAATGGAAAAGACAAACTAACACTTTCAAAATGGAATAATGAGCTTTCAACAAAGTTGTGAAATTATCTTGCCTCATAGTGGAAGGTTTATAGTACTGTGTCGTCTCTATACTGGCTGCATAAACTGATGTCGAAAATGCTATTCTATTATGTATAACAAGGATGCCTTTTGATCGTTGGAGCCAGGATCAATGCGAGACTGTCACTCTTATCTCCAAGGTATATGTGAGAATTTCTTAAAAATTTGTTCTTTCAATCACTTCATGGAGATGAACAGTCAAACCATGGAAAGGTCGGACTGGGATTTCTTCTAAAATATGAATTCGAAAACAAGTGCAAAAGGTTATGAAAGCTCATGAGGATTGAATGAGTAAGAAACAGCAAAACGTAAAATGTGGAATAGCTATAAATAAATATGGAAATGATCTGTAGACAGTTGAGAAAGAAGGTCCATAAACGATATCTTATCCGACCGATCTTCGAGACAGCGCAAATCTTGTCTTCAACAATTGGCAAGAAATTGTTTCTGCTTCTGAATTTTGCAAAAACGTGTCTTTTACAGGCTTCAATTAGCCAAATGAAAACGCTACATTTTCGTTTTCATGCATAGCTTCATAAACTTTCTTAATTTCTTCCAAACTATATACCTTTGTCCGTATTCCTACACGATACTGAAAACCAAACTCATCTGTAACAATATTCTTTTCGTTTAAAGGTCTCTTCAGATTACTTTCTACAAGTTGCTTTACATTTTTGACAACTTCGAGTTGGTTTACTATAACAACAAATTCGTAGTCACAAGGAAAATCGTTATAATTGCCTTTTTCTTGTGATTTCGTCACAACAGAACCAATCAAAAGTTCTTCTGATGGAACATACTTCCGTTCTTGTTCTTTCAAACGTTCTCGTACAGTTCTGACCAATTCATTTTCCTTATCTGTCACAAATTCCTTTCCTGTCACGTGTCTTGTTTGTATTTCTTCATCTGAGAGAATTGAAGAGCGTCGTACTTTATTGAGAAACTTCAACTTTTCTGGAAAAGAGCCACCCTGTTTCCATTTTTCTAACTGCTTCAAGTCCAGCGTAGAAATCAAGTTCTTCCATTCTTGTGACTGTCTCGGAACCTCGCTATTTTCCGAGTCTACAGCCTGCGTGATAACATATTTCTTACCAATTTCTTCAGGAGATAAATGAACATTGGCCCATTGCACAGAAAACTTCGTTTTCTTATTCTCACCACTGGTGGTCAAATCTCTTTCTCTTTTTCTTCTTGTACTTTTCCTCTTATATGAACCAGCTGCGTTCTTCTTGGATGAAATACATCGAATGTTTAAAAACAACGTACGGTAGAAACAAGGTTTGCAACTAAGAACACTTCGCATTCCTTTCGTGTTTTTATTTTCGAGCCAGTTTGCAATAGAAATATAAGCCATTCCTCCAATTTTCTACGACTTCTGAATTCACAATAGAGAAGAAAGCCAATCTCAGATGAGTATTATTTACCACAAAATGATGAAAATACAAAAGGGTTTATGGGCTCCTACCACTGAGGCGTTTGTTTCAAGTAACTCATTCAAATTTTTGTACAACAAGTTCGTAAAGTGCAAACACAACAACGACAACATATGTTACCGAGTAACCTATTCTGTAAAGTATTTCAAGGTTGGTAACCTGGCATCTTGAATAACCACGTATGAACCAGGAACAGTCTCTCCAGGTTAGGAGTACCTCAAAAAAGGATGATGAGAACAAGTTACCTTGGAGACTCGGAGGTTGGTTGCCATTTTTATCTTTTCATTTCTTTATTGAGAAAACGCAATAGAATTATTATCCCCGAGGAAACAGTTTGACAGAATCCAGCCGAAAAGTAGAGCGCCTTCAGAAGACGCGCTTTGTATATGTGGAACAGGTATATTAGCCATAAATATGTGTTTCGTATTTGAATGTCTCTTTATCAAGGAAGAGTATATAAAAGATGCTGTCGTCCTTTCCACATCGGAGAATCAGAACCAAGAACTGCTTTGGAACTTCTTCGCGCCAGATTTTCTGCTTTTGCATATAGATTGTCTAAGTATATAATGGGAACGACGCATATATCCAATGAAGACTGGACATCTGATCGTCTGGCTTGGGAAAACTCTATTTTAGAGTTTTGTGATCAGTATAGTTTCATTTCCTTGGATATTTTGGAAAACAAAGTAGCTGGACCTGATCTGACATATATTTTGTTCCGGTTGGTCTTTTTGGAAATGGATATACCTAAAAATGAATGTCTTGTGTGTAGTGCCAATCTAGTAGAAAAAGGAGAAGCTTTGAATTTTATTGAAAGGAGTAAATTCATCAAGGATAGAAACCGGTGAGAATAGAAACCTTTTGTCAAAGTTGCTTTTCATAGAAACTTTTACATCAGATGGTACTATCAATCGGGACGTTTGGTCGATATTGAGCGTGGTTTTTAGTAGCTGTAGAATTATTCAAATATGGCTACCAGAATATCTCTGATGGTGCTATTATTATCATTATTATTATTGTTATTATTTCTATTGTTACTATAAAGGCACAACATACAATTGGGTTGAATGGAATGTAATTTGATAAAACAACAATTTGTCAAGTACGGCTCTTTTGTTAGTGATCACTTTTTCTCCATTTCATCAATAAGAATATCAAACAGACAATGCAAGCAACAAGCGCTTTCAGAGAAACTTTATTATGACCACTCAACAGCATAAAAAGTATTGAGAAAACCGACTCAACGAACTTCCCACTATGTCATCAACGACACAAAGTGTCTTCAACGATATAGGCCATTGTTAAACTTGTCGACTTCCTAATATAAAAATAAGAAAAATACATCGATACTCTAGTTTTATAGAAACTTACATATTCTGGAGCTGGATCTAAAGCAACAAAACGATCCTCATACTTTTTGATAAGTTCTCTTTGATCTTCAGTCAATCCCTTTATATTATAGAGATCATTGACGCTCTTGTAAGGACCATTCTTCACTATCAAAGAAGCAAGTTTTGGGTAGAAACCGGGAAACTTAGTATAGGCTCTTATATTGGCGTTGTTGATATCGACTTTGTCACCCCCACCCAAATAACCAACACCAGCATATTCTCTGGAAGCAGAAGCTGCTTGTGAAAAAAGAAACACTGTTGAAGAAATAACTCCAAGTGAAGAGAAAAGAAACTTTCGACGACTCACTGCATTTCCACTCCCTGATTGAGAACAAGTGCACAAAAGTTTCGAGGATTTGGAGGTTTCCATAAAGCGTCGACGTTGCTTCAAGACATGTCTTTGAGAAGACTCTATCTGATAACTGCGACCCTTAAGAAATGAAGACGAAACAAAGTTAAGTGAATACATCAGACCAGTAGGCAATCCACACGAGACTCGGTCACTTACAATCTCCACAAAATCCAAAATGCAGATGAGTGGAGGAGGGAAATTGCAGCCTTTTGTTCTATCATCACCAACTCCAATAATCAAAAAGGCAACATAGTTACAACTATCAATTCATTCAGTTTACATCTAGGGTATATAAAATGACGTAGATCTAAACAAATTATTTCAAACATGTAACAGAATCATTCATTTCTTCTATATGAAGTAAATGGTGTCCTTCTAACTGAATGCATACTGGGAATCCTAAGAGAATCTGCCAGTCTTTTGGCTGCAGGTGACAATGCAACGTTTCTTGAAAAACTGGTAGATACTGAAGCTGGTGTTTGAATATGCCTCTTGTCTTGCATCTTTCTCTTCTTTCCGGTTAATTTCTTTTCCAAATGAAGAGCAGCTCGTTCACGACTGTCCATATTAGGAATATGAAAATTGGAATGGCTATTGTCAGACTGAGGTTGCTTCTTATTATGCGATGCAGCCAGCAACTCATCTTGTATCCCTTCCTCATCATCATCTTCTACCAACTGAGGAGTTGCAGCTATCTGTCCCCAAGTAATGAAAGGCGAGTTGGGAATATTTCGAGGTGATAAAATAGGTGAGGTTGGCACAAAAGCGTTCAACTCTTCTGCAGTATCCAAATGGTGATTGAAAAAGTCTTCGTCTATTCTTTCATATTTGCAATTCTCATCTGCTGTCGACAAGAGTCGATGACGTTGTCCCAATCTCTTCAAAATACGAATTTCTTCTTCTTTGAGATCGACACTGGAGCTTTGACTCTCTGTGTCTCCAGTTTTCACTCGAAAAGACTCAGCTAATAAAAAGGGCAAACTTTTAAAGCGGGTATTGTCTCGCTTAATTTCTTTTCGTTCCTCCACAAACTTCCGTAGTTGGAGTTCTTGTTCAGTTAGAGGTGCTTCAGATGGGCAAAAGAAGAGACTATTCCTTTCTCTAAAAGGCCAAAAATGCAGTCTCTTTGGCCTTGTATCCCCGAGAGCAGTCAATTCTCCTGTCTGTCCTATAGCAACTAGTTGCTTCGAATCTTTTAATATTGCCTTTTCACGTAAACTCAAAGTGTTATCCGGAACACAGTCTTCCGAAAGTAATAAATTCCTTTTTCTCTTCTGTTCTTCTTCTTGTTTCACTAATAATTCGAACGAATAGTTGTCTTCACTCGTATAGTTGCGGAAAAAACTTTCCAGCGGTCGACTATAGTTGGTAGAAACTCCTTCACTTTGCAAAGTCGTCGTTCCGTGACTTGCGAAACTTTGTGGTGTACAGAGTGTCGAAAACGAATCTTGTGCTCGACTAAGCCAATTTATCTTATACGAACTCGATAAAAAGTCAACATTTTCACTTGCTTCGGGTAGTTGTCCCCTCTCCTCCAACGCCGCTAGTTTTCGTCTCAGTTTTGGAAGGTCAGGAAAGTAGCTATCGACGATGACTTTGTTTAATATATCTACATATTCTTCTTCGGAACATATCTTTTTGTTACTATTTGGATAGCTGTTACGTGCAATGTCCTTTTTCCTATCGGATGATGACGCACAACTCATGAACGATCCAATTCCATCCACATGAAAGGAATGAATGAATGTTGATCATCCTCATAATAATAATAATAATAATGACCATTGCCTTGAGAAGGCATCCCTTGCAACATGTTGTTTGGTTTGTTTCCACAACATACCTGCTATCAAGATATAAGTACCCAACAAATTTCCAAAACTTTCACAAAAACCTTTGAAAGTATGTGATATTTCACTCATTAAGGTTCCTTGATGAGTAGCCTACTATCGCAGAGTCCCAACCACTGAATGGGAAGCGTTACGATTCAGCCATAGACGCAATCTCCTTTGTGGCTCATTCTCATCTTCTTTGGAAATCATCCGAAAGCTATGTTTACTTTTATTCCAAACACTTCATTGCAGCAGTTATTTTCTTCTACTCTTTGTCCCAAGAAAAAGCATCGTTCTTCGTTAGGTTTTCACTATTCTCGTGCTCAAACTGGTAAGAACAACATTTCAATAGATTATTTCCTGTTTTATTCTTTATTGAATTTGACTAGCAAAGGCTTCTCTTCAACCACTCTTATGGGAACGTTGCAAGAAAGATATTGCCAAAGTACAGCAACTATTTCAGAGTCTCCCCATCGATGGTCAACGTACTATGCACACTGCTCTCGCTCTTGCACTTGCTTTTACTCTATGTATGCCAACAACAAGCCTTGCTTTAACAAGATCAGATATTAGATCCCTCACATATGATCAAGTAAAAGGTACAGGTATTGCTAGTCGATGTCCAGAAGTGGATACTGCAAAGGGTATCATCAAGTTGGATAAGAACAAAAAATACAAATTGGTGGACCTGTGCCTGGAACCCAAAAGTTTCCAAGTCGAAGAAGAATATGTCACCAAAAGAGGTAAAGGAGAGTCTCGTCGCGAGTTTGTGGACGCAAAACTGGTTACCAGGGCGACCTACACTTTGTCTAATATTGAAGGAACGTTGAATTTTGAAGATAACGACTTGGTATTTCGTGAACGAGATGGTTTGGATTATGCAGCTTGTACGGTTCAATTGCCTGGTGGAGAACGTGTTCCTTTTCTGTTTTCTATCAAGAAATTGGTCGCCAAAGCTGCCAACGTTGATCAAGGCATTAATACTGCAACCGAATTTGGTGGTCAATTCAAAGTAACTGGATATCGTACTGGACTATTCTTGGATCCCAAAGGTCGAGGAGGAACTTCGGGTTATGACATGGCTGTTGCTCTACCAGCAAGGGAAGCGGATGGAGCAGAAGGCCAAGATGACTTGTTGAGAGAAAATAACAAAACATTCGATGTTACAGATGGTTCAATAGAAATGGCTGTAAACAAGCTGGATCCAACTAGTGGTGAAATTGCAGGCGTTTTCGTTTCTGAACAACTTTCCGATACGGATATGGGAGCCAAGGATCCTAAAAAATTACTATTGAAAGGTATCTTTTATGCTCGCGTAGTGGAAGATGATACCGCAGCTGAATAGTTGTGGAACTATTTCCATCTGTTTCAGGGTTTCTTCTTCGTCAGTTGATGATAAATAGTTGTTCATGATGGAGACTTTGTATCGCAAACTATCCAACTTTGAAAAGTTTCCAATGATATTACAAAGCCACTTGCATTGCGGTGTCCTCCACCTTTAAAGTATTCGGATATTCGTGTAGTATCCCAATCACCAATTGAACGAAGACTCACTTTTAGTTTATTCTCAATAGGATATACTACTGCAGCTACTGGAAGAAGAGAGCATTTTTCGCTTTCTTTAGCCAACACATTTCCAAGTTCACTCCGCAATCGAGCCATATGACTATCCACCATAACAGCCAAAAATTTATGTTCTGGCAAAGGTTCAATAACAAAAGTGTTTTGAAGCTCTTTAAGAATCATCTTTTCATTCTCTTCTATAGCAAGTTTACCTAAAGACACGAGATCATCTACCGTCAGATGGACAAGTTCCTCGAATACTTGTGGATTGCTATTCACGTCATATTCTATCAGTTGCTGAGACAATCCACTGACAATTTCCTTTTCAACTTCATTTTTGAGTGATAAAATATCATAAAATACTTCTCACCTTGCTTCCTTGTTCCTTCCACAACCACAAATCGGCATCTTGTACAGCTCTAAGAATAGGAAGAAAATGGGTTTCCGCCAACTGCAAATCTATCAAGTCTTGTTGAAAGAAATGTCTTGAAAGGTTCGAAAAGTAGTTCCAAGCCAAGCCACAAGCGGAACGTTGATCATCCAAATACAGCTCTATTTGATAGGAAGACCACTGGTCGGGGTTTGTTTGCAAATAGGAAATAGCTGTTTTGTGATGATCGATAATAACAGTATGCGTGTTCTTTGCCAGTTCTTCCACTAAACCGTTTCCTATATAGTCCAAAAGAAATACGGTGTCCACGTGTTCTAGAGCTTTGGGTTCCAAGGAGTATGCTTCATAAGTTTTATGAGGAATAAAACGAACGTTTGCTGAATACTTTTTGAAAAACAAATATGCACAAGTTGCAGCAAATATTCCGTCGTTGCAAGGATAGTGATAAAATACCCAAACTTGACGTGGAAGTGATTGCCAAAACGAAGAAGACATGAACAAACACACAAAATCTATTCGGAACTTTGAGTTTATCGTACATATTTTATTCTCATTTTGGTTCGATACTTTTGTGTATACATACATACGCGTTGAAACCATTTCGAGAAATTTTTATGATTGCTCGACCATCGTTGCCTGGCTTTTATTATGATCCTCAAACAGACCGATATTATCGAAGGACAAGAGAGTTATTAGTGGATCAACAACCACAAGATCACTTTTATGAAGAAACATATACGAAGAGGAATACAAGAAGAACCAGTATTTTAGAACATCTGAAGAGAAGAGAAAACAATGCACTGCCTAGACTCAGTTGTGCACAAACTTGTCAAAGTTTCTTACACTATTTCCCAATATCTCAAGCGAAACAAGAGAAACTGGAAAGTCGTTCATTGTTGCCTCGGTTCTTTGACTTTGATACTTGTTCGAATAGTGGAGTAAGAGTTTGTATGCTTTCCACTGACCCTGGCTCTTTTGGTGTCACACAAATATCTTTCGACGCTACTACAGGTGTTCAATTTAAGAGATTTTTTTATATTGATTATGGTTCCTTGCAAATAGAATTCGCACGTCATCTTCCAACGGAGGATTCTTCGACACTGTTGCTTTGTCGTAGTCTGGAATACCAAAGCTTTGTTATTGTCAACAACACGAATACAAATGGAGCTAACTGGGTTTGTCAAAGAAAGTCAAAGCCTTGTTTCTGTTTAGAAGTAAATAGAAAGTGTAGTCCTGGAAACTCAAACATATTATTTGCTTCTGGGCACTGCGGAGGTCAAGTCCGTTTGGAGAACATTGTATCGGAACGATCGATTGACACTTGTCACAGTTGGAAACTGCATAAGAATTCTGATATAGTTACCTTAGATTTTATTGATAGTCATTCGTTGATTGCTGCTTCACGTTCTGGAGAAGGCTGTATATTGGATAGTCGACAAAGATTTCCTTGTTTCTCTTTTTCGTTAAACTCCAACGGCAATAGACTCGAATCCTCCATACCAGGAGCTAATCCTCTTAGTTGTAAAGCTTTGCAAGAATTTTCAGCTGTAATATTTGGGTTGGTTTCTAATCGTTTGGAGTTGTGGGATTTAAGAAAGTTATCTCAGAAGAATGTCAGCTATGATGATCATCATATGGATTATTTTCCATTACCCATCAGTGTTTCTACTTGTTTAGACTTGGTCACTTGTGGCTCCACAGACAATCAGTTGAGAGTTTGGGACTTGAAAAAGGGAGGTTTGCCTATCTTCATGGAAACATGTCATTATTCAGCGAGTGCTTCTCCCATTTGTTGTAGTTTTCTTTCAGGTCATCCACCCGTTGGAATACTGTTTTCTAGTTTGAATTCTATCGGTGCATTGCAGAATTTTTGTAGCAAGTCCTCGCAATCTCAAGATGTTCAATATTAGGGTTGATAGGTTACTATGTTGTTTTCATAGCATTGGTAGTCATGGTGGGATGGACGAAGGTTACTGAGTTGTTTTATAATAGCAGTTATGAAATACATTTTGTACTTATCCTTTGGTTCCAACGAAATGGAAATGACTTGAGCAATGGTAAGCAGTTCCAAAGTCTTTGTTTGAGTAACCTCTTTTCAAGCTTCATTTCTGAGATATGAAGTGATTCTATAGGAGTGGTTTCCCTCTCCAGTGAAGATTGTATGAATACTTTTGTCAAGCATGAGAACAAAAGAATGAAAGCAAGTTGTACGTATATCCTATTTATATCATCCTTGTTACAAGTTGTGTGTGAGAAAGCGTGAGTGAATATAGTCTTGAAACGCTACGGGTATATAACACGTTTCGTCTAACCTTTTCTTACTGTACAATAACATACTTTTGTTTCTAAATGATAGAATGTTGTTTCCTTAGAAAGACAAGAGAAACTCAAAGTCGTCGTGTCATGCTTCTTCTTCTTCGTATGTCACTTTTCCATGTCCACTTATATCCATCATTGTCGCTTGGACAAGTTGAGAAAATCCAATGTTGAGTCTTTGTTTATGGTTTGTTGTGAAGTTTGCTTTGGTTAGGGATTGTTTTCATAACTTGTAGACTGTTCCTAGTTGTTTACTACGTGCGAGGGTTCTGCTCATCTATATACTTGCTAGGCCTAAGATATGATTTTGTTGTGGATTGCGGTAATAACCCAAAAGCAAGTGTAGAGCACTATGCTCAATCATATATCGGAAGCAAGCACTATGAAAAGTTTAAGTTTGAGAGGTACTAAAACATACACCAAGCTACAACCGAACAGTTTGAGGTCTGAGAACTTGGATTGGTCCAGTCCAGCATCCAAGAAGGATGAAGACCTTAGTGACTTGTTGTGGAAAATCAAGTTGGCTTCCATTCATAATGAAGATTCGGATGAACCTTTGGAAGAGGACTCACGAGTAGCAAGAACACAAAGTGTTTTCCCATATTTGTTAGATTATGATAGTAGAAATGGGTGCATTTCTAGACCTACGAAACAACCCATTTCACTATTTGCTTTAGGTAATACTTCAGACTCTAGTGTACAATCCGATTCCAGTATCCATTGGATGGCTTCTTCTGACCCAGTCAATGAAGAGGGCATTGCATTATTTCCTGATAGTTGTTCTTCACGTACCGTATTTTCCAATGTATCACCCACTCGGAGAATATCTGAAAGTTTATCACCCGTATCTCCTACAGAGAAATTTTCCAAGTCTTCTTCCAAAAAGACCAATGTAGCCCCAAGACAAGAGACAAGTGATGGTGGAATAGGAAGAATAAGGAATGATGTTGGTCCTAAAGTAGTGATGTTGGTTCTTCTTGCACATCTTGAACATGTCTACAAGTATGCATGTTTGGTGCGAGATTTACTCCAGCTCTATTCCATTGATGTGAGTTGTAAGGTAAATATGTTTTGCTAGTTGAATTCTATTTCAATGGAATGAATGGATGTAATAGATGGAAGAAGAAGATGGCTCCAGCATATTACCTGAACATGTGGCTCCTATTGCGAGTAAAATACCAGAAACAACTCGTATTATGTTGATTGGTCCAAGACATGTTTTAGATGGCACTTGTCATTTCCAAACTTGGAACGGTCGCTGTATCGAATCGACTCTATTTGTAGCTATTGATCATTTATTGGAAGAGAATCTTCGCTTGCAATGCTACCCAAAGATGAATGTTGTATCTACAGTTGGAGTAGTTTCTCCTTACTGTAGTTCTGTTAGTGTCTTTGTCAACAAGGTGACACAAATATTGAATACCAGGCACTCTCTTCACTCTCAGTTATTGATGTCCATCTCCGTTTGTGAGAAATGTTCGCTTCTTTTCAAAAGCTTTCTGGAAAAACGACTTTATTCAGTTGATTCATGTCCCATGGAGACTTTAATATCTGCACTAGACTCCATTCTTCCTCGTCGTCAACCATGTTTTTATAATTGTCGCGCTGCTTATCATTCCAATGCGAGCAGTGTTACTAGGAAAACTTTATATTTGTTTTCGATCATGAGACATTGGGAGTTGTGTATTCATTCTGTTCGTGAACGCTGTGCACAACTATATCGCCAATTGTCACAAATGGCAACCTTTCATAATGACTTGGAGAGAGAAATGAGATTATTTCTATTGAAGCAAATTGTAGACAAATGGAATGTATTGGATAAATCATATCAAGAAATGAAACAACTTTGGAATGCTCTTGTAACAAAGTGGTTGTAAACGAGGAGGGTAATAGTTTTATGTTTTTTTTGGGTTCGAGATGAGATGATAGTAACACACGTAGGTTGATTATGCTCACCAAATAGGTCCAATAGTGTGATGTGTGTTGATGCTGTTTGTATCGCAGAGTTTTACAAATGATTATAAAATGTCTATTCTTTTACTCAAACGATCTTTTTCTGTGGATCCACGTTGCAAGCAACTAAATTCATACGAAATTCGATAAAATCGCTGCCTTCCTTTTCAACCGTATTTCCTCTTTCAAACCCACACTTTTCTAAAAGAAACGCCTTTTCTGTATCTTCCACAGCCACATCCGCTGATACCACTAAACAACCCTTTTGCTTTAACATTTTCAGACTTCCAAGTACCAATTTGTTTTCCATTTCACTGGGAACATTAGGCAACCGAAAACTGGCAACATATAAACCATTGGTTTGCAAAGGTGACTCAAAGCCTTTTTTTAAGTCTACTGGGACTCTCTCTATAGCAAAGAGACTATATCCCACCACATCTTCACCAATCTGGGCAACCAAACAAGATTCCAAGCTATTTTCTATCAATGACTCCACTAGGCTAGGAGTCAAAACTTCGCTATGAGATACAATAAAGTGGACATCATTTCTGGTGGCTCTTCGAAGAGTCCAAATGATATTTCCTCTTTCGTCTTTAGGCCACTTTGCTTGCTTCACTGTTTCCGTGGCACCTACTAGTTTGAACCCAGTTCTTGATCGACGACGAGAAGAAGGTAAATAAGAAAAGACACGAAAAGATGGGTTTTTGTATGCCGCAAGTGGGAAATGATGGCAACGTGGGTGAGCAACTACTGAATAGAATACAAAACCACTTGAGATCATAGCGGCAATGATGAAAACCTGAAATCAACGGCAATGATGAATAGTTACTCGATGATCATAGCTCAACAACAATTATCGGAAGCAGCTATACGCATTGAAAACTTGGAATTCTTGTTTCTCCAACACTATACAAAAGACTGGTCAGATGAAGAGAAAGCAGCGTTGCAGGATCCTTGGGTACGAGAGCTTTGTATACAAGCCTTTATTCAAGACCTCTGGACGAGTCGTTTTCGTAAAGCTCCTGTTGAGTATTACAGTTGGCCGCTTGATAGAAGAAAATCGTTTCTCGGTCGTGGTAAGTTTTCTTGTGCAACTTTGTGTGTGTGTGTGTTTCTCAACGCTTATAGTACCCAACGAAAATCATCTTTGCAAGTCGTTGATTGTAGAAAATACCAAATACGTTGAAAAGTTTGCAACTCCGGTCTATTATGAGAAATATTATTGCTGTATTATACAATATTCTTCTAAATTGAATTCAGAAGCGGTTTCTCGTCTTTTTCGCAAGCACATGTCTCACGTACCTAGAAAATATGTAAGTCTATTTCATTGTGAGAATAATGAATAACGAAGATTGTAGTTCAACTTTCAATTCGCTTATGACTGTGAAAGCATAACAGGATATCCATTCAATGCAGTTACTCCGTTGGGAATGAAAAGAAGACTTCCTGTAATAATATCCAATGCTATAGTCGATCTAGATCCTCCTTTTATATGGTTGGGTGGTGGAAGAGAAGATGTCAAATGGTATGTGAATGTTGCACAACTTGTCGATGCATTCGGTGCAATTGTGGCTGCAATCGATGGAACCAGTGGTTAGAGTCAACGGCTCTGTTTTGAAAAAGGAATAGGAATGGATATACTTTGATTAATAAACTTTGTTCATCACATGCAATGCTTTGACATCCCATCATGTTTTCAAATCTATCGAGTCACATTCATTGGACATTGAAAGAAATGTCACACAGAGATGTAAACACTCGTCCTGTTGTAGAAGAGAAGAAAACTACTGAAACAGTTTTGAGTTGGAAAAAGTGGTTACTTAAACGTGAGGTATGGAAAAGCTGTTGTTACTAGTCCTCTTGCTTGCTCTTGTATGACCTCGTCGGATAGTCGTTGTTGCAAGTACTCAACCTGTTATTGGTATTTGCTTCAGCACTAGTCATTTGGAAGGGTGCCATAGCAGTTTCCTTATCCGAAAGTCCAGTTGTGGTAGTTTTGAGGTGGGAGTTTTAATACTTTTGTATCTCCGTGTTGATCATCTTTTGCAAAACAGTGGGAGTATGGAACCCGGCATGAGAAGAGGTGACTTATTGGTGTTGAGTAATAGAACGAAACAACTTCGTTGTGGTGATATTGTGGTATATAAAGTACAAAATCGAGAAATTCCCATCGTGCATCGTATAATTGAGGTATGTTTTATTTCCAGACTTTCGTGCTTTACAGAGTAGTGACTGACTGTTCAAGGTGCACGACGATGGAAACGAACCTTTGTATTTGACCAAAGGGGATAATAACTTTTTTGATGATCGCAGTTTGTATTCACCGAATACTTTTTTCTTGAGAAGAGGTGATATTGTTGGCAAGTCCATCTTCATAGTTCGGTGGGTCGGTATGGTAAGGTTATGGAAATGATTCTCTTTTTGTTTATTCTGTTTTATCACCATGTAGGTCACCATTATTATGAAGGAGCATCCATTTTTGAAATTGATTATTGTTGGTTTTTTATCATTGACAGTTTTGTTGGGAGAATGAAATGGTGAATGCCCTCAAGTCATTTGCATTTTAGTATTGACACTCTCACCTATTCAAAAGAAAACAGACACACATACATATGCACATATACACATATGTATATTTGTGTATGGTCATCCGGTAAAAAGAATATTCTTGATCCAGTCATATATCATCGGTTGCATTCCTAGCTTTACATGACCGTACATTTTGCAATTGTCTCAGCTGGAAAATATTTTATTGTGAAATGAGGTTTCTCTGAGGGCCTTCCATCTATGTTGAAACTACTATCCATTATCCTTCTTAAAAAAGTTGTATGTACAGTCCACCCTAGTTGCGTAGGATATGTCGATGTCAACGATTATTCCTTTATCAACAAAGCCATCCTAAGAATACCGTCTCCTCTGGACGTCCACTCCATGGCACAAAAATGAACAACGTGGATGACGTGTCCTTGAAACCCAATCAATCTCTCCTTTGTTTTCTCTTTCCCCCTTGTTTGGGAAAAAATGCCATGCGCGCCCATTTCTTTGGGTTCTCTGTCCAATTCTCTCTTCTGCTTCAGACATTCTTTCATTTTCCATTCCACATTAGCCAGAATAATGGGTAGTCTCGAAAAACACTCAGAAACCCCTTCCTCTGGACTGTCACGTGTTTCAGAAACTATAAAAGTAAGCCTCTATATTCTTCTCTTCCCAATACAGTTGATAGAATTAGTCCTAGAAATTCGGTGGTGCTGGTAGTTTCCAGCCTACAGACTACGTAGGCAAAACGGTTTCTGCTAAAGCAAAGAAATTCGAAAGAATTGCAAAGGGACAAAAAGGATACGTGGAACAAAGAGAAGAAGAACGTAGAGCGAAAGAGCAAAAGGAGAAAATGTTGCAAGAAACCAAAACCACCAGTATCCAGGATAAGCTGGAAAAGTTTGGAGGTGCCGTGAAAAGAGACAATTTGGAAACAGCGGAGGAAAAGATACCCAAAATAGAAGAAAAAACAATTCCCACTGTAAAAGAATTAACTAAAAAGTTTAGCAACACAACAGTTAAGAGTCAATAAACAAATGGATTCAGATGTTTTCCGTATATCCTTTTTTGTTTCATATGATGCAATTTCCATTTGGGAGGGAATCTTAGGAGGGATGTCCAAATTGTTTGTTTCAATGAGTTCTACAACTCCAGATAGACAAGCTCTTCAAGGACTCCCCAGTGAACGAGAAGTGGCATTTATCGCGTTGAGATTTCTTTCACAGTTTGATTGCAACGGAAGCGTCCAACGCTTGGCTGAAGACTTGGGTAACAAGAACTTACTTCCAGTAGAATATGACTGGGAAGGAAACTTGAGAACCATCTCGTTCGATGAATTGTCAAACCTGTATTCTCACATTGACAACAGTTTTCTCATGAACGCTTTAGGATATGCACTTCCTAGAGGACATAATGCTATAACCACCTTTTTGCAGGTACCACAAGGAAACCGCGCCAACGGTAAAATTAGGTCACAATCGTGTATACATTTGTTGCTAAGAAGAGCTACACAAAGAGTACTTATGAGCATTGATGAGTGGCCAACCTCATTTCTGTACAAAAATATCAAGAGACTCAAAACAGTGGTTGGCCATGTGAAGCCTGTCTATTGCATTGCTTTTGACTCGTTTGCCAAATACTTGGTAACTGGAGCTGACGACCACTGCATCAAAGTGTGGTCAGTTGAAACTGGTTATTTATTATACACGCTCAAGTTTCATGAGGGAGAAATTACGGATCTCGCTTTGCATCCTTGGAAGCCCATATTGGTATCTGCCAGCAATGATAGCAGCTTATGTGTTTGGGATCTTCATTCCGGCGTGCTATTAAATGTTTTAAAGGGCCACAGCAGAGGTTCGAGTGCGGTGACTTTTTCTCGCAACCCGGAACATCCTTTTGTTGCTTCTGGAGGTTCGGATGGCTGCATATTATTATGGAACATAGATCACCCAGAGCTTGGTCCAGTCTGTGAATCTTTAACTCAAATTCAAAGAGCAACTCGTCGTATTGAGGAAGAGGATGAATTGGACGATGATTTCATACCTCCTTCAGAGAGTGATGAGAGATGGAACAATGTTGAAGATGATACTAGTAACGACAGAATGGATATACAAGGCAACTCTGTTTCAGGCACTGAACCTGCTTCTCCAGAAGAAAACAGTTCTGATGGAGAGGGAACTGAGCAATATTTGCAGATTCTCAGCCTGGAGTTTAACAATGCTGGCACACTTCTGGCCGTCGGAGCAACGAATCATCGAGCATATTTGTACCGTATCACATATAACGGAGTCGAACTACCTCAAGTTCATCAACTTTCCACTCTCAAAGGTCACATCGGTGCTATATATCATGTGCGTTTTTCACACCGAGGTGAACGTTTGGCTACAGGTGGAACAGATGGCCGTTCAAGAATTTGGAAAAGAAAGAATATTCAAGGCACGCAATGGTCGTCCCTCATGTTAAGCATGCGACAAGATCAACTTGGTCCTTCTTCAACAGATTCGACACGCAGTCGTAGAGTTAATGAACCTCCTCGAGTAACATCACTTGTTTGGTCACTTGAGGATAAATTTGTGGTCACAGCCAGTAGCGACTGCAAGATCCGTGTCTGGAACTCAATTTCAGGAGAATTGATACACTGCTTAAATGAACATCAAGATCATATTTATGTTTTGGATACGAATCCATGTGATAAGAGAATAATTCTGTCAGCTGATCATCATTCTGAAATTATTTTATGGGATATTGAGCAAGGGGTAGTTTTGAAGAAGTTTGAATTGACGTCACCAGAAATGTCGTTTCATTCGTCGTTTGCTTTTCATCATCGCAGTTTAGATGGTTGTTTTTCACCCAATGGAATGTTATTTGCAATATCGGATGAGAGTGGAGCTTTTATTCTTTTTGGGCATGGAAATGGAGAAAATTTAGCACTTGCACCAGAACAACAATTTTTCGTTCATGATTTGCAGGCTGAGCAATTTCATACGTTAGAAGAAAGAGAACGAAGAGCAAAGGTACCAAGTAGAGGTCTCCTTTGCGATATGAGAGGTGTGGCATACCCACTTGGTATGCAGCCTCTTCATATTTTTCGACAGCATAATTGTGATTATAGTTTTTCGGTGGAACAAGCACATGCACACTCCGATTTGATTGCTCGTGCAGAAGCATCCAGACAGTTAGAACTTGAAGAACAAGAGCGAATTGCTCGTGAAGAACGTGCTAGAGCAAGGGCAGCTGCTATTGCCAGATTGAGAAGGGAAATGAACGATTCAGACTCAGAAGATGACGAATGTGATGATGCCTCTGGAAATATCAGACAACGCTTACGTAAACGTGTAAGTAGAAGGCGTGCTATGATAGAATATCCATTTTCGGAAAGTAGTGAGTCTTCTTCGGATCCGGAATTGGTCTATTCGACTAGTGATTATTCAACCTCGGATGATACCGTGGAGAATAGCTCTTTAGATGGAAGTGAAAATTCAGTTTTCAACGTGAATAACTCTACTGACTCTCAAGCTTCAGTTTCTGATGTTTCATCACCAAATATGGAAGACAATCATTATCTTAGGAGTCGTCTGAAGCGTTCACGAAGCCAACCCAAAGCAGCAACAAAGTTACTTCGTCATAAGAGAAAAAATGGACGAAATGATGTTTCCAATTCCAAAGGCGTACGATGGACACAGTCTAAGATAAGTATTCGTCGAAAGTTAAACAAGTCAGAGTGGCTTCGTGCGTTATCCAACGATTTTACAATTTATGAATACGTACCTCAAGTTGATGACGAAATCTACTACTTTCCAAAGGGTCATCTAGACTTTGTAAGAGCGGAAGGAATAGGTCAGAAGAATTATGTTGAGCTTGTTGAGTATTTTCAAGATGAGAAGAAACCGAAGAAGCTTAAAATATGCTCGGTCGAATATATTATTGTACAGAGAAGAAAGCCATATACTGCAGCTCGCCTTCAAGTTACGCCCTTGGAAGGACAAAGTTCAGGTAAGCATTGTTACCTATTGATTGATTTGGTTTTACATGAATGTCTAGAGAAGGTTTGTTTTGAACTAGATTACATGTTTTCGGAACAAGTGCCAGACTTTGTTGTTTTGGCCTCTCGTGTGGAGTCATCACTTAGTCGCCATTGGCGAGTAGGTGAACATTTTCGTACAGTATATATCGGCCGCGATGGACAAAAGTCATTTTACTACGGTACTGTAAGGTCCGTATCGCGGAGTATGTATCGGGAACCTTGGAATAGTATTTATGTACAATGGGATGCTGACAGAACGGAAGAAATGCTTAGTCCCTGGGATTTGATGGAGCCTATTGATGTTTCTTCAGAGACGGAACTAAATGGTATGTATGAGTAAGCCTATTTCATTTATTCATATATTGATGAAATGTTTCTCTAGAACCTTGGGTATCGATTTTGAAAACTTGGACAAAAGTGTTTGAGGAAGATGAACCACTTATTGAAATATGTTCTCCTTTTTTTGTTTCCTTAGAGGAATTGGTTGTCTTTCCGGGATATACCGATGTAGTTGCATTGCCTTTGGTATGTTGTCGATCAGTTATTTTGTGATGAATGACATTTCCTGTTTTAATCAGAATCTGGAAATTGTTTATCTTCGGTTGAAATATGGATTTTATCGTAGTTTGAATAGTTTTGACAACGATCTAAAGTTGGTTCGTGATAATTGCATTTTATATAATGAAGAAGGCAGTGCCATTCAAGGACAAGCGAGACAGATGTATGAACGGCTATTCTCCATATTTATAGCTTCTATTTGTAAAGGAACATCAAACAATGGATTCCATGAAACTGTTGGATCCTCTAGTCATACTCCAAGTCGAAGAACGAAAGTTATGAAGAGAATAGAAATAAGTTCGGAAGAGGAATGATTCCCATCGGTCCCGTGGTCCACTTCCCTCAAGTTGAAATGTGAATCCCATTTCTCATTTCTCTCTTTGGATGGCAGACGCTGAACAAAACAAGCCGTTGGTTGGTAAGAAAGCTGTTGTAACTGGAGGGAACAAAGGGATTGGAGAGTCCATATCCCTTGCTCTAGCTGGGAAAGGAGCAGATATAGCAATCGTGGCACGAGACACGGAGTCTGCACAAAACGTCATCAAGAAAGTGCGTTCAGAGAGACGTTTTTGCAAAATATATCCGACAGATCTGAGTGATGCAGCTTCAGTACGAAAATCTGCGAAAGATATCTTAGCGGATATGGGAAGAGTGGATATTCTGGTGAATAATGCGGGTATGTCTCAGTTGGAGTCGCTGTTGGAGTTTTCAGAGGATAATTGGGATCGCACTATGAATGTAAATTTGAAGGCACCTTTTATACTTTCACAAGAGTTTGCAAAAGGAATGATTGAACGGAAATCAGGGAAGATAATTCACATAAGTTCGGTTGCTGCTATCCACGCTGTCGATGAACACGCTGCGTATTGTGTTTCCAAGGCAGGGCTTTGTATGTTAACCAAAATGATGGCTTTGGAATGGGGTCCTTACAATATTCAAACCAATGCAATAGCTCCAACTGTAGTATGGACAGAAATGGGACAACGTGTTTGGGGTGCTCCAGAGAAACACGAGCCCATGTTGGAACGTATTCCAGCACATCGATTTGTAAAACCGGAAGAAGTAGCGGAGTTGACAGTATTTTTAGCTGGTCCAGGTTCTGATATGATTTGTGGACAGGTAAGCTTGTCATTATTTTGTAAGAATTCATCATCGATGCTTGTTTCTCAATAGACTATTGCCGTCGATGGTGGATTAACTACGCATTGATCAAAGAATAAAGATTTCATCATATTGTGCTTTGAATCGACTTGAGAGATTGATGGTTTGGATGGAGGGAGCCAAGTGTCTCGTTGATCATTGGAAAGCTCTCAAGTCACCACCTTATACCACGCTGATAACTAAATGTTTTCTTTATATTTCTTCTTCGCATATAGTCCATCGTCCACCACGCAGTTATGTGTTCAGGAAACAAATACTATTCTGCAATACGAGACCACCTTGGACACCCAACTTACAGGAAGACTATAGCAAGCGTTCCTTGGATGACCTTTTAGGGTACCAAGGCGAAATATTTTGCAACAGAAGCTTAAATATGCAGTCCATAGAGGCAGTAGGATTTGATATGGATTATACTTTGGCGCAATATACTCCGGAAACCTTTGAAGTATTGGCTTACGAAGGAGCTTTGAAAAGACTCGTCAGCATAGGTTATCCGAAGCAAATACTCGACTGGAAATATGACCCCAGTTACTATTTAAGAGGTCTCATCATAGACAAAGCAAGAGGCAATATTCTCAAAATGGATAGACACAAATATGTCAAATTGGCATACCACGGTTTCAAACCCCTTACCAAATCACAACGAGAAAAACTATATGATCAAGAACCAGCTACTCCAACTTCTCTTCATGACAGCAATTATGTTCCTCTGGATACTTTATTCTCATTACCAGATGCTTACCTGTTTAGCCAACTGATTCGACTAGCAGATGAGCACCCACAATTGCTGAATAGATCCTATTCTTCCATTTTTGATGATGTCCGTAAAGCTGTCGATATATGTCATCGAGATGGCTATATTAAAGATAAAGTTGCTATCGAACCTAGTTATTATGTCGAAAAGGACCCTTATCTGTTCGATACTTTGAAACTTTTGAAAAAGTCAGGTAGAAAACTGTTTCTGCTTACCAACAGCTTATGGGAATATACCAACGTATTGATGAACTATCTTTGGGGCAATCCATCGCGCGTATATACTTTGGATTGGATGGACTATTTCGATCTCGTTATAGTGGGAGCAGCAAAACCTACTTTTTTAGTGGACTCAAACTTGCCACTTTATCGAGTAGACCCTTATACGGGTCAATTGAAGAATGCAGAACTTTTTGATTTTCATTCGGATGATAATCATTTGGTTCATGGCAAGCTATTTCAAGGTGGTAATTGGAAATACTTGCATCATCTATTAAAAGTGTCATCCGGGTCTTCCATTCTTTATGTTGGTGATCATATGTATTCCGATATTCTTCGTACAAAGTTGCAGTTGGGATGGCGTACGATGTTAGTTATTCCAGAATTGGAAAGAGAAGTCAATATGATGCAACAGTTAAATGTCCAGAGACAACATGTGGATGAGTTGAGGAGACTAAGAGATGACTTGGATGAATGGTTGGATCGCCTAGAGTCGGAGTTAGTACATAGAGAAGAAGTGGATTCGGAGTCTAGAATGGAAACTATCCAAGCAGAGTTGGATCAGGCAAGAAAAGAATATAGGCGAACCAAAGAGGCGTTAGATATAACTTTCAATACTTATGATTCCAAGTTTCATCCCATTTGGGGTCAGTTATTTAAGACTGGTTATCAGAATTCCTATTTTGCTCATCAAGTGGAAACCTACGCATGTTTATATACGAGCAGAGTGAGCAATATTCGTTTGGTTTCTCCAGAGATTCATTTTCGTTGTATGGTGGATTATATGCCACATGATCGGTTAGAAGAGGCACCTTTTCGGAGATTGATGAGAAGGCGATTGAGATTGCGTCGACAAATGTTGGAAGAGAAACAATCGGAAGGAAATGATTCCGTCAAAGATAATGAGTTGGAATCCCATAAGAAAGTTGAGTAATGTTTATTCATTTCTGTGGGTTTTGTTTGTCTTGTACTGTTGATGATGATGGGAAGGAGTTTGTAGACAATGTTGCCATTGCGATACGATAGTAGGATGACCATACCAAAGTCCTCCAGGAGAACGAGGAGAATGCCATACTCCATCCAATACGATATTCCAAGCATCTTTTAAAGTGGCACATGGAACCGGAATAATTCCATCTCCTTCACACAAGTGAGTTCCTAAAGTCATTTGATAAGAAATATAGGCAGTCCATTCTTGTGGTTTCCACCATTGGGGGTTTTTACAACCCGTTCCAGCCACACAGACATATTGAATATGGGAGTGAAAGGCATCAGGAAATTGTTGGTTGACATAGTCTAAATTAGTTTTGGTTAAAGTTTGTTTGCTTCTATGCGGTGTACCTAAACAAACCAGAGTGGATACCCACTTTTGACAATCATATTGTACTCCGCAATAAACACCACTGCCTAACCATATTCTGCATATCCAACCTGCCGCAGAGTGTGCAACCAAGTGGACTTTATCTGTTTCACAATCTTTCAATACTTGTTGCACGGTCATACTAAGTTTCTCCAATATAGGTGTAACAGGGCGACCTCCGATGGTAGGTATCCAGTGGTGCCACTGAATAGGTGCAATAAAGCACTTCCATCCAAAATATTCGAGTGACACTTTCAAACCCGTATACTCTTTAGCATCGGCTCCGTAACCGGGCACGATAATCACAGGTGTGATGAGATGGTGCTTTTTAGTATGTTGACTATTGCTGAAACAACAACAGCGATATTTTATACCGCATTTTCTATTCACTTTATGAAAAAAGGAAGAAGAATAACCATTCCTTCCAAAGGTTATGATCCATCCCAACCTATTCTTCTTCTTATCATCACAACCATCCATCATTCAACCTTTTCTCCTCCACACACACACACAGAGAGAGAGAGAGAGAGAAAAAAAATGGATGATAGAAAAAGTTTTCTGCTGCTGCTGATGATGGTCATCATCATCTCATAAAGGTTGGAGTCCAAAACAAACTGTACAAAACAACATATTTGTATCCTTTTCTTCATTATACACAAGTCTCAATCCACAGCGTTGACAACAAGACATGCGAGGTGGAGAAAAACTTTTCAACATAAAACATATACTGCACTGTACCATGGTCGCTTCCAAAGGAAATATCAATCGTTGACCACATCCTTCACAATCATAGAGCAACTGATAATAACAAGATTCTATATCCATCAGAACATATATATAAATATATAGACGCCATTTTTTTAATCATCTCCTTACCTATAGGACGCGTCCATAACAATGCGAGACACAATGGACACTGTATGAGTGCAAAAGAGATACGAAAACGAAGCAAACTACCACAACAAGCACAAAATACCCATTGACTTGTTTCACTGGATATCGATATGTGATAATGGAATCCGTTCTTTTTACTATGGTGTGTATCCCATACTTGTTTGGGTACGACGCAGTCTATGATTTGTTGTTGTTTCATGGTATGTTCAAGTAATTGGTTGTTTTCATTCCCTGTTGAATACCACGTCAACAACCACCCTATACTCTCCTCAATAATAAATAGGATCAAGGGAGATCCAAGTCCAATCTCCCTGAATCCTCTCCTCTCTCTCTCTCTCTCTCTCTTTCTTTCTTTCTTTCTTCTTATTCTATCATAAAATGTTTGGATATCTTTATTTCATTACAATATTCCGTGATGATTGCCAATAGCTAGTGCCGTGAGTAAAATACCTACTACTAAAAAAGGTTGTGCCGAAGCCTGATATTGGACATCATATTTTAAAGGATCCTTTAAGAATAACCGAAACTGAAAATAGACTTGTGGCAAGATACAAGCCACTACTCCACAAGCATATGGTGTTTCGTGAATGGAAAATAAAACAGCGGCAATCAACGCTTGAAAAGTATCGATCAAGAAAACCGATATCCACTTGGCACCTTCAATACCAAACTCCACAGGAATGGAACGAAGGCCAAGTTTCCTATCACCTTCCACACTCTTAAAGTCATTCACCACAGCTATACCTAAACCTGCTAAGGAATACAACAAGGTCAACAACATCACTTTGTAGTCCAACGTTCCAAACAATGACTGTCCTGCCCACCAAGGAAGCGAAATATATGAAGCACCCAAGGCATAGTTACCAATCCAACCACTTCTTTTCAACTTGAGTGGAGGTGCAGAATAAATGTACGCCAAAAAACAACCCAATAGTGCCACAAAAAACAACGTTGGTGACTCGTGCTCCTGTAACTTGTCAAGTGAAAAAGCTAGTCCTAAACCCCCACTCAAAAGAATAATAATCTGTGCTTTCACAGCTTGTTCCGATATAGCACCGGATGGAATAGGTCTATAGGGCTCATTAATGGCATCGATATCCTTATCATAATAATCATTCAGGGTCTGTGTATATCCAGTCAATAACGGTCCTGATAATAACATACACAAAGCAGCTTTCGAAATATTGTCCAAGTTCCATTCAAAATTGCCTGACGCCGCTGCACCACAAATAACTCCCCAAATAAGTGGGATCCAGGTAACCGGCTTCATCAACTGAAGGTGAATCCTCCACTTGGGAATATTATCTTCCGAAGAGGCACCCTTCATACCAAGTAATTGTCTAAAACTCAACTGGGTAGCTGCATTCTTATTCTGTTCTTCGGTTTCCTTGTCTGGTGACTCTTTCAAGGAGCATACCAATGGACTCGATCTTCTCGTTGAAACCCATAGAGTTCTTTTGGACTTGAACAATGAAGTATAAGAACACTTTTGAACATATTTCCATCGGCACTGAGTACAAAAATTTGGACAACGCAGTAATGTAGGAAATATAAACAACCGACAAGGCTGTTGATGTTGCATCGTTGAACAAATGTCCAAAACAAGCTAATCCTTTTGCAAAATAATTCAAAATAATTCATTCTTCTAAAAGCCAAAACTATTCACAGTTAAGCATAAAATGGTCAACCATAGGAAAACTTTTTCCAATCTCAAAATACTACTAGACTATTTCTTCCCTAGAATCAATATCTTTCTTACAAAGAGGACAAGATTTGTCCAGAGCTAACCATTCGTCAATACATTTCTTATGATAATGATGCTAAGGTATCATTTAACAAAGAGAAAAGAAAGAAAATATAAAAACAAAACATACCTTGCAAGGTAAGTGACGAATCATATCGCCATCAATATAGTCAGTGAGACAAATAACACAACTGGTATCTTCTTCTCTTTCAAAGGAACCATGCACATAGCTAGAACATGGAAGATTGTTGATCTGTTCAGCAGTGGCTGCCCTACCACGTCTACGTTGTGTACTTTCAGCATAGGGAAGAAGTAAACGAATAAATAATGGCAAACAGCACATGATCAAACAGAAACATGCCAACGGAAGACCAAGTAAAGCATAATATATAACTATTAAAGCCAACACAAGTCTATACAAGTGGGGGGCGGTTTTGTTCTGTTCAAGATCAGCAACGAGTTAATTTTGAAACTAGAGAATTACCTTACACATGTTTCACACTCCGATAACCAAATAGATCCAACAATAAACCATACCAAGTAAAAGGCATTCAACAGACGCAACCAACGGGACACTAACTCATTGTGATACATGGACTCGAAAATGGTATTTCCACTTTCCTCGAGACTTTCCGTCTCTTCAATTTCAGAAGATCCACTAGGAAACCCACGATAAATATTTTCCGCACGAAAAAATACTCCAGAAGAAGAGCCTGTTTCGTGTCTTGTTCCCTCTTCTTGAGAAAGACTTTCCAAAGAAGCAAAAACCCTAGAGTAACGAGAACCCACCAGATTCAAGACAAGGGAAAACAACTGTATAAATATTAAAACACATATCCAAAAGTGTAAAGGGCGGTCACAGCTCTTGTTCCAACTGAATATCAGGACCAACAATTCAGCTGTTAGCTCGCTCGTAACCAATAAAACTGTAAGAAGCCTCCCAGCTGGTAACAAGTCTCGTTGAAAACGATCTACTACGTTGTTTCGAACCCGAGTACTTTCCTGACGGAGTAGTCTTACTGCTTGACTACTCGAACGTCGGTGGTGGTGGGCCCTGGAAGCATTCCTCAACAAACTCTCTGAAGTTATTCTGTTACCATCCACAGAGGTTCCAGCAACTTCCAACCCTTGCCGCCTCATATCCAACGACGCTTTAAAATGCACATGAAAAACGCTTCTTTTGAAAGTAGAGAAACAACATACCTCTTCCTAACAATGGTGAGGCTGGCGAAGTGGACATCGATTATTCAAAAGAAATTGTCGATGAGATGTAGTGCTGTCAAGGTTATTACACTACTATAAAAAGAGAATTGTCTTGTCCGACAAAGAGGGGAACGCATAGCTTCAAAAATGGAAACTTGTGATAGAAGAAAACTTTCTTCGAAGTGAAATTTGAGTCAGTCAAGTCCCTTTTAAAATTTTGTGAATAGACGCGAGAGTGAAATAGCACATAGTCAAGCTAGTGCTTTGTGTATTGTTCAAGTTGATTACCAACAAGACTGCATCTCTCTGAAACTAGTCTATTGTTTGCAAGTGTAGGGAGAACATTAGTGAACTTAGTTCATGATATGTAGCTTTCGTTGAATTTGTAACTGTAGTTACAAGGCTTTCAGATTTGCCAAAGTATTTTGATTTTTTCAAAAAAGGTTTCATAGTATAACTAATATATGTTTGTAACTTCTCTAAATGGATCTCCAAAATGGCGCGCAACAGAAAGAGAAAAAAGACTTCCTAATGATGATTCCCATTTATGATTCCCCGGCTCATTAAGCGCAGTTCTCGAAAGATTCTCACAAGTTGGTCTAGTTATGAGAAAACGGTAATTGAGAACGCTGCACGCTGCATAACAACCAGTGAATACGGTCACATAGTTGATAAGCAAACGAATAGGTATTATTGAGTCTTACTTATCCATAAGTCCACTTACTGTTCAGTAGAACTTTTGATATCACTCCTAGCGACTACGATTATCAGCTGCCTGAAGATAGAATAGCGCTTTCTCCCACAACACCCAGAGATGCTTCCAAATTGCTGGTAGCTGTTTGTGGTTCAGGAACTGTGATAGCTGACAGTACTTTTAGAAACTTGGATAAGTTTTTGCCAGACAACGCTGTCCTAATAAGTAATGATTCCAAAGTGATAGCTGCTAGGCTGTTCATGAGAAAGGTAGAAACAGGAGGATTGGTTGAAGTGTTATGTTTGGACCCGATAACCAAAACCACTTTGGAGTCGTTGGAGGCTGTCAACAGCTGTGAGTGGTTATGTTTCGTGAGGGGGAAAAACGTGAAGCCAGGCACACAATTATTTCTTGACGATATGGAAAGTCCTTTGAAAGCAGAGATTCAGGAAAAATACGAAAGAGAAGCTTTGATTCGATTTACTTGGAATTCCGGTAGAGAATACAAATTTCGCGATATTTTAGAAAAACACGGTATCATTCCGCTACCACCGTATATGAAGAGAAATGTCACGAAAGACGATCGAACATCGTATCAAACAGTATATGCAACAAATGAAGGAAGTGTCGCGGCTCCCACTGCAGGACTGCATTTTACACCACAACTTCTTTCCAAGCTTGAGCAAAAAAATGTATCACTGGTCCGTGTAACATTGCACGTAGGTGCAGGAACCTTTTCTCCTATTGTCACCGAGTCTGTATCGAAACACGATATGCACGACGAACGGTTCCACGTGACTTTGACAGCTTTGAAACAACTAAAAGAAAACTGTCAACAAAGTAGACCATTTGTTGCAGTTGGTACAACTAGTGTGCGTACTTTGGAGACGCTTTATTGGATAGGTTATCAATTAATAACTAGCGAGGACTTTAGATCGCGTCAGTGTCCCACTGAAGATCTGTCATTAAGTCAATGGTTTCCATATGAAAGGGAGTCATCGCTAATGCAAACGAATACTTCAGCGTGCAACAGTCATCTTCCGACGAGAATGGAAATTCTGGATGCTCTTATCAGTTGGTTAGAAGAGAGAGCATGTGACTCTATTATGGGTAGAACAAAACTTATTATCGTCCCCAATTATCCTTTCTTTATGTAAGAAAAGCTTTGATTTTTACGTGAAAAGAGAACCAATGTATCATTTTTATAGGGTCGATGCAATGATAACCAACTTCCATCAACCTCGTTCAACGTTACTAATGTTGGTAGCGGCGTTTTTGGGTGACAGATCTGCATTATTTCATGTTTATCGTCATGCACTGGAGCACGATTATCGTTTTCTAAGTTATGGAGATGGATCCTTACTTGCATCTCCTGTATTCTTTGCAAACAACAATATCGACATCGATAAATGAGAAACTACAAAAATAAATAAATGTAACAAATAACGAAACTTGCTTCTACAGAAAAACTTTCTCTATACAAGTATTATCCCCAGAACCAAATATCCTGCACATATCGTTTCTCATCTGATAACTCTTTCATAAAGTTTTTGGCGTCTTCCCTATTACCGAAAATTTGTTCATTCATAATATCTATCAATGATTCCTGAACCCCTTTTGCCATATTGGCACCATCTCCACACACGTAAATGCAAGATGAAGGATGACTGAACATCAAATTGCTCACTTGCTCGGCATGTTTTTTCAAAAGATCTTGTACATACTTCTCATTGCCATTTTCCCTAGAATAACAAACAAATAGCTTTGAATCCGGCAAGGACGACAAGTCGCTTTCCATTTCATCCAAATACTCTTGAAATTCTCCGAGGATTCGGCAACCAAAAAACAAATAAACTGGTGCAATTAAAGTTCGCTTGACTGGTTCCTCTTGAGTTGCTACACGACTATCCTCTGAAGACAACCAGTTCTTGTAATCTCTTCGTCGTTGTTCAATGAATCCTCGAAAAGGTGCTACTCCTGTTCCAGCACATATCATCAGATAGGGTATTTGCAAATTATCAGGAGGATGAAAATATAAACTAGGGCGATGAAACATGGTCACCCGCAAATCATGTGTAGACCATTTCTCCAGTTGACTACATATCCTATCAAACACTCCAGTGGCGTGACCTCTCCTCATCCATTTCTTCCCTTCAAATATGGGATAGTGGACCAACGAAAAGACAAAATCAATCTTTCTGCCACAAGGTTCATAACATGATGAAGCTGAATAATATCGGGGTGCTAAAAATGGCAAACAATCTAGTACTCTCTGCAATGGAGGTTGACATGAAGGAAATGTCACTAGAATGTTCAATAATGATACTCTACCACGTATAAAAAGTGAACGATATGTATCCCTACCAACATCCGAACTCAACAAAACAAGTGCACGTTTTTCACGATCATTCTCACAAAATTCACTGAGCAGCAATAGAAAGCTTTTCTTTGGAGGAGAGTAAAGATCAAACTGTTTTCGTAGAGCAGAACGCACTTCTAGCGTAACCGGTGGAACTGATTTGGTGTCCTCCACGTACCAAGTATCGTTAATTTTAAGCCTTTCAAGTAAACTTGACACAAGTCGACTGTCATTCTCAACAAAGAAACCGAATGCATCTCCAGGTGAATAGTGAACTGGGGATTCAGGTTCGACCTCAAAGTGCCAAACTGGCTTTGGCGAATTCGTTAAGCTTAACAGCTTTGCTCTGGAAATTTTCGCATCAAGGAGCTGCTCACGAGAAACACAAAGAAAAGTGTCTCTTTTACTCGAGCTCTCATTTACTTCTTCCTTCGAAATCAGCCGGTATCTTTCAAGAGGAAGTGTAGGCAACTTTGAAGGAGAAGCGTTGAGGTCCAATGTCGAATCTATAACAGACCAAACGTACTTTGAAAGACTTCCTGAGTTACATTTCCAATAGTCTACGATAGAGTCCTGTTCAAAAACGTTATCATAAATGTCAAGCGACTCAAAGAGAGACAACAACTCTGTTTCGTCCGGCATGACATCCACAAAGCTATCCCCACCGATGATCATGAGAAAGTGCTGGCCGGTTGTTTCCTATATTTAAAGCGGTTGATATACCGAAAGCGCAACTATTTTTTGCCAAAGCATAGGAGCACATAAAAAAGAGGAAAAATATAATTATTTTTGCCATATTAAAAAAAAGACATAAAAGGCAAAGTAAACTATTGGAAATTAAAAAACAATCATCTGTTTATTTTCTGTACTTCAACAGTTATATGGATGATTTTTTAATCCACGTTTATCTAAATTAAACATGTCTAAAATAAACATACTTTGAGATCTTCTTTTAGGAAATTAAGAATCCTTGACGATTTCACCTTTAAGATTAGATTGAGTTTCTATTTAATTTTAATACTCAGGAAATTAATTGAAACAACGAAAATTTCCTAGTTCAACAGAAGTTAAAAACTTGTCTCAAATATAAAAAAAATATTAGAATTTGATAAATTAATTTGTTAAACAATTTAACATTTGCGGTGATAATACAGTTGTGGTGGAGTCTGAGCTTCACTCTTATTCTTGGTCTACAGTAAGAATAATATTGTGATTCTATCTAGATATTTCAACTGCTACCAAGTTTGTTGCAGGAAAGATACTCGACCCACTCGTCTACAAATCACTTTATTAAAGCTTGATTATATATGAAATTTTTGAAGCTATAACTTGTTTCGACCAGTACAATGTTGTGTTAATGAATTTTAAGCAATTTCTTAGTTTCAGGGACTAATAATTTTTAAAAAGTATCACTTTTTCTGCCTCTTTGCAAAGATTCGCTCTTTTCTTGAAAAGCTTATAACGAAAACTTCTCTATGTATTTTGGGCTTCCACAGATTGTTACCTTCTAACAGTAGCTCAATGTATTCTTCTTTAGTTTTCAAACCAGAGGAACTGGATCCGCGTATAATTTTTTTCAAATTTTTATCTAAATTATTCTACTTCCTATCCTTCTTTTTAACGAGCCTGTAGAATTGCACTTCGTTGAAGGATGAATCTCAAGATAGTTGCTACTTATTTTAGGTTTTCCGACAATTTATCTACTTTTGAATGGAATATATGTAGTAAAGCTAAAGTCGTTGTTCTGTTTTTCTATCTATAAAGCGTGCTGTACTATATGTTTGGCGTCCTTCAGCTTCGATTTCATCCACAACCCTATCCAAGAACAATACTGGGGTCTCATGGACCCCTTCTGGAATCCTCCATAAATGCAATTAAATTGAAAATGGGCGTGGGATGTTCCTACTGAATCGTTTCGTGAAATGTCGCACGAGTACCAACTAACCTATTTTAATATTCGTGGGCTAGGAGAACCCATCCGTCTACTTTTTGAGGACAATGGTATAAACTATAAGGAAGAAAGGATTGAAGCTGGAGAGCAGTGGCAGAAACTGAAAGAAGAAGGTCAATCTTCTGGCAAGATTCCTTTTGGTCAGATGCCAGTGTTGCAGGACGGACCCTTGTATTTAGCTCAAAGTGGGGCAATACTTCGTCATTTAGCGAGAAAACACAATCTTTATGGTGACACGGAGGAGGAGAAAGCGTTGGCGGATATGATGAACGATTTTGCCAACGACCTTCGTACGCCATATGTGCGAATGATCTACAACGACAGTTGGAAGGAGATGTTACCAGAGTATTTGGAAACCGCAAAAAAGCAGTTGGATGGGTTGGAAAAATATTTGAATCGCCGAGGGAAACCGTATGTGGTAGGTGACAAACCTTGCTTTGCAGACTACAACTTGTTGGCGATGCTGGATTGTATGCATCGTTTAAAGGTAGGTGAATTTTTTTGAAAAATGAGAGAGAGAGAGAGGTGTTGATGATGGGCTACTAGGATGAGCTTTTGGATTCATTTGAGTTGGTGAAAAAGTATTATTTGCGAATGAAACAACGTCCTAAAGTGGCAGCATATTTCCAATCCAATAGAATTCCTGAGAAAGTAAACAATGTGCCTCGCGGATAGAAATAAAAGGGAGTTTCTGTGTTTATAAGAAAAAAAATCCACAATCTCTTTCTCTCTTTTCCACACACATACATATAAATACATCTATATGCATATGTATTGTTCCTGTACATAATAAAGGGATTTCTCAAGGAGCGAGTTTCGACATAAAAAAAAAGGGATTACAATGGATGTGCTATCGTCTTTCTCATGGTACATAAGCAACAGTTTTTGTAAAACGATAAGCTCATGTAGGGCAAATCTGCTATGATTCAGACTCCTTTGGTATCTTTCGAAGAAGAAAAAGGTCTCTCGTCGTTATTATCACTTGCTCTATCCTCAAGTACACTCCAACGGCGATTCATCACTTGCCTGGAAATTTTTTCCGAGTCACTTTCCACACAATGACGTCTCATTCTTTCTTCGTAGAGAACTGGATCCATATCTAATAACAATTTCTGCAACGACTGAGTTAGCTCATGGACATTGGTACTCCAATGAAAAGAATTTTCTATCAAAGGACCCATAATAATGGGCATCAATTCCTCACGATGCCTTTCCAGCGCATCCAAAATAGTATCGTTGTTTCCTAAAATAACTAGCGCCAGTTCTGCCACATCGCAATGTTTGGAGGACATACATTTTGCCAATCGATGAAATACTGGCTTCAATATCGGCTCGATAACTTCCGACTTTACCCTTTCGAGGATTTCTTCCAACTCATGTAGGAACAAGGTTTCCTTCTTTGCAGAAGTTACTGGCCAATATTTTAATAACGTGGTAATAGCGGGTACAGCCAAACTTGTATCCTTTTGAATGAACTGCACCATACAATACAAGAGTTGCTTGTGATAAGTTACCAACGTTCGTGGCTTATGAAGAGGTAATATTGCCCTGTGAAAAAATTCTTTGTGCTCCAGTTTGAGTGGTAAGGAAAATCCATTGATGATGGATCCCAAGATTTCTAATAGTTCCGCGATTCCGTTTTGCCTTTCAGTCTCAAACACAAAAGGATGAAATACAACATTGGCGATGGCCATTCGAATGAACTGTCGCAATGGCATAAATTTTGCATATATGCGATGCAAAATAGTTCTCAGATACTCTCTTTCTCTTGGATCATCGGAGTCAAATAACTGAAGTAGTCTTATAATCAGACTTTTATCTATGTATTCCAAAGCGATCTAGAGCATCCTTTGTCATCCATCATTTTTAACGATACACAAGTGTACTTACTTTGGGGTCGGTATCTCTGGAAACCACAAACTCTAGAAACAACGTATAAACGGGTAGTAAATGAGGCCAAGCAGGATCTGGACGAGGTTCTTCTTCCAGTTCTTCCACAGGTGCTTCTGCTTGACAAGCAGGTTGTGCTTTTGGAGGCAAGGATCGAAAAATATTGGCACTTATCATATATATTACTGGTCCATAAGTTTCAGGGGAGAATATTCCCGACTTTGTTTCAGCCAATTCCACCAGTTCCAACAAGGTTTTCCTCTTAATCTCCTTTTCCTTTTCAAAAACGTTTGCATAAGGTCCTGTAAAGTCAAATTGAACACTACAAAGTTCAAGCTTTTTCAAAAACAAAGCTTTTAGTTCGTTAGGGTTTGAAACGTCCCGCAGAGAAGGTAAAGGTTGGGAGAAGAGTTTCAATTCTTCCTCTGAAGGTCTCGGAGACTTGAGGTCGGATGACGCCCTTTTGAAGTGACCAGGAGAAGAAGCTTTGAGGGGTGGTGAGATTGGTTTTCTCAAACTAGTAACAGGTCCATTTACATTTTCTTTTGTTGACTGGTCGCAATGAGCAGTTGACTTGGAAACGGGAGCAAGTGGTTGACAAGAAGAAGAAGACGAAGGAGGAGGAGGAGAAGAAAAAGAAGAAGGGGAAGTTGTTGTAGAGGAATTCGTTCCTCGTGTCAGTAATTGAGCGCTTTTCTGCTGCTGAGTATCATGAGCTGTTGTTTCTGAATCACTATTATGTTTAGGCATATCCAGTACCCAGGGCTTGGTTTCAGGCAGACATCATTGCTCTTCAAAATCCGAATAAGGGACAGTCCCCCAGTCTCTCTCTCTCTCTCTGGAAGCAAAAAGGAGTGTTAATTATCAATGGACTATAAAGGTGTGTTGCTCATATGAAAAGAAATCCATAGAATGAAGGAGTGTCTATTCCTCTTATTTATGAAAGAATAAGGTCCATATCATATATGTATTTGTATATATATATATATATATATATATATATATACTATGGAATTTTTTATTGTCGCTCTTTTCCACACGTTTTCTTCTCATCTATCCACTTCACCAAATACAATATCTTGAGTTCCAATCATAGTAACCACATCCGCAACCATATGTCCTTGACACATATGATTCAAAGCAGACAAATGATAAAACCCAGGCGGTCTTATACGACAACGATAGGGTCGATTGGTCCCATTGGCTATCAGATATACTCCAAACTCTCCTTTGGGAGCTTCAACGGCTCTATACGTTTCCCCTGCAGGAACAGCATAGCCTTCACTATACAACTTGAAATGATGGATAAGAGACTCCATAGACTGTTTCATATTTGCTCTAGAGGGAGGAGATATCTTTCGATCATCTACCTTTATCTCTCCTTCCGGCATTTGATTCAAACACTGAACTATAATGGCTACACTTTGTCGCATCTCTTCAATTCTGCAAAGATAACGATCATAACTGTCTCCATGTGTACCCACTGGGATAGTAAAGTTTACTTCATCGTAAGCATCATAGGGCTGTGACTTTCTCAAATCCCATGCAATACCTGAACCTCTCAACATGGGACCTGAAAATCCAAAGTTCAAGGCATCTTTGGCAGTCACAATACCAATATCCACGGTACGTTGTTTCCAAATTCGATTGGCTGTAAGCATCTCTTCAATCTCATCAACTCTTGCTGGAAACTGCTCACAGAAACGATAAATATCATCAGATAGTCCCAACGGAATATCATATTGAACACCACCTGGACGTACATATGCCGAATGAAGACGAGCACCAGAGGCTCTTTCATAAAATTCCATAAGTTTCTCTCGCTCTTCAAAAGCCCATAAGAAAGGTGACATAGCTCCTATATCCATTGCATGGGTAGTAATAGCTAAAAGATGATTGAGAAGTCGAGTGATTTCTCCAAATAAGGTTCTAATGTACTTGGCTCGACGAGGAACTTCGATTTTCAAAAGCTTCTCAACAGCTAAGGAATAACACTGTTCTTGAGCCATCATAGAGACATAATCCAGCCGATCAAAATAAGGAAGTGCTTGTAAAAAGGTTTTGTACTCAATCAACTTTTCAGTTCCTCTATGTAACAGACCGATATGAGGGTCTGCACGCTTCACCAACTCACCATCCAATTCGAGAACCAAACGTAACACACCGTGGGCAGACTAAACAACTGGGTTATCACAAAAGCTAAAAAGAGTGATTACTTACAGGATGTTGGGGACCAAAATTCAAAGAAAAGTTCTTGAATTCCACTGGTTTCTCACAAGTGGCTCGAAGACGAGAAAGTTCGAATTCCGTCAATTGCTCTAGTTGCATATCACCAGCCGCTTCCTGAATTCTCTTGCGAACTTCAGGATCGGGTACCAGTTCATAAACCTTCTTTCCCAAGGCCTCCCCTTCATAAGGATCCTTTACCAACAACTTTTCACGAGGGATGGACTCCAATTGCTTATATACTTCCAACTGTTCTTGGGAAACTTTGTTGGATCCTATTATTGAACTTGAGTGAAAACTCTTCCATCCCTTTGTCAAATGCTTCAAGGTATGTCGTAACATTATCACAACACAAGCTATTCCGGTAGGCCCCCAAAACCAACAACAATGGAAAGAGTGAATGGTTGAAGAATGAAGCTGTTGCGTAAGGATATTGATAAGACCAATTCAGGTACCTTGAAACTAGTGCCTGAAAGTAGTGACGATATGTGGGAAATATATAATCTGGTCTCCACAGGTGATTTTGTGCGTGCTTCGACAATACGCAAAGTGCAAAAGGAACTATCTTCTGGTGCTACGGAGAACGAGAGAATGCGTCTTTTTCTAACTGTTCAAGTTGATGACACAGAATTTGACGCAGAAGGATGTGAATTGAGAATAAGCGGAAGAAACGTTGTGGAGAATGAACATGTCAAACTGGGAGCACACCACACTCTCGTATTGGAACCCCATCGTGCTGTTTCGATAGGCAAAGAGAGTTGGGATGAGTTCACTTTGCAACGTATAAAGGAAGCTTGTGATCCATCAGCGACTGCAGAAGTTGCCGCTATATTATTACAGGAAGGCTATGCATTGGTCTGTGTGGTGAGTCGCTCTTTGACACTGGTCAAGGCCAAAGTGGAAACTTTTATACCTCGAAAAGGGAAAGACGCTGCTTTCAACAGAGAACGAGCACTATCCAAGTTCTTCTTACAACTATTTCAAAGTTGTGCACAAAATATTAATTTTCAAGTCGTCAAAGTTCTTATCATCGCAAGTCCAGGCTTCGTAAAGGACGAATTTTTCAAGTTCTTTTTCGAGGAAGCAGCAAGAAGAGATCTTCGAACTCTGGTGTCGTTCAAATCTAAAGTAATTTTGTGTAATATATCGGCTGTGACTAAATGGGCCTTGGAAGAGGTATTGAGTGATGATGCTCTAAGTAAGAAATTGGAGAATGTAAAGGCTCTTGAAGAAACTCGTGCGTTAAATACTTTCTTTCATACATTCGATTCTTGTCCCGAGAAAGCAGCCTATGGTTGGGATGAAGTTGGCACGGCAGTAGAGTTGAGTGCTGTGGATGCGTTATTCATCTCGGATGAAATATTTCGGACATCTGATGTTACGAGACGAAAGCAGATTGTAGAAATGGTCGAACATGTGAAGCAGGCGGGAGGAAAGTTGTTTGTTCTTTCAACGATGCATGTGAGTGGAATTCGCTTGAAGGAATTGACAGGTATCGCTGCCACATTAAGATTTCCTCTTCCCGAATATCATTAGCTTGAGAGAACAACTGAACAATGATGATTTTATCAAACATACAATGGACCATTGCAGTAATAATAACAATCACAAAAATATCATCAACGAATACCGTAGTTTGGAGCATTTTGACACATACGTTGCAAACTGGAGATAATAGTGCCAACATTCACAAAGGAATGATATTCTCCAGTCATTGAACATGCTCTAGTGGCTCTATGATAACCATGATTCATGGTATATCTATATTATGAAGACATTCTTTGACATGAAAACTTGATACTAGTCAACTCGCCCAAACCTGCTTCCACAATATCATTGTCTTCAAGTGGCCCTACGCCTTCTGGAGTGCCTATACAAAAAGTATGCATAAGACTTCTCATAATATAAGTATACATACCTGTCAATAAGAGGTCACCTTCATAGAGAGTCATAAACTTGCTTGTATAAGAGATAAGTTCTTCAATACTGAAAATCATATCTTTCGTGTTGCCTGATTGCTTCATATTGCCATTAACCTTTAAAAAAAAGTAACCCATTTGCTGACACATGTGCTAAAAAGTACAAACCTTGAGCCACAGGTCAAGGTTACGAGGGTTGGGAACCTTTTGAGCGGGAATCAGATCGCTCATCGGTAGAAAAGTGTCACAACCTTTGGATATCGTCCAGGGTGTTCCTTCTGATTTTGCTTTTGCTTGCCAGTTTCGAGCTGTTACGTCTATGCAACATACGTAACCTGCCACAAATCCAATTGCTTCGTCCACGGATACGAGCTTAGCACGCTTGCCAATGACTACTCCTAACTCGACTTCGTGATGTACTTGGGCACCCACAGGAAGCAAAATGGGACTGTCACCTCGAATATAACTTGAAGTTGGCTTTATAAATAAAATAGGATCTCCCTTGGTACTTGTAACTTGGGCACCCATTTCCTTTGCGTGCTTTTCATAGTTCCTTCCAACACAAACCGCTTTGGTTCCAACTTTGTCGATCAACATATTCGATATGCGTGTAGTAACAGATTTTGATGAATACAGGCGCCTAAAAAGTGAGGCAGAAACAGTTCCTTGTACCACCATGTCATGCCAACATAAGTTGCGATTTCTTCAATTTCTCATGTGACTACTTTTCAAAACCCGGATATCATTTCCAACTTGAATGAATTGGTTTTTATGGTTTCTAGTTGCAGACCACAAAAATGTCTTCAAGGTTTTGTATTGTCTCTTGGTATAGAATAAAGAATAGAGATGTTGAATTGTCAATGTAAGAAATCATGAAAAAATAAGAAATGCAGTTGGATGGGTTCTTCATGTTACCATTGTCTTAAATATCAAATGAGTCGACATTCATTTGTAGAAAATGATCAAAAAATGATGTTTGGAAAGTTTTTCACATTATGAGGTTTTAAGGAACAAGTCAAAGAATAAAGGCTTTGTTGCGTTCCTCTTCCTGGCATACTTGAAAATTGATATTGTCAAAAGTCAGCCATTGTATGAAAGACTGCCGTGGTGTAAAGGTTATCATTCCAGCCTTCCAAGCTGGAGACCCGGGTTCGATTCCCGGCGGCAGTACGAGTTCCCTTTTTCTTGAACCATCTCTTCTCCCAATATATTGCATCGATGCTGAAGAGATTTTTTTGCTTCCCACTTGTTCATTTTTGGTATACTGTTGTTGAATGCCTCCTTTGAATAAAACTGGTGTAGCTTATGCGTTGGACTTTGACGGTGTGTTATGTGATAGTTGTTTGGAACTCATCTGTTCGGCTATGTTAGCCATTCGATCCAAATGGCCACAAGTTTTGCAAGGTACAAGAAACCTTTTTAGCAATAGTCATATCTTTCACTCTTTGTAGATTTGGTACCCAATCCTTTAGAACCTCCTGACTGGCTAGTTAGCAAACTGCAGAAGCTAAGGCCGTTGGTTGAAGTTGGTTACGAAATGATCCTTTTAGGTCTCTTAGTTGTAGACGAACAACACGCTAGTATTCGTTCACAACAAAAATCACGACCTTTGAGCGTTGGAGAGATTATGGAAAACTGGCATAGTCAAATAAAGGATCAGCTGTGGCGTGAATACAAGACTTGTGACAAGGAGCTGGTTGATCTGTTTGGAAAGACCAGGGACGAGTGGATTCGACAAGATTTACAAGGCTGGCTAGGGAAACACCGATTGTATGTTTTTTGGGTTATTTCAATATCGTCGTTGCCAATTCTTATTTCTTTGCCTAGTTATCCTGGCATTGTGGACGCTTTGAACTTTTCGGAGTCACCTTTGTTTATCGTTACGACGAAAGAAAAACGATTTGTTTGTCAGTTGTTGAAACATAGTGGGGTGGAGATGGAAGAACAACGCATCTATGGATTAGATGCCGGAAATAAACTCAAAGTTCTCAAGACGCTGATCAAGTTGGATGAATTGAAAGGACGAACGTTGTAGTAAGGATATATGAATGGACACTTGTATACTTAAAGTTCACTATGTTTTTTTTGTTAGTTTCGTGGAGGATCGAGTGGAAACGCTTGAAGATGCATGTCTGACTATGTTAGGAACGCCTGTAAAGTTTTATTTAGCGTCTTGGGGTTATAATACGGAAGAGGTGCGGGCCAGAGCTGCTAGAAACCCACAAATTGAAGTCATCGACTTGCAGACTTTTGTAATGAAAATGCAATGACCACAAAGTATTACCAAAATGTAACCCAAGATCTTACATGGAAATCCTATGAATCTCTTTTATAGATTCTAGTTTCTTTAAACAGTCGAATCTGTTTTCTAACTCAAGCTACATTGCCAATCCATTACCGGATTAGAAAATCTTGCAAAGAAAGCAAAGATGCTTCTGCATCTTGTATCGTTACTAATTTCTCAAGAAGAACTTGCAAATGTTTCACCAACGATTCTAAACGGGATAAACGTGGACACTTTTCTGCTTGCAAAAATGCATCGTTCAATATTTGAGCAACCGCTTCGCGTTTAGAGTAATCCAAAAGATAACTTGCTGGTGAGTTTGATGGGTCTTCATATGCCAACAAGGAAGAAATCTCATTGAGATAGCTCGCATTTTCTGAATCATCTTCACAAGTAACCAATTCTACTAGTTGAGTCTTTCCAAGTTCTACCGCTTTGTCAACTTTTCCTTTGCGAATCAATTCCACGAACTTCTGGCACAATAGTTGAAAAACTACCTTTCTGTTTTGACAAACATTAGGATAAACTTGTTCCATCTCTTTCATAGCTTCATCGATATACCCATGACTGATGAGACTACAGATACTGTGCCTAGAAACTGCCTTTTGGAGTTCTTCGTTAACCCATTCACCTTGATTGGTGTCTCTTGAAAACGAAACTGCAGTACAAGTATATCCTTGATGCACCAAATAGTCTAAAATGTCGTTCATCAGTTTGTTGTCTTCGAGGTAAAGTTGTCGACCATAAATCCTCGACATGAGGTCCAACTTCTCTTGTTTGGCATAAGTTAAGAGGTCAAAAATAAAGTTTTGTCCACCAAAATTGGCTTCAACTATTTCTCCTGGAGTTTGCAAACCTACAGTGGGGTATAAAATACCCGCAACATTCCGAAAAGCGATGGGGAGTGCCAAACCATTCTTTGTAAAGAATACCACACCTTTCATCAAGTTCCAACAACAACCAACTACATCTCCAGTAGTAAATGTAGGGCCATAAGGAGTTCCAGTACCCGAGTCTCGAAAAGCATTGCCATCATCGCCATGATAGCCTAAAGAATTACTTTCCCACCCAGGTAGTCTATTTAAACTTACGTTGGCCGCACTCAAGCCAATACCGATGAATCCATCTCTTCCGGCACTTACTACTTTAATCTCAAAATAGAATATGGCACAACAACTTGGTACTGGAAAAAGTGTCCTTGCTGCTGCTGCGTCTTCGTTTCGCTTTCCAGGTCCTTGGTACTTTAAGCACAAGTTTTTCTTTGTCAGCTCCAAGTATTCACACTTGTCCTTGTTACACCACGCACACGGTATCTTGGACAAAACTTCACTAGGGATGTTTCCTATCACACAACCGTGGACTGGCACTTGCAAGTCCTCATAAAAGCGCCTCTCCAAAGTCTCTTGGTACACTTGCATGTTGGAAAAGTCACTATACAAAAGCTAGTGTGTTGAACAAGTCACTCAAGTCAGTCATAGCTTCGAAGTTACCAATGGGTCTCGTGCAATGACAACATTTACACAAAGCTACCAAATGCGATGATTAGAAAAAACAAACAGAAAGAATCTCCCTCTCCTCGAACAATGAAAAACACAACGTCGACTATTCTTTTAACATTTATCTCTTCTTAAAAAGGAAAAATAATGCTAGCTAAACTATGCCACTAGACAAGCTAAGATTCTTCTAGGGGGAACAAACGAGTTCCTCGCATGCATCACCAACTCATTGTTGATCATCAGTACATCTCCTTTTTTCCAACGAAACGAAACACAAATATCATGCATCACTTTGGAACAAATCTGCAAGTCTTCTGAAGGCAACGGAGTTCCATCTCCAAATGTAACAGCTTTCTTTGGGTCATTTCTTTTGTCTTTCCAGCCTTCATAAGCAGCAATCATGGAGTTGAACCATGTTGGCTTTCCCATAGGAGAGTTATGTTGAACGGCAGGTAATATTGTAGTAACTTTCAAACAGCCATCTTGAAGCCATTCCAGTTCCGAACCAAGTTGATGACAACGCTGTTCCAACTCTTCACGACTCTTTACAGCATAAGTAGACCGCCATCCTCTTCCAATAGGAGTAGATGGGTCATCTTCTTCTGGCATGATTCTAGTATACTTGATACCTTTTTGTTCTAATGCTGCAACAAAGTTAGGACATCTTTTCATCATTTCTTGATAGACTAGATAGGATAGCAAAATAGGTGTCTCTCCTCCACAAGGTGGTTCAACGTCACAATAAAAGAACAACTTCTTGGGATACTTTGAAGATTGAGCCATCTCGTGATGAAAAGGAATCAGCTCCGAAGGTGGAGCCTCATTGGAAGTAAATACTCGAGCAGTAACTTGTTTACGTGGAGCTGCACCTCCGATATAGGGAAAATCCTCGTATCCAAAGGCTCCCACCATGTTGTCAAACTGTTCTGGATTTTCAACTGGAAATTCTCTAAATAGGATAGCTCCATATTGGTTTAACAATTTTTCAATATTAGTTGCGTTATTATGTATCCAAGTGACCCATTCCGAAATATTCAAGGCTTCAGTTCCTGGAGAGAGAACCAAGGGGAAGGGTTGGTTATCAAACACCTTTTGTTCTGGAATATTGGACTCTGATACCAGTTTACTACCCTTGCCAAAATGAACCATTGGATTATTCAACACACAATAAACTTGTACAAGGAATCAAGTATAAAGAGAGGTATGGTAGAAGCACCACGAACTGCAAACGAAGGGACAGTCCTCGAGACAAGGTGATTGTGGAAATCCCAACAAAAGTGGCTCATCATTTGGACAATCTCTGCACAATGCTTTCTTCTAAGAGATGTCCAATGACAAAAATGCAGTAGGAAATAATGGGATTTGATCTCTTTCCCGTTATCCTATTCTTTGTAGGAAGTCAGTCAGTGGTGTTTGGTGAAGATGGAGCTGAAAGAAGAGATCAAAAAAGAAACAAAAGTTGACGAGCTACCAGGTATAAATGTAACTGAAATACAACAAGAGCCAAATAACCCAGTGGAGAGAACAGAACATGGTGACTCTGGTCCCAAGTCTACCCGGTTACTTGTTTTCTTTGAAATACTAGCTAGTATAGGGTCTATCATGATGGGAATGGACCAATTCGTAGTGAGTGGAGCTTCTCTTTATGCACAACCTGATCTTCATATTGACTCCAATCTCTGGTCGTGGATAACTTCTGGTCCCTTGTTTGGAGCCATAGCAGGAACTTTGATGTAGGTAAACAAACAATATATTGATATTGCAATAACATCAAGCTATTTTTCCAGAGCTATTCCACATAATGCCTTGTTTGGAAGAAGACCAACATTTATTGTTTCCTGCATTCTTTATGATATTGGAGTCTTCATGTCTACTTTCGCTCAGTCCTATGGAGTTTTACTTGGGGGACGTCTTATTTTTGGTATTGGCAAGGGAATGGAAGCCATGACTTTACCCATTTATTTAGCTGAACTGGTTCCCAAATCACACAGAGGAGGACATTTGAATTTGTTCCAAACTTTTCAAATGTTTGGTGACTTTTTAGGAGCAGTAGTTAGTTCTATTTTTGCCAATGTACCCGGAACATGGAGATATATGTTTGGTTCTGGATTTATTGCTCCCACTATTCAATTAATAGGCATGTTCTTTGTACCTGAAAGTCCCAGATGGTTGGTTCAAAAAGGACGTGTTGATGCTGCTCAAAAGTCTTGGAAAAGGATCAGACAAGACACTATTAAAGGTAGAATGGAGTTTGAAGAAATGGTAGAAAAAGTACAAGAAGAGCGATGCAACGAACGCAGTTTCTTTTCAGTCGTGAAAGAAGTAGTCTGCAATAGACGTACTCGAGCCATGTTTATTTTTGGAGGATTGCTTCCATTTGCATCACTATGGAGTGGTTCAGCCGCTGTGGGTTATTATATGTCCGACTTATTCAAAAGTTTGGGACTGACAAACAAAAAGTCCATTTATATGCAACTACCAGTGGAATTTGTGAATTTTCTATCCGTTTTGCCTGCTTTTTATATTTTAGATAGATTTGGTAGAAGAAGGGTGATGTTGACATTGATGCCTATTTCTGTTTTAGCTTTGATTATGATTGGGCTGAGTGATATTTCGCACAGCTTAACCACACGAGTCGTTATATTTGTGCTTGGGTTCTTTATCTATTATTTTTCATATAATCCTAGTTTTGGAACTTTGGCATGGTGTAGTGAATGGAGAGTTGTTTGAGTCTCATACTCAGAAAGACTGTGGGAATGGCATCTTGCGCCTTTTGGATTTTTGGAAATGCAGCCATTTCAACCTATACCTTTAGTAGACAAATTGACGCTTATGGAACGATTGGTGCATTTGGAGTATTTGCAGCTATCGTGTTTGTATTTTGGTTGATATTCCTATTTGTGTTTGTGGATACTTCCAAATTGAGTTTGGAAGATGTGAAAGAACGATTTGAAGGCGGAATGAGAGCTATTATTAGAAGAAACACGAGAGAAATGATTGCTAGTATAAGAAGTATTGGTGAAAAATGGGGAATGTAGTTGATGGTTTTTATGTAGTTTGTCTCAACAAAATACAAAAAAAAAGAAAAACAAATGGATACCTTTGTCTGATTATAAAGATAATGACTCTCTCTACCCATCATAGGAAATTCTATCTTTCTTCTTGTTGGAGAAGAGATCTAATGAGGATTCTTGTTCTCTTGAAAGAACAGTATGAGCTGTTCAACTAGTCCAATCAACTATCGTCTTTTATATACTTTAGAAGGACACAAAAAGGCAGTTTCAAGTGTAAAATTTTCACCCAATGGTCTCTACTTGGCTTCTTCTTCTGCGGATAAAACGATATGTGTAAGGAAAGGAGGTACCCAAAGAAAAACAGCTAAAATAGTTTATCAGGTTTGGGATGTCTTTTCTGGAAAAGTGATTACAGTGTTTCAAGGTCATCGACAAGGCATTTCCGATATAAGTTGGTCTCCTGATTCTCGTTGTCTTGTTTCTGCTTCCGACGATAAGTGGGTTATTCTTTGGGATGTGCGTGGGAATACGAGGTCAAGAATACTAAAAGGACACGGAAACTACGTATTTTGTGTGGACTTTAATCCTGCGGGAAACGTAATTGCTTCAGGTTCTTACGACAGTTCGATTAGGATTTGGGACTCTGGAAGTGGTAAAAGCATACACTCTTTCATTGCACACACTCCAGCGGTAACTGCAGCGCACTTTAACAAGGATGGTTCTCGACTAGTTTCTAGTGGATATGATGGTCTTTGTAAGATATGGGATTGGAGAGTTGGAGGTTGTGAGAAGATTCTGCGTAGTGAAGAATATCCAGCAGCTACTTCCTTTGTTAAATTTTCTCCCAATGGCAAGTATGTTCTTACTGCTTCGTTTGATAGCAAACTACGACTATGGGACTATGAGAGAAATAGTGTAGTGAAGACTTTTTCTGGGCATGTGAATAGTCGATATTGTATCTTTTCCACTTTTGTTGCCAGTCGTAGACCATTGATTGCTTGTGGTTCCGAGAACAATTTCGTATATATATGGGATTTGCAAACGGAAGAAATACTTCAGCAGTTGGAAGCTCATGTTGATGTAGTTTTATCCGTGTCTTCGCATCCTTGTGAACCATTGTTGGCTTCGGGTGCTTTGGAAAAGGATAAAACCATCAAATTGTGGAGAAATGATCAGTCCATCTAAAAAATGTGGGCAATGAGGATGTCTTATGGGAAGAGCATATACATATATCCTTGTTCCAATTGTATATGGAATATTTGTAAAAGACACAAAAGGTTTGAGAATATCTTCCAAAGTTTGTCTTTTGTTTCTTCCTATTCAACCAAGTTGACAACGAGTAATAACAGAAATTTGATCACTAGTGGTCACTTGAGTTTACACTCCCACTGGAAGCGTCGTGATCGATATACTTGGTTCACTCACAGAAAGAGTTATATAATATCTGCCATACAAGGTGATTCGTTGATTAGTTCTTCTTCTCTCGTTGAACAAGTAACCAAGTCCCCCAAAAAGTTGAGAATGGTGTCAGGTGTTCAGCCCACTGGTTATCTACACATTGGTAACTATTTAGGAGCACTTCGTCAGTGGGTACTGCATCAAGAGCAATATGAAAATTTGTTCTTTGTCGTGGACTTGCACGCTATCACTGTTCCACAAGATCCCAAAGGACTTGCTGAGGCCACTTTAAGTGCAGCTGCTCTATTTTTGGCGTGTGGAATTGATCCTTCGAAGAGTACTATATTTATCCAAAGCCACGTAAAGGCTCACGTAGAATTATGTTGGTTGCTAAATTGTGTGACTCCGGTAAATTGGTTGGAAAAAATGATCCAGTTCAAAGAAAAGGCACGCAAACAAGGAGAAAATGTTTCCGTAGGATTGTTTGACTATCCAGTTTTGATGGCATCCGATGTGTTACTTTATCAAGCTGACTTGGTGCCAGTAGGAGAAGATCAACAGCAACATTTAGAATTAGTACGAAGTATTTCGAAAAGGTTTAATTCTCTCTACGGGAAAAAGAAAAGAATCTTGAAGGAACCAAAACCACTGATTCAAGGCAATACTTCTCGTATTATGGCGTTGGATGATGGGACAAGCAAAATGAGTAAGTCATCCACCAATGATATGTCGAGAATCAATATATTGGATCCTCCTAATACGATACAGCGAAAAATACAGAGATGCAAGACCGATAGCTTGATGGGAATTGTTTCTGATCCTGTTGGTCGTCCAGAATGTACCAATTTGTTGAACATTTATGCAGCGTTTACCAACCAGTCGTTGACACAAGCAGAGGCAGAGTGTCGAGAAATGTCGTGGGGTCAGTTTAAAAGAGTTTTAACTGACGCTTTGACAACTTCTTTGGAACCCATCCAGAGAAAATACCATGAGCTGCGAAAAGATGAAGACTTTTTGAGACAAATTTTGAAAAATGGAAGCGATTATGCTTCATCCATTGCCCAAGTAACGATGCAACAAGTCAAAGACTGTATGGGTTTCATTCCAATACATTAAAATGAGCTGTTAATATTCGTCGCCACTTTTTCCTATTTGGATAAAACACACAAGGACTTTTTGGTTTCTTCATTGCCCTATGCTCCACGTTTTCAATTGCATCAGAAAATTCCTTCGAGCTGCTTTTCTATATTGGACTGTTCTCCTCTCCTCTTATCCAATCGATGCACTAAATTTTCATATATTCCCAAAGTAATTCCACTTGCTGGAGCAACCCAAAGCACTCTCATAACCATACCTTTAAAAAAGGCTAGAAAGCCTTCCTCCTTACTCATTAAAATGATACAATGAAAGATGCCTTTGTATTTGGGTCGTTCTATTCGTTGAGTCTGTAGTCTCGTCTTGATAACATCAAATGGAGTTGTCATAGCAGCTGCTAAACCACCAGCAATTATTCCCAAGTTTAAGGTTTCTATATGAGATAAATGTTCGCGCTGATTCCATCGACGCGTTGCCATCTTCAAAAGTTCGAAAAATGTAAATTGTAAAGAAGTAAATGGAATATCTCTCAACATGGTCGGTGTTAGTCCGGTATAAAGACCTCGAATACCTTCGGTTTGAGTGATGACTCGAAAAGCGTCCCATATTGAGCGATAATGGCGACTATGACCCATAGCTTCGGTTTGCATTCTTTTAGCAACTACTTCACAAGGAACATATGTTGTGAGCGCTGCTATCTCCCCAGCTGCTCCAGCAAACAGATCGGTCAAAACTACATTTTCTAAAGAGTTTCCATGTGCTTCTAAAGCACGTTTGGTTGAGGCATAAACTGCAAAGGTCAATGCATTGGAAGGAATCGAGCCTATCAAGACAGCACCAACTCCTGCATATAAACCTTTTCTAACACCTTCTTCTTTTAACACTGTGACGAAAGCGTGGACAATTCCATGATAACTTACTTGGACACCGTGTTGGAACTGAAAACGTGCTTTTAGTGTGTCCAAAGGATGAACAGTCAAGTCTGCACAGAAGCCTGCGACAGCTCCTGAAACCATATCGACAAAAGTACTCCAATAATAACTATCGGACAAGTTGTTTTGCTCTCTATTTTGGGGAGCACCAACAAAATGTGCAGTTAAGCTCTTGTGCCCCATATGAAAAACAAACGCCAGCCACTAAAAGAAGACAATGCCCTCAAAAGACTTATACAAAAGAAATCTTTATGGAGAAGGGACAGCTGTCATAGTGAGATCTTATCCGGGTCAAAATCCAAAAGATATTCCAAAAACTTTTGATAGCTTTCGAATACTTGTGAATCCCATGATGAAGAAGGTTTAGGCTGCCTGGCACGTTTACCTGCTTTGGAAGATTCTTCTTGTATCAGTTGGCATCGACGCAATCTCCTTTCTTCATAACAAGAAAATGCTTTTTCCAAATTATCCTATTGAATATCGAAATATGATTGGTTTACATCCTCCTCTATCATGAGTTACTAACCTCATTCTTTATACAGCGAGATAACACGAGAGCATCTTCAAATGCAATATTCGCTCCTTGACCTAATGAAGGTATGACTGCATGTGCAGCATCGCCAATTAAAACCACATTGCCTTTGGCATAACGTGGAAGTGGTGGCATCTCCAACAAAGGACGAATCTGAATACGTTCAGCAGGAGTGGCTGCAATGGCTTGCATTAATGGAATACTAAATTCACTCTCTTGTTGTAAAGATTGCTTTTCCAAATAAGAAGAGTCCATCGTTGGAATTTCAAGAGTCAAAGCCCAATAGAATTGGCCTTGTTCTAAACTGGATAAGGAACCCACTTTCTTTCCATCGCTGCTGAAGAAAAAGATACATTCGTTTTGAGGAAGTGGAATGGAAAGTTCTTTCAATTCATCAGAATTCAATACAGCTCGAGCAATCACTCTGCCTGTATATATAGGATCGATCAACTGCCTTTCATCATCATTCAGTATATATTTCCTCAACAAGGAACGCACTCCATCAGCGACAATAAGAGCTTTCCCAACAAAAGCCTCTTTTGTGTCATCCCTATCCATATCTTGAGTTGAATGGGTTCTCTTGGTTTCTACGATGACGTGGTTTTCTTTATCATAGACCTGAGTAGTGGTATGTTGCAAATATATCTGAGAATGAGATACTCGTTTAGCTAAAAGTGAGTGAAGTGTACTCCAACGAATACAAATAAAAGGCTGTCCATATTTGCTCTCACAATTATCTGGAACTCGAGTTTCTCCCGTTTCCCGTATAGACCTAACTTGTCGAATTTTACAACCTGTTTGCTGTCGTATGCAATCATTTCCAATCAATGGCCTGTTCATTTCCAAAAGGGTACAAGTTTACATACCAAGATATCTTGATACAGTGATTGATCAATAGCCTGAAGAGCTCTCAATCCATTGGGCCTATGGAGAACATTTAGAATGATGTTCCTGGTTGGCTCTTTCAAAAAGATAATGGGAATATTACCTACCATAAAGCTATCAAAGTGCCTGCATCACCTTCAAGTTGCGACTTGGCTTCCAAAATATTGGCTCGTATTCCACATATATTCTGCAACGCAATACAAGTGGCAAGACCAGCTAAACCTCCACCAGATATCCAAAACGAAGTCGTTACTTCACATCCATCCATTCTTTTTTGAATCTTTTTCAGAATGGAAGATTCATGTCTTCAAAGCCAAAAAACATGTAAAGAGTTGGTCAATTTTCTAAACGAGAAGAAAGAACAATATAGATTATTGGAAAACAAATGGAGTTGTTGGCTGTCACGTTGTCTCAAAAAAGGTTTTCTTTTCTTTGGGAAAAAAACTTAGGTTTAACTGGAGTTTTTATGTAAGTAGGATAGAACGAATCGACAAAGGATATGGGAAGATATTGATGAAGAGAAAACTCAGTTTAAGCGTTTGATGTTGTCTGAGTTGAGAGATCGAGGTTTTATGGAAAGCGATGCAGCTCAGTTGTATGAAAAACAGTTTCAAGAAACAGTGAACAGTACGACACCTCGAACAGCAACTGAAGACAACCCTTCGTTTTATCGTACTGTGAAGAAAAGGAATATTGTCAAATTGGCAAATCCTGCAGTTGACTCTCCAAAGGTTGTTATGTCCCGTGGAGAAGAGGAATGGAAGCGTATTACGGAATTGTTATGTTCCAAAGACTTGAAGATATATGAAGTGGTAGCAGATGGAGATTGCTTATTTCGAGCGTTTGCTCATCAACTGGAAAGGTGCACCGGAGAGAAGTATTCGGTCCTTCAGTTGAGACAACTAGTGGCCTCCACTATATGGAAAGAAAAGGATAGATATTTGCCTTTTCTTACCGAAGAAGAAGGAGTTGCATATCATGAGAATATCGAGAGATATTGTTCGGATCTTGAGGAGAGAAAACTTTGGGGTGGAGAGTTGGAACTCAAAGTGCTATCAGAAATATTTTCAGTTCCTATTCAAGTATTTCTGGACGGAGCTGCTCCGTGGGAAATCTATCCAGAGAAGATGACCAACTCACAAGTGATGATTCGGTTATCCTTTCATCGTTATCTTTATTCATTAGGACCACATTATAACAGTGTCATTTAAGTTGTGCCAAACCAAAACCACCTCCACCAGGAGTAAGAATTCGAATAGCATCACCAGGATTCATAGGAACGGAGTTTCTTCCTCCAAGAAATATAACTTGATTATTTTTGCGTATGAGATAGTTTTCACCTCTTAAACCATCTGCTCCTCCAGCAGAACCCCAAGGGGCGAATACTCTTCTCTCTGAAAGTATACTCGCAGTCATCGGAACTAGAAACTCTATTTCGCGAATCACACCATCGCCTCCTCGATATTTCCCTTGACCTCCACTATTTTCTCTAAGAAGAAATTTTCTTAGTAAAACTGGATATCGACTTTCTAATACTTCTGCATCCGTTATTCTAGTGTTGGTCATATGTGTATGTATTCCTGAAGAACCATTCCAACCAGGACCTGCTCCAGCACCTCCTGCTATAGTTTCATAATATCCCACGTTTGCATTACCAAATGTGAAATTGTTCATACAGCCTTGACTAGCTGCACAAGCTCCAAATGCTTTCAACACTACATCGACCAATCTTTGAGATGTCAAAACATTCCCTCCTACAACAGCTGCATCACTACTTGGCTTTAATAAACTTCCTTCAGGAATAACAATAGTAATAGGATCCAGACAACCTTGGTTGAGTGGAATTTCTCTATCAACTAGACAACGTAGACAATATATAACAGCAGAGGCAGTGACTGATCGAGGAGCATTGGTATTTCCATATACTTGAGCTGTTGTACCTGTAAAGTCAAAAGTGGCACTTCCTTCATTGGGGTCGATAATGACACGTAATTCGATACGACTAGCATCATCCATAAAATCCACTGCTTTCAACACTACAGACTCTTTACTCGCAACTTGAACATCCAATTCCAGGTCCTGTGGAGTCGTTTCTTGATTATAATGCAATGCCTGATGAGCTAGTTTCCTCAACATATCACGAACTGACCATGCTGCAGCAGCTTGAATGTATCGCATATAAGATTGAACGGTTTCCAAAGAAGCGGAACGACATAAATCTACGAGCAAAAGAATTCCCTTTTGATTGGCAGCTACTTGGGCGCGTAAGTCTGAAATAACATCTCCTATACAACGACAACCAGCTTTTTCCAATTCAAGGACCATTTCTCTTTCACGAAATTCACCTTGATGTACTAATAAGAAAGATTCCAATGCCAATCCTTCATCATCCAATTTCCTTGAGAAAGGTGGCATGGAACCTGGAGTAAGTCCTCCAATATCTGCATGATGACCTCTTGAAGCTACAAAGAATACCGGTTTACCATCTACAAATACGGGTGTAATAATAGTAATATCTGGTAAGTGACTACCACCTGCTATAGGGTGGTTACTCAAAATAACATCTCCAGCTTTCCACTCCTTTCCTAGTTTGCGTATTTGATAACCAACTGCATCCTGCATGGAACCAAGATGTACTGGAACATGAGGAGCGTTGGCAACCAAACCGCCTCTTTCATCAAATAAGGCACAAGAAAAGTCCAATCTTTCTTTAATATTGGTGGAAATTGCAGTACGTTGTAACGTTCTTCCCATTTGTTCAGCAATCGACATGAAACGATGGGAAAATATAGATAACTGGATAGGATCTACTTGCTCCTCTTCTCTATGTTGTCGATCGGTGACAATAGTAGCCTTGAGTTGTGACTCCACGTCTTCCTTATCCATCATCGATATATGACGATTCTCAGAAGAATGTTTATGAACAGATACATCGATAACCAAATCTCCACTTTCTGTGATGAACGCATGACAGTTGGGTTCTATAACAGCTGTAACTCCACCCGATGGATCAACTATCATAGCAGGTCCCTCAATTTCCGCCTTTGCCTTTAAAGCACTGTATAAGAAGACAGGTGTAGAAGTATAACCTAACTGCTCAAAATAACAAGATGAGACCATAAAAGGTTGACCAGGACTATGATCCTTTGCTTCTTCTAGACTATGCTTTTCAATACTACTAGTTGTACCATAGGCTCTTACTCGAACATCATCCACACAAATATCTCTTGCCAGGATTCGAAAGCCATGTTCTGTTTCATACTCATGAATAAATGCTTTGACGTAGTCTCCATCTTCCGGCTCTCTAATCATAAGACCGAAATCTGTACCTTGATAACGAAGATGTAAATATCGGTCTACTTTGATGTTCTCATAAGGTATTCCACGAGATGCCAACTCTGCAGTAGCTCTCTCTGAAAGAATATCTAGTCTTTGGCATGCCTCTCCTAGTCGTTGGTCATGATGATTTCTATTGTCCAAACGTATGGCACAAGGCTCCTGAGCTTCTGTAACATCTTCTGCTAATCCTAAACCATATGCAGACAATATACCCGAAAAGCGATGAACAAATACTCTTTTCATGCCCAATGAACGGGCAACTGCACAAGCGTGTTGACCACCAGCACCTCCAAATACAGCTAATGTATGTTCAGATACATCATATCCCCTTGCCTCTGTAATAGAACGAATAGGACGGCACATGGTCTCATTGGCTACTCGAATAAAGCCCAACGCAACTTGTTCTACACTCCAATCTGCTACATGAGGATCCTGCTGCTTGCGAAATGCATTGATTTCCGTGGTCAACTTCTCCATTGCTTGTCTAGAGCCTTGGATATCCAAAGATTCATTTTCTTGTGGACCAAATATTTTAGGAAACAAATCAGGCAATACTCTACCCAACACTACATTGGCATCTGTAATAGAAAGATAGCCACCTTTACGATAACATATGGGACCAGGATGAGCACCAGATGACTCAGGGCCGACCACAAATAAACCAGAACGAAAGAATAGTCTAGAACCTCCTCCAGCAGCTACTGTATGGATATCTAATTGTGGAGCTTGAATCATCACGCCAGCTGTTTGTGTTTCAAAGATATGCTCCAAAGTTCCATTATATCTTGATACATCCGTTGAAGTTCCTCCCATATCGAAACCAACGACTGGTCGTCTTTGAAGGTTTCCATTCCCGTCTCTTATTACATTGGCATCGCTATAATAACAAGTCATAGCATATCCAATTACTCCTCCAGCAGGACCCGATAAAATAGCTTTGAAACCACAAAAATGATGGACAGGACATAAACCTCCATCACTTTGCATGAACTGAACGCGAACACCTTCGAGTTGGTTTTGAAATCCTGAACAAAAGCCTTTGATATATTTTTTGATTTTAGGAGTCAAATAAGCATCGACACAACTCGTACTTCCTCTTGGCACTATCTTCAACATTGGCATCAACTCATGACTCAAGGATAGGTGTTCGACTCCATCTAAAGTTTGTACTACTTTTTCCACCAACTTTTCATGCAAAGGAAACGCATAAGAATGCAATAAAGCTACGGCTATGGATGAAATATTCCTATTTTTGAGTTTCTCCTCAATTGAGCTACGCAATATTGATAGATTAGGTGCCGTCAAAACTTGAAAATATCCACCAGAAAGACCCTTTACATAGATGGAGCCTTTTCGAGCCTCCAAAACATTCGGAACCCAATCAAGATATTTAGAAAGGATATCAGACAAATTTTCTTCTTGCAAATCCAATATGAAAGCGTCTTCAGGAACAGTTTCATTGGGCATCAGTCTTCGGACTCGTTCGTCAACTTCCAAAGCATCTTCATATAATACTTCTGGTCTCTGAACTTTTAAATCGAATATTTTGGGTCTACTTTGGTTTCCAATCTTTAATACATCCTTTAGTCCCTTTGTGGTGATGAATAAAACGTTTTCTCCCTTTCGTTCAAGTAAAGCGTTTGTAGCTATTGTAGTTCCCATTCGAATCCATTCTATTTGTGAACAATCAACAGGTTCATTCTTAGGGAATGGCTTTCCCAAAGTTTCTTGTAATATTCTTCTTATACCTTCCGTAGGTGCGTCCCTATAACTCTCTGGATCTTCTGAAAGTAGTTTGAGAGTCTTAAATCCTGGAGATTTAGGTATTTCAGCATAAATATCGGTAAATGTACCACCTCTATCTATGGAAAACCTAAACTTGCCAGGTTCTCTGTTTCCTTGTAGTGCGGAAGCATTGGACATTGTGAATGTCTTAAAACCCCGTTGGGTTATTTTTATTGTGGTGAAGACTCTTTGGTGTTGGATCATTTTGTGGTACTTTTTCGATGAGAAGAGTTGGTAGCAAACTTTTAGCTGCTAACACTGACGTAAAGTTACGAGATGTGGTCTCTTCTTTAAGGGATTCAAGTATAGTGGCAGGGTCGTCCATCAAGAGTTGGCTTCGTGACCTCAATCAGTGGTATGAAGATACTTATTATAAGAAGGGAAAGGTTGATCCCCTGGTGCACTATATGTTGCTTTGCTTTGGAATAGGATATGGTATCAACTACTCCCATATCAAACATAAAGTAGAGCATAAGAATGACGATATCGAGAATTTGTAACTGTAAGAAACCTTTTTGATGGAAGTATCTTTAACTTGTAATAATGTAGATTCGGCACGTCCTCCTCCTTTTGTCGAGTGATAGTAAAAGAACTCATTGTGTGTGTTTGTGTGTGTGTGTCTAAGTCAATTCTTCTTTCCACAAATATATTTGTTTGCTTTATTGAGACCAGTTTCCCACAACCCACAAAGGCAACTTGTGTTTTTGACTTGTCCTTTCAAAAGACTTTTGGAATAATTCTATACGGCACCTTTTCACGATAACTTTTGTATTCTTCTCCAAACTTCTTTTCCAAGAAAGTTTCTTCCACCTCGACCTTTTTGATTAGTAAATAGAGGAGACCCAAACTCAGTAACAGACGTTCCGAAGAATTTGTGGTCCCTGAAAACCCAAAGCTGGCTAAAACCACTCCAAGATACATTGGATGACGAACGAAACGATACAATCCTTCTGTTCTTAATTGACTCTGAGGAACTGGTGCTGGCCAGGGTGTCAATTGTTCCTTTCCGAGATCAACGGCAGCTTTAGAAACATTATGTAAGTATTTCGTACAAATAAACAGCACAATTACCTTTGAATAAGATGGATAATCCTGTTATGAGAGTGCACGGCCCAAGAATGAAGTTTATAAGTGCATCTGTGGAACCTGGTTCTCTCAAGATCAACAAGAGTACAATAAGTTGTAACGCTGCATAAGGTTCACCCCTTGAAAGTGCTTCTCCAGCTGCCAAGTTAGCCCAAAGAACCTTTGCAGTAGCTTTTGCTTGATCTAGTACCCCTTCAAGTTTTATGTTTTTGAAATAATTGGTAAACTCCTGCAGTTTTTGTTCCCACTGCAAGCTCCAGGGGCTTTGAATATAGTCGACTTTCAGTATACGTGTTTAAAGATCTTAGTTTCTGATGAGGCAATGCGTACCTTGTTTCTTGTCCAAAGTCTCGTTCACTTTCAGATGATTCTTGTTTTGGCTTGTTGGAGTTATCTTGAGAGGATGAGGGATTGGTTCCCAAACTTTCTTTGGCTTGTGTCTGTTTCTTCTCCGTAGTCATGGTGATATAGAATGGCACCACATAACTCTGGGTCCTCGAATATCTGCAAGACTTGCAACAGAACTGTTTCAAGTGTTGGATACTATTTCTGTAAACAAAAGGCACAGCGAAAGCAAGATGAACCGTTTTCCTCATGAAACAAACTACCAATATCCAATAGAGTTCCTAACAACTGTAAACTCGAAATCATAAAACGAAAAATGCAATTTCTATTTTGAGTATTATGGCGAACATCACATTTTATATGTAAGCAGACAAGGATTTTGCACATCATGTTTGTAGGAAACCATGAAAAGGACGAACGCAGTGAATTTTCTTCTAAAGACCTTTCGAGTTCTTCTGCAGACGACAATGCTGGAAATAACAAAAGGGGAGAAACTTCCACGCGAGAGGACGTTGCTAGGTTTGTAAGAAAACTGGTTTCGTTTGTGGATGACCCTTCTTGTGATGATATCGTTTCATGGAATGAGACTGGAACTGGCTTTGTCATATGGGACAGTAATGCATTTTGTTTGTATGAAGAAACTTTTGTCGTGAAATTATCTATTAACACTATTTTTAGGAAGGTTCTTAGTTGCTACTTTCGTCACACAAATCTGTCTAGCTTTGTAAGGCAACTGAACCAGTATGGGTTTAGAAAGACGGCACACTCAAGGTATGTAAAACAATACGAGTGCGTTTGTGAATGAGCTGAGTTACTTGGGAAGATGGGAATTCTGTCACGATAGCTTTCGACGAGGAAGACCTGAACTATTGGGAGAGATAAAACGTGTCTCAGTGAGCTCCAACGTTTCAGGAAAGTCTTCAAAGGCGTTATTGCACGCTCAAATTCCAACTTTTGTCGATTTCTCGCCATCCTTTGGTCTCCCCTTTACATATTCAGCTGCAGATTTGCAACAAGAGTTTATGGATATGGACCGAGTAGAATCGACACTTGTCAACCTTCAAGAGGAAGCCAAGTTATTGATGACCAACTTAGAAGAGTCCAAGTTGCAATGCGATGAGCTGAAGCTATATCTGGAATATGGAAATTCTGCTACTCAACAGTCTGATGTTGCACAGGATAAGGTACCAGAGCCAAAAGCTGTTGGACAGTCAAGCAGTAATAGTTTGAGTATGTGATTCCTTTGATTGTTTTTATTTTTTGTTCATTTTGTGTTTTCTGTATAGAGAATGATCCATCCTTTGTTCCCTCATTCAATAGGATACCTGCACAAGAGCAGCAGTTAAGGGACTCTCAAATGAGTGAAGCTTTATTGTCCCAACAAAGACTTGATGAGGGAATTCAGAGACAAGGTTCTTCAGTGGAAGGATTTTCTTCTCTGCCCCATCCTACCAGATTTACTAGTGAGCTGGTCTATCGTCGATGGATAAAGGCACAACTACAGCGTGAAGCAGAGTTAAGGAAGCTTCAACTGGATAGAGAATGGAGACCAAGCTAGTGTTTCAAGTTGTTGTTTCGTTGTATAGTTTTGCGTATACGTCGAGAATACGTTTGGTTTTCTTTTCATAGAGTTCATTGTTGGTGGATTGTCTATATTCTGAAAGACAAAGTTTCTATAGAGTGCTTTTATGTTGGTTCGAGAAACGATATGAAGCTCTGTTGTAGAAATCTACATACGAAGTTGTTTTCTTATTAATAAGAAATTTTCAAAAGTTGAAACTTACAAACTACACACGACTTGTGATTTTTCACAAACGATAAATATTTTCATTAAAGAACTCTTCCAGTTTATACGAGTATCTAAGCAACAAATCCTTCCTCTAATATTATTAACAAACAGAATATTCCGATGTGTCAATGATACTAATGATTTACTTCAACTTGGTTTCTGTAAATAATACGTGCTTTCCAACGATGGGATCAAACTTTAACAACTCCAACTTTCCAGGGGTGTTCCTAGTATTCTTACTTTTGGTATAGAAATAACCTGTGCCTGCCCTGCTTAAAAGTTTTATCAGGACACGCTTACTTTTCTTGACTACTTTTTCTTTTCCCATAACTACAAGATTCAGTTCAATACCGAAGGCAGACAATATGAAGAACCTACCTACAACAATTGGTCGTTTCAACACGATCAATCAACGATCGTTGTTCATCAACATTCTTTTGTGACGTCCTTGAATGGAACAAAGCTTATCCATTTGTGCTAGTCATGTGACGAGTAGAAGACTAGAAATAAGAGAACGTTTAGATGCTTTAAATACCTTGTTTATTATATCACAATCCAATTCACGTGTACCAAGTAGCTGGCAAGACTTTGTATTTAGAGGTTGTTTGGATTGTCTCCAGCAGGTTTTGAAACAACAACAGTCGTCTTTAGAAACAGAGAAAAATCATCTTTGGAAAATATTGGAACATTTGTGTCAAAGCAATCCTCCCTGTATACCAGAACTGGCTGTTTTACCTGACTTGATTGAACCAGAATTCGGAAAGCACCTGAGTGAAGAACGTTTGGTAAGAATTCCTCTGTTTAACTTGGTCTAGCTAGCTGCTGATATTCAGTGAATGGGTAGAAGTCGATCGAAAATATTTTATGCAGTGTAATAATGGAAAGACTCGCTTTGGATACTTTGACTAGGCTTATAACTGTTCTGTCGCAAAAGATGTTCTCTTCGGCTGACTGGCTGAGAGATTGTTGGAGGGATGTATTTTGTATTTGTCTGGCTAACCTTTTGAAAATCATTGTACGACATCTAAAAGGGAAGAATGCTACCAAGTCTTCTTTAGACAATCATTCAAAGACACTGTTACTTTCTCTTTTGGCCTGGAAGATTCCTTGTTGTAAGTTGGATTCGTGTCCTAGCTATAAGCTGCGAAGAGAAACAGTGAGACGTCTTGTATTTTATACTTTTTCTTTGCAAAGTTGTTATGTGGTTCGCGATAATTCATATCGCTATGATGCTCTAGAATGGATAGCCAAACAGTCCCAAATAGAAATGCTTTCCAACTCATTGAGGCGATTGGTGGATGACTGTTTGGATATGCCAAACAGTTGCTTTGTTCAAAATGTCGAAGAAGACCCTTCGAATCATAAGCGTCGACGCTTAACTATGGTTGAGAAAGACGATAGATCAGAGTTACTGATGCAGATGGGAACTCTTTTGGTAGATAGATATTTACAGGATACCGACAGCAACAATAGCGAAAATTGGATGCACGTTTTTGTAACATTTTTGAAGCTTGTGGAAAACAATTCCATCGTATTGGATAGTATAGTGGAGACTGTCAGACAGAAAGAGTGGAAAGAAGCTTTGGCTGTCATGAGCAATTTTTTGGAATCGTATTTAAGCAGTCATTTTATAGCTTGGCAAGGAATGTTATCCTTGTCAAATATTTCTTTTTCTGTAATGATGCCAAAGACTGACAAAGTGATCACATCTATTCCTCAATTAGAAGAGAGTCAGTTGTGGAATCGAAACAATTGTGTCTTTTTGCAACTCATTTGTCTATTGTTAACCAAATATAGCGAAAGGAGACAATTGAATATCTTTCTTGACAAGCTATGTACAAATATTGGTAATGAGAGACTTTATTTGACATTTGTCTCATCTTTTCAATCCAGTTTGATATCTTGTATGATGAAAACAACTCCAAAAGAATTCTCCGACACTTTTCATAGTATTTTACACCATTTTGTTCTTCTTTATGACGAAAGCCAATTGGCTGAAGAAAATGAAAGACGATGGAAAAGAGAAAGACTGGTTTTCTATTTTCAATTAATATTTCTTTTATTGAAAAGTCTTCTTCAAAAATTGTCGCATCAAGAGCCGTCAACGTTATACTGGGATTGTCTCAATAAGACCTTTGATAGATGGATATTCCCATATTTATTGAAAGATGAGAAACATAATTGGTTATCTGATGTCGAATGTTGTCTTCTTATTTCTCCTTGGATGACTTGTGAATGTTATTTATTTCTATTATATCCTTCCAGTCGTGTGAATTTCGACTATTTGGAACAGGTGCTTGTCAAATTAGAAGAATTGGCATCCAATCATTCCTTCGACCAATGCTCATTTAAAAGTCTTTCTACATGTGCCTATCGGCTGGAATTGTTGACCCACTTCTTATCGACTAGAAACAAATATCTTCAAGGAACTACTTCTAGAAGACGAAGGCTGTTCAAGACTAAACATTTGGAACGACTTGTCATCAAACGATGGATTATTCCTTGCACCAATGCTATTCGAGAGTATTTATGTGCAATGAAATGGAACGATTATTTAGTTTCCTTTCAAGTATTCGAACATTTATGGATGTCATTACAACATATTGCAAGTTATTTAGTATTGATTCCATCCAAGAAATACGAAAAGAAGTATTTTTCTATTTGGACCAAATTGTTCTTTCCTTTGCTTCTGGTTGCAAGTTCTCATTGTTATTTGTTTGAAGAAAATAGGATACCTAAATGGATATTGGATAGTTGGTCCATTTTAGTGGATCGACTGCTAGACTGGAGTACGATGGAAGCTTTATGGGAGCGTAGGCACTGTAGAAAAAAGTTATTAAAATATTGGAAATGCATGATTGGACAACTTTGTTTTCGTGCTGGACTAGTGACCGTCGAAGAAAGTACTAGAAGAGATTTATGTTTGAGACCATTCACAGAGTCTCTATCGACTATCGATTCTTCAACTCTTTTGCATTATCTCTGGGATCATGGAATGGTTTCCATGGTTCTTCGTTTTCCATGGATGTTGTCAAAGTCGTTTCTTGAGTGGATTGCACAACATTACGTATCATCGTGTATATTGGAAAGGAATCCCACAATAGACACTGCCTGGAAAGTGAAGGTAGAAAAGTTTTTATGTGATGTCTATTTATGTTGCCATATTCAAAGGTATTCCCATTTTTTGAATCTTATCCTTATGGAACCAGACGTATTGTTTGCAGTTATACCTTTTGTATCATCTCAAGTACAAATTGTTTCAAAGGGTTGGTTGAGGTTTCTGAAATGGCTTTCAAAGTGGCATTCGAATCGTTGTAACAAACTTCCAAAATGGTTATCGGAGATGATGGAACGTCAATGCAATTCTTCCCATATTTCTTCTTATGCTAATGGCTTGTTTTATCTTGTCATCACTTTCTGGTACCACTTTTCTCAACCTTATGTACGAAAGTTACTAGGGGAGACCGTATTCCTATGGATACGACATCTTTGGGTAGCTACCGAAGACCGCAAATTAAGAATAGAAGCGCTTTGTCATGTATTAGAATACGGAAAGAGGAAAAAGCATTCGTTACTCGATGTATTGGGAGAGCGACTGGATCAGGGTTTTGAGATATTGCGACAAGATATCAGAAATGTTGCTACTCTTTCTCTCTACAATTCTAATCAAGCGCGCCGTTTTCTAAGCGATTATTTTCTTTGGAAAAAGGAAGCAATCCTTTCTCATGTTGATAACGAATGGAACAGTCTAATTCAATGGCTCTTGGAACCTCTTGGTGACACAACTCTTGCAGAACAAGAAGACATATTGCAGCTGAAACAGCTGTGTTCAATATTCTTTTGGAGAAAAGTTTTGGAAAGTTTCTGGTTGCAGTTGGTTCGCAGTGCAGTATCTCATCCTACAGAGTGTCTCATTGCATGTCGTCTTGGCTATTTGCTATTGTTGAGTGCGAATTCTGATCGGGAAAAAGAAAGAACAATCATTCTGGAGATATATCGACTTTTATTTACGACTTCGATAACAGAAGAGGAAAAGTCTTCCAATATAAGCCACTTCGTTGGAGCAAGTGCTATGGATTGCTTGGCTTTTATAGCTTCCAAAGCACATTATTCGAATTTTGTGGAAGAATACGAAGACGCTATGAGAAACTTGTTTCTCGTGCAGCGATGGTATCTTGAAAGGAGTCTGTTTCCGTTTCTTCCTGATGGTGGTTTCGTTCCATGGGAGCAAGTATGTAAAATTTTCTCTAGATCCGTGAAGAGGCTAAGAAAATCAGATCGATATCCTATTTGTTTTGTTTGCAATCATTCACTTATGCTGATGGACCTTTTGCTCAAGGAAGCTGAACCGTTTCCCTATGTGGTTTGGATTCGCCGTTTATGGGAACCGTTGTTGGGGTGGTTGAGAAAAGGATTATCCAAAACCTGGTTAACATGGTTTCTCTTTCAAGTGATTGATTTGGTGGAACAACAAAAACCATCCCTCCTTCACCAACCCTTGTTTATAATAGAATTGTGCAAGTTGCTTCAGTGCAAACCGGAGGTAACCTTAGCAAATGGAAATGTCCTTACTCCCAAGGAAAGTGTTATGGAAAACGTTCGATTATTGTTACAACGGTATTCTGAACGATATCAATATAAAGGCAAAGCATAACGCGAAAAATTTCTCCAAAGAAATCAATCTTTGCAATAAGAAGAAATACATAAATTTCCATGAAGAGTCGGCCAAACTGTGCTATTCGCGGAGATTCTAAAATGGTCGGCGTTGCCAGTGAAACAGTTTCGAAGCCACCAGTCAGTCAAAGAGTTCTGGACTGCTTCTGGTCGCTTGCTTCGGAAAACGAACAGGAAAGAGCTGAAGCATCTAAAGTACTATGTGAAGAGTTAGATAGTATAGACGACGAAGCTGATGGAGCAGTTTATGTTTACAACAGACTGGTTACCGGTTTGTCTTCTTCAAGAGCAGGAGCAAGGCAAGGGTTTGCTTTAGCCTTGACTCTGTTGTTGAAATATCATGCGTCCAAGAAGCATATATCTTCTAACTATGCTCTGGCACACAAGTTGGCCTCAAAATTGGAAAAACAGTTGGAGACCATGAAATTGGGAGACACTACTGAGGCTTTGAGAGAATCGAGGGAAACTATTCTAGGAACCCTTTTTGGTGTTGCAGCAATTGCAAAAACTGGATTGATTGGAGTGGAACGCGTCTTAGCAATATTGCAGCGCATCGTCTCTCAGAGGAAGTGGTCCATAGGATTGACGGAAGCTGTTTTAACGGTCGCTATTGAGTCATTGCAGCATATGGATCGTTCTTTATTTCGAAAAAAAGGTTCAAGTGTCCGTAAAGCAGTTGTTCAATGGATAAACCAACGGACACTACGGAATCCTGATGCTTTAACGCTGGCTTTGTTTTGTAGAGAGCAGCTCGAACTTACTGATTTGGCCAGTGAATGCCAATTTTGGGGTGAAGAAGATCCTATAGCTTTAGTGTTTAAGGAAGAAAGTCCATATGTTACAAAGGCAGACATAAAGGAGGCTTTAGAGACAGTTTTTTATATTGGTTCGTATCTGCCAAGTTGCCATGTTCCTTATATTTGGTATGTTTGGTTGGATTCTCTTTCAAAAGCTTCGGAAAACTATTTTGCTGAATGGTGGGATTTGTTTGTTCGTCAACAACTGCTTGAACAAAAGTCGAGTATGGAACGTATTCTTTTGGGAATACGTTTTACAGTGGCATTATTGGAGAAAAATCCAACCAAGAAAGAAATTATATTGAAAGTAGTCGATGACCATTTCTTGTCTTCCTTGCTTCTTTGTTGCCGCTCGCCAAAGAAACATGTTGCTCAAGAAGCTACTGCCTTGAGAGAAAACTTGGGGGTCTGCATTGAGAAGCTTTGGGATGACGAATTATGCAAATATTTGATAGAAACTTTGTCAAAGTTTGTATTTGAGTCATTCGGTTATATAGACCAACGTTTATTGTCATTGACTGCCTCCAAATTGTCTATGGAGTCGGTTTGTGAGCTCCTTGATTATTGGAGAAAAATTTTTGCGATGAGTGAAAACGCAATGAAGATGTTTTCTATCATATTTGCTAATTTGTCTTGTGATGATGCGCAGGCATGTCTGTTTCAGTTCATGCAGGAAAGGGTATTTGACAAAGATGATGGCAAGAGTCAGAAATGGAAAGATACTATACTGAGTGCTATAAGTGATACATTGCGAAAACAAGGCAGTTTTTCTCTTTTCTTACGACTTGTAAAAACAACAGCAAGCCAATACAATGAGTTACGAATTCACAGAAAGCCTAAAGTCAATAGAATGTTCGAGTTTTGTAGACAACAATTAAACAGAATGGAATGTCGGAATGGAGAAACTCCTGTGTCTGGACATTTGTTGGTCTGTTCTCTGAGTATTTTAATTTTCCTCTTTTCAGAAGACGAAGAAATCGATAACTGGTTACAACATGATGCATGGCCTCTTTTAAAAAGATTCACTCAAGTTGTGGAGGAAGATGACCAGCTTTCTGAAGAAACAAAGAGTTTATCTCTTGTCAAATTTTTGGTTACTTGTTTATCGTTTGAGAGTCATGGAATACGTCAAATAGTGACTTATATATTTAAAAAAGTTGTTCACTTGGGTGATGAAAACATTTTTTGTTTGTTACTTTCTTATTTACCAGGACATTTACAGTGGAAAGAGTTGCGACAATTGAAAGATGCTGATAGCTCTTCTGAGATGGAGAACTCATCGATTGGCGATAGTTCCGATGCTGATGATGCTTCTTTTTCTTCTGAAATGTCAAATTCAAGTCATTCAGCATCATCGTTGGATAACAATGAGAATGATGAAACACTCGATGAGTTTCCATCATTTGACCAAGTACCTTTAACAGACTTAGACGTAGATAGAAATCCAGATGAAGAAGACAAGGAAACCCTAGAAGCTTATGACACAAAGTTATCTGCCATATTGAAAGAAACAGATTCAAGATATATGAAGAATGCCTATCGAAGAAAGTCACACGAAGCCTTAAGAATATTGGATTTAGTTGAGTTGATTTTACACTCGCAGAGGGAAGCAAATCAAGCAAGAATTCAATTGCCATGCCGTTTATGGTTATCAGTAATGGAAATGACTGGTAAGTTGGTTTTAAGATAACCGAGTTTTTCTAACTGAAGGTGCAAATGCTAGAAATTGACTGGGTTAATAGAGTAGATAGCATTTTGGAAAAAGTGTTCTTGAGGGAATCTGTGGTTCCAAATGTTTCCATACAACATTATTTGGATGAGATGGAATTCCTCGAAAAGATTCTTCATCACTTCTACAGTGATAGAAAACTACTATCAGATGAAGCATTCCGTACTAGCGTGGTGATATTTGCCTATCTTCTGAAGGGGATGCATCGTCGCTGCAAGTTGGATTCGAGTTGTGAAAGAGACTCGAACATTATTTCTCTGGAGAACTATGAAGGATATCAACTTATTGACGAAATGATGAAAATTTTTTCATACGAGCCTTTTGGAATAACTTATGGTGGTAAAGTGATGAAGGACAAGTTTTCCAGTGTAAAAGTTTTATTGCTGGAAGAGAATCTTTGGAAGCGGTTTCCTTTGGCCTGCTGCCTTAGTGTGAAGCATCTTTGCTGTATTTATAACAAGTTGCGTTCACGCGTTATGAAAAGGACATGCTTAAAAGTGTTACAAACAGCTGTGAAGTTAGCTTCCAATAAGAATGCGGCAAATAACTCTTATAATCAGGAGCAGGATAAGATATCTTTGTTGGTAGACAAAAACAATGTTAGTTGGTTGGAAGCCCTGCTCTCGTTTCTTGTTGCAACAATATCTTCATTTCAGCTACGTCATTACCATGACCTGTTTGCCAAATGCATCAATATTATCCTTACATTATCAAGGAATGGATATGATTTGGGTGAGGAGATCCACGAGTTATTACAACGCAAGGTTTCGGAATACCCTTCTAAACAAATTCCCTCTAATGTATTTAGACTCTTACCAATGTTGCAAAGAGCTTCTTCGTCATTTCAGAAACAATCGGGAAAACGAGATGCTGAAGATAGGAAAGATCAGCGAAAGAAGTTGAAACGGATGTAATGACAATCTCTAATAAAATGAGACATCAAAAAGCGGGATAATCTCCTTTTGGATAAGCTTCCAACTCCAAATAGACTTTGGGATTCTTGAGGAGCCATCATCTCGTCAAGATCCAATATCGTCGTTTTCACCACAAGCACTATTGATGAACAATATTTTTGAAAGAAATCTTATTCATGGCAATAAAACAAAGGTTAGAACACCTTTTTCCGCGGTATACTTGGCTGCTGGGTTGTCTTCTCGTTTTGGATATCGTATCAAGTGTTTGCAGGAAGTAGGAAGATTAGGAGAAACCCTTCTGGAATTATCAATTCGGCAACTTACAAAATATGGACTAAGTGACATAATTATTGTGGTGAGCCGTTCAACTTATCCCAAGGTGCATCTTGTCGCTGGAGACGCATTTCAAGGAGTTCCAATAACATATTGCTTCCAAGTAAGTGAAAAACAAGTTGAGAAACTTTATCTTACAGATATGACAGGAAACTCCCAACCATCGAAAGAAACCTTTAGGCACTGTTCATGCTTTGCTTTGTGCAAAGGATGTGATTGATAAAGCTTTTATCGTGGGTTTGATTGAATCGTGTTCAAGTTTGATTTTCAACTTTGAAAAGGTATTAAACGGCGACACTTTGTATGGCGAACACGCCATCTGCAACATGGTACAACACATTCAGTCGAATGAAATTCCTTGTATGCCTGGTTACAGACTAGAAGATGTTCTTCCCCGTGAGGGCAAGGTTAGTGATTGTTTACTTTGTTCTGTTTGAAAATGTGAAGTTTACCATTTCTAGGTGAATAGAGCCATTGTGAATACAGAGCATAATTGGTTAGTCAATATTGTGGAGCACTACGATATTTCTATGGAAGATATTCAAAATGGACTTTATACTGGAAATGAGTTGACTTCGATGAATATATTTGCTTTTCGACCCGACGTTTTTAGTTATATGGAAAACAAGGTTAGTTGTTCATGGTTTTGAGATAGAAATGGAAGGTCAATGATTGTGTTGTTAGCTGAGAGTTTGGTTGGAACAGAATCGTCATGAACCAAGCAAGGAATATATATTGTCCACTATGTTGAATGATTTGTATCCAGAAACTGGCAAGCGCACACGTGTATTTGAAACAGGAAATGTTCCGTTAGAACTGACCAATCCCGAAGACTTTGGATATGTGAAGAATAATCTGGATTTAGTTGGATTTTAGTCAATCTTGAATGAAAAACTATTTTGATATGAAACATGCTTAAATGTAAATACATGAAAAGCAAGAATATGTGAGTTGAACTATTTATGATGATCCATGTACAGTCCGATTCCATTATTTCTCCAAAACAAACTCAAGGTATTGTTTTGTTTCTTCCCTGCTTTTTGATGCGTTCCTTTTCAAGTCTTTCACATTTCCAACCTCTACAGTTGGCAAATTCAACCTCTCGTTCTCCTTTCAAGTCGAGTCCTAACCACAATTACAACATACAGAAAAATGTCAATCTATACATGTCGATGACGAAACAACACAACTTACCTTTATAGTGATAGTAACCGAATACCTTGGAAGGATTCCCATCATGGTCCCTTTGGATTCTCGTAATAGTCCAATAAGAATCAAAATCTCCTTTACGTCGCCACCTGTCTAAATAGAATCTTTCACCTATCCCGTGATTTTCTGCTTTTCTGGCAACTTGAAAGAAAGTCTGAAAATCGGATTCTTCCAAGGCCAGTTTCAAAACGGAGGGTTCTTCATCAGAGGTTTCTTTGACTTGACAATAACTTCTAATTCCACGTAGCCGACGAAGTGTTTGAACGTTGAAACTCTTCGAGAACAAGTGATCCATCCAATGAATTTACGATTAGAACTTCATTTTCCCCTTTGTAGGTCGTATTCGTCGTCGTTTATGAACGGTTTAGTGGAGGATAGTCGAAGTTCCTCCTGGAAGAAGAATAGTCGAACAGATTCGAATATGCTGAATTCATCGGATTTATCAGATAGAGATGCTGATGTTCATTTCGTCGTTCCAGAAAGTGTGCAACAGTTTCTTTCCTATTTTAGACAGAAATTCCGAGAAGGAAACGTATCAGAAGTACACACACTGTATGAGACAAGTTTCAATCGCTATTCTGAACGTTATTTCAAAACAACTTCTTGGCCTAACCCTGAAATAGCAGCCAAGTATGTAGATAACGGTAAGTCCACTCCACTTGAGAGTCAACTTTTGTTTCCTAATCAGTTATTGCTCGAATAGATGAAGTATTTTTGTTGTTTTACAAAGAACTGTATTACCGACATATCTATTCTCGTTTGCAACCCACTTTGGCACAACGAGTGGAGGCTTGGGACAACTACTGTGACTTGTTCAACTTTATCCTCAGTAGGTTTCCTTATGCATCTATCTTTGTACGAATTGTTCTTATCGATTGGTAGATGATGGAATTGTCGACTTTGATCTTCCACCTTCTTGGTTATGGGATATAACGGATGAGTTTATCTATCAGTTTGAAACATGGTGCCACTATAGAAATCGTCTAAAGAATAAGACAGAGGAAGAGCTTGCGTACCTTAAAGACAACGAACATATATGGAATGTTAACTTTTTATTGCAATATCTTCATGCGATGGTGAACAAATCTAATATCTGTCCCTGGTTATTGAATGGGAATGAACCAGTTGGTTCTTCAGACCCTGATGATGATGATTTTGACTATTCTACTATTCCCGTCTATCGTTTTTTGGGTTATTTTAGCATCATTGGACTTTTAAGAGTTCATTGTTTACTTGGTGACTACAAGTTGGCGTTGATGGTTCTTCAACCATTGGACTTTGATGACAACACTGCGTTGTTTACTCGGGTGACGGCTTGTTATATTTCACTGTATTATTATATGACATTTGCTTTTCTTATGCTGCGAAGATATGAAGACGCAGTTCGAGTATTGGGCTCAACGTTACTTCATATTGGAAGGATAAAACAACATCATACACGTTCCTATCAATATGAGCAAATTCATAAGCGAACCGATCAGATGTTGGCACTTTTGGCCATCAGTTTGGTATTCTCTTCTCAGAATGTTGACGAATCGGTGAACAGCATGTTGCGAGAAAAGTTTGGAGATAAGATGACTCGCATGCGTCAAGGTGAAGAATCCGTTTTTGAAGAGTTGTTTATCTATGCTTGTCCCAAGTTTGTTTCTCCTTGTTCACCTGATTATGATCGTCCCATGGATCGACATATGGAGGCATCCTATTTACAGACCAAGACATTTATGAGAGAAGTTCGTCAAAGATTGGCGGTACCGGAAGTGAAAAGTTTTCTTAGTTTGTATACCAGTATCGAATTGTGCAAGTTGGCACAGTTCATGGAAACTACGGAGGAAATATTTAGAAGCTTTTTGCTTTGTTTCAAACATAAGACGTTTGTGTTTTGTGGGTCTCCTGGACAGGCACCTGCAGAAGGAAGCTTTGTATGCTGTGCGCCTGTTAGTTTCTTTGTGGATAATGACGTGGTTCGAGTAATGGATACCAAGACAGAGAGCAAGTTTGGGGAATATTTTTTACAGCATATTGGCAAGTTGCAAGAGTTTATACAAATATTGGAACAAAAAAAGAAGTCGTCGACTTCAACGGAATAAAACATCTCCGTTTTCATCGATTCATCATAGAAAGAATAATCATAGAAAATGGCATGGTGGTCACAGTTGTTCATCGCTTGTCGTGGTTTGCCAAAAAGACAAGTAACCAACTCAGTTTTTGAGAAAACATTCAAGTTATCTTTTTGTTCTTCCACTGGTATAGGAAAGACTAATGTGAATAGCACACCAAACGAAACTTTCAAGGGCAGACAAAACTTGATTTCAGACATAACTACCGGTGGTGATAGCTATGCAGAAAAAAGAGCTGAAACAACTATGCAGTATGTGAAGACTCCTGATCCTGGCAATCCATGGGAACATCCTTTTCAAGCGGTAGAAAAGGAAAATTCTTCTTCCCTTGTCTTGAAGCAAGTGGAGAAAGAGCCCTTGAGTGAGGAACCTTTAGAAGGGAAGGATGAGATTTCCTTGGAGGATGTTGATTTACCAAAGGTGGGTTTTTAGTTTCTTCTCGCAAAGGTTGAATGAGACCTATGGAGTGCTGTATAGATTGTAGATGAGGAAGGTCGTAGTTATGGGATAGGCGCGCGAAAGACTTCTACTTGTGAAGTTTGGTTGAAAGCAGGCTCTGGAAACTATTTAGTTAACGGGAAGCCAATGGTGAGACACTTTCGAGAAACAAGACTCATAGAAGAGGCACTAGAACCGCTGCTGCACTTTAATGTGGCTGATCAATTCGACGCGGATTGTTATGTTGTCGGAGGAGGTCAATCAGGTATGTAAGTATCTCGAAATTCGCTTAAAGGTTAAGAGAATCATAATGACAGGACAAGCTGGTGCTCTGAAACATGGCATTGCACACGCCTTGAAACTATTTGACCCCGCTTACTATCCAGAACTGTATAAACTTGGTTACTTGCTACGTGACTCTAGAATGGTGGAACCTAAAAAGATAGGAAGAAAGAAAGCAAGAAAACAAAAGCAATGGTCAAAACGATAATAAAAAGTTGAGTTTTCAAAGGAGCAGTTGGATATCGTCAAGATGTTTATTTCTTTTGGAATTTTTCAATTGATGAGCTCGTTTTGGCCCATTTTCCGTGTAGCAGTGCCTTTGGTATGTTGACTCAGATAATAAGAAGCAGAATCTTGACATTTTTCACAGGGTTTCCTGGGAGGCTGCTGTATTGAATTATTTATGTTACATGTAAGAATAGGCTCGGAGACTTTTTGTATGTCAATCGTAAAGTCGCCGTCTTGTGTGACTGAAACTTTGTCTCGTAGATGACACCGCTAAACGAAAAGAAATAGAGAGACGAATGGAAAGACTGCGAATGGAAGAAGACAACTCGGAAGCTTTATCTAACATAAGTGCAAACTCCCCGTTTCGGAGTGTGAACGAATCTACTGAAAGTGCCTAACCTTTTTCTCGGTTCAAAAGTGTCACAAGTGATATCATTTTCGAAGTTTCCTATAGATACAGTACCAGGTTGTTGATGGATCGGTCACTGCCAGATTTTTCAATATTTGCGTGGATAACTTATAAAGGACATTTAACTTCTCCTCATAGCGCTGTTCCAATTTGCTTCCTTGGAGGAGGTTTTGCCGCGTTTTGCAAGTATACAGAGAAATTATAGGTACCAGTACTTCCACAAGGTCTTCAATAAACCCACCAACCAGAGTTACTTCCAGTGCCGTAATTAGCTCAAAACATCGAAAGCTGGACAAAGCATAACCACTGTAAAGAGTCGATTCCCAAAACTTGAATGAATCTTGTGCAACCAAAGACTTGAGAATATGAACCAACTTGGGCAAGGCGACCCTGGAAATAGTTGTTTTCGCAAAGTCGCCCGTATAACGAATAATTTGAACAATAACCTCACATAAGCTATCTAATAACGAGATATTTGGTATCTGCTTGTTATTCTGTTGCTCGAGAGATAGAGAATCTTCTGACTTTAAAAGCACATAGACAAACGAGTCTCCTTGTCCATTATCGAAAGATCTTCTTGCATTTGCAGAACCGACGGTAACGTTCCAAGAAGCCAATTCGTTATTTACAGCATTTAAAACTGGTGATATTATCGGTAACAACCTCTTAGAACTCATCGCCAAAACATCCAGCGAGCTCGCAATGGTTTTCAAATATAAAATCTTCTCGGGAATCTCATTTGAGGGTAAGAGTTCGATACAACATCGGATTGTTTTTTCCGCCAAGTCTGAAACAATGGAGTCCTCAATCGACATTTCGCTTTCCGTTGTTTCATTTTTGCCCAATGTTTCTGATGCCAACAAAGGACTCTCAAAATACTGTTTCTCCTCATCCAACGAATCAGGACCATAGTCATCATTGTTCATTTCTGTTTCTCTGGTCATCGAAAGTCGTAGAGACTCCAGTTTTTCACGCAGTAGAAACGGGTCAGAATATAAACCCGGTTCCCGAGTTGGGCGTCTATAAGGAAAACTTTTTGATATGGGCACGTGTTCTGCAGGTGCGCATCTCTTCATCGTGCAGTCTACCAGCTTCATGAAACGAGTTGTTTCAAAACTGTCAAAATAAGGAATGGTTTCTAAGAGCATAATCAATTCTTTGGCAGCAAGTATAACGCAGTCTTTTGTCAATTTCTCATCCGTATTCAGCAAGACATGCAGTGCTGGATAAAACTCGCCATCACGTATAAATTTATCGCAAATAATATCGACCAAATAGTTTAGATATTTTCGAAGAACAGACACAACGTCATCGTAACCAAAATCAGAAACAATTCTACTCAGAATTCGCCTAGCCTACAACACTATTAACTGTGTTCTTCCGAACAAAACTTACTTACCTCGCCCGCAATGTTCGCGTTTCGATGACCCATCAGACTTACAAAGCTTATTAAAGACTTCAATAAATAATCACGAAATAAAGCTACATTGGGTTCAATAACTCTTTCTGTAAAAAATAACAGTAATAAAACGAGGTTTTCAGAAATCACGGACTTGGAAAAAACGACATCAGAACACTCAGCATCTTGCAACGCTGAAGGTCTCCGCATTAAGCCATTCAAAAAGTGTATCATTTCAGGGAAAAAGTATCTCCAACAAGATTCTTCCAGGATATTGCTCTTCATAGCACCTAAGAACATCTGACAGCAAATGACCGCAGAAACAATCTTTACTTTGTCATCCTCTGGAGTCCTTTAGTAAACTCACATGAAAACGAATTGAAACTCCTTACCTTCAGTTTCCGAGTTTCTAAGCACTAATGGAAAGAACCAATCCAAAGCACCCTTTTCACCCATGCTATATATGCATGCGAAATATCGTCGCAAAATAAAATTATCTGCCTCAAAAGGATGGTCCGTTATATTTTTGAAAGCTGTGAAGATACGGATGGATTCATCAGAAGAAATACGATTCAATAAATCTCTGATGAACCTTTCTCCACTTCGAATGAAGAAACTGACCAAGTCTTCAGTTTTTCTCAAACAAGTCGGTGTAATCCATGAGTCAATGAGGAATTCCGCGACATTGAAGAATGTAATAAAATCGTCATCTTCAACGTCATCGAAGCTCTTGGACGAGATCGCACGTTCAACGACGCTCGAAATTTCCTCTTCCTTGTAGCGATTTAGATCTACCTCCAGGTCATTTCAGAACGTTATGAAACATCTAGGCACTCACTATAATTTGAAACACTCTCTTGAAACACCTTGAGTGTTTCAAGTGACAAAACCCTCGTTTCTGTGTCAAAATCACAGCAAAGGTAACACAGACTATGCATGAATATCCTAAGATTCTTGGCGGTACCTATTTGGGAATGTAGAAGAATGTCCAGGAGGAACTGCACCGTTCTCCTACGAACTTCCAGATGAGGATGGAAAACTGGACCGCTCTTATGACAGAGCATAAAATGCAAGCAAGAAATTGTTTTTTCTAATTGTAAAGAATTCTCATTAGTGCACGCACCTCTCGAGGGCTGTTTTAAAGTATTATCAGACACGATTTCCTTCTGTCTCTTAAAAACGGAAAGAAATGTACAACTTGCACTGCTTTTATCGCTCAGTTTTGACTCAGAATGCGCATATCTATCCTCAGAACTTACAGGAAAACATTTCGCAACAAAGATTCTTAGAACGTCTAATACATGCGTAACGATAAGATGATGCTCGTAAAAGCTTTCTGAAGCTAGTTTGCTTAGCTTTGATACAAGACCAGGAAGTACACAAGTTGCCACGGAAACTGAAAAATACGGACAAAAGGACCAACCCAAACAGGAGCACGCAGAAACTCGAAGCGAATATTCTAGTTTGCTTGTTGTAATTAGATTCAAAAGCAACAAAACAAGGTGTGCTAGGACTGGAAAATTCTCATGAGAACTTTCTAGATTTTGCAGATACTCTTGACAGCTTCGCTCTTTCATAAAAGCAACTAATAGCTTTACATTTTCTAACAGGAGTTCTTCCTTTGAATCAAAGGACTGTACATTTCCTCCGTTGACGCCATTCGACAGAAACTCGTTTCGGCTGAGACAGTCAGGCAGCGAGTCCTGAAATACCTGCGACAAAAGCCTCAAACAAAGAGAAAATTCGTCAGACTTCAAGTCTTCAATTTCATCTTCGAGACTTTGAATATGAAACTGAAGAAGCTTCTGCTTTTCAGTGGTATCACAAGCATCCCAACGAGTAGCTGTTGCAATAAGCGCCAAAACAAAACGTGCCGCTTTCATTCAAAAAACAAAGAATTGCTAAACGAATGGGAAAACATAAGACTAAGGATCGTCTGTTCGTGACACGAACTGAACACGAGTTCCACTTTGGTGGAAAGAGACAGTTTGACAGTGAATATACGCCCACAGCGAAACTTCCTTTGTTACATTGCGCGCTTACTTTCCAACCATGCGAAAACCCCGTTTGTGCCCCTGACGGCACTGTTTTTGAGGTTCTACATATACTTCCTTACCTAAAGAAGTATGGAAAGCACCCCGTCACAGGAGAATCGTTGAGCTCAAGTCAACTGATAAGTTTGAAGCTTCATAAAAATGAAAAGGGTCAATACTATTGTCCTATTTTGTATAAACCTTTTACTGATAATACCGAAATAGCTTGCATTAGAACAACAGGGAACGTTTATTCACTGGAAGCTGTTAAGGAATTGAACTTAAACCAGAAGTATCTCAAGGACCTGCTTACTGGAGAGCCCTTTAAAAAGGAAGATGTTATTGTTCTGCAGTCACGCAAGAGCTACGCTCAAAGTGTTGTGAAGAAGCGGAAAGAAAATATAGAAAGGCCCTCGAGTGTCAGCAACCCTAACAGTAGACAAAACATTGTGTTGGATACGCGTAGCCTTACTTGTACCACTTGGTGTCCTGATGGTGGCAACAAGGCGGACAGTGCCAGTGAAGGCCCACCTATTCCCAAAGGATACTGTACACTATTGACGAATAATGGAAATTTAAACTTTGAACTGGATTCTTATCAAGCCCCAAAGGCAACGAGGTTTTTTCTGTTGTCTTTGCATAGAGGTTGTTTGAATGGTATTCGTCTTTTCTATGAAGCAAGCGCCGACTACATCCGAACGGTCGAATTGCAAGGTTTGCCAGGTGGTGAAGATGAAATAACAGAGAGCAAGTTAAAAGGAAAAATAGACCCTTACGTTGAAGAAAGTTTGCCAGCATACAAGCTGCTAGTTTCGTCCAAATATCGTTTGAAGAAGACTTGTCATTTTGCAATATCATGTGAAGAAAGTAAGGGACTTCAGGGGAATTACGTTGTTTTTGGGTCACTAGTTGGCAGAAGAGAGACAGCTCAAGCTTTAGTTCAGGTACCAAGTTTCTTCTACTTAGCGTACAACCTGAATTTGATTGCATTATGTAGGGATTGGTAGATGAACTTGTTATAGAAGGAGTGAATATCTATGTGGATCCTTGGGAAAAGGAAGCGAAGCAGTAACAAAAAATTTCGGATCGAAATCGACTCCATTTTCTACTTGTAGACTTTATCGTATTTAAACACAGAAGAATTCTCATGCAAGTTCTGGAATACTCTTCGCAGATCTTCGATCAACAGCTCATGTTTGATCCATTCCAGTTTCTCGGAGCTTTTTGATTCAGTCGAATTTAAATTATAGGTTTGTTTTAGGAAGAAAGTATATATTTATTCGAAAATGGAAGTTGTGTTTCAAGTCCTATATTTTGAAGTGCGTATCACGTAACTCCGTTCCTGAACCCAATTGTTTCTCGGTTTCAACTTTTGATGCACATTTCACAATTGCCTCAGTACGTTAAAAGAATAACAATGAGAGAATAAAATTATGTGGGACAGATTTGGCAACTCTTTTTTAACGAATAAAACTCATTCAAACAAATTCAGTGCAGTGTCAGTGTCTTAATGTACAGATTGAAACGCATCCCTATGAACAACAGTTTGTGGCGATCTACTGCAAATTAGGAGTTGGGATAGAAGCTCTCTATGAACGGCGCAACAGCTGGTAGTAATACCTCCCCGCATTCACTATCAGACAGCACGGAAAGCAATAAACAGTCAAAGGAAAAGACTTCTATTGAGAGCAATGCCGTAAGGGCAGAGCATAGTGACCCAGGCAACCAGAATAACAACTCGAAAATATTTGTCGGTGGTCTTTCTTGGGAAACGACAGAAGAGACTCTACAAAAGTATTTTGAATCATACGGTAGAGTGCTCGACTGTGTTATTATGAGAGACAAGCATACAGGTCATCCTCGCGGTTTCGGCTTTGTCACATTTGAGAAGGAAGAAAGTGCTGATCGAGCGGCAACGAAGCGTCACGAACTTGACGGTCGACAGGTGAGTATTTGCTACTCGCTAGACTCGTAGTACCAAAGAATGCTAGGTGGAAGCCAAAAAGGCTGTGCCAAAGGCAGAGTATATCACAAGAAGTCAAGTAACAAAGCCGACCCGAAAAATATTTGTAGGAGGTTTGCCTCTTTCGTGTACAGAAGAAGATTTTATGGAGTACTTTGAAAGGCTTGGACATGTTGTAGAAGCACATATTATGTACGACCACCAGACAGGAATTTCTCGAGGTTTTGGTTTTGTAACTTTTTCCAGTGAAGACATGGTAGAAAAGGTCTTTGAACAGAGTCAACACGAAATTAAAGGCAAAATTGTTGAGGTTAAAAAAGCAGAACCTAAGCATTTTTCAGAGGGTAGGAGAATGAAGGATTTAGGTGGAAATTCATACGAAAGGTATCCTGAAAAGTTTCCCTATTTCTCCAGTGAAGCTGGAGTAAAAGGACCTATGATGTATCCTCCTATGGAGGGAGCAGCCTTTGCTCCTTTTGCTCCTTTTGCATTTACTCCAGCAATGGCTGCACAGTACGCGCAATACTACGGAGGAACTGTGGCTAGTTGGCAACAATATGCAGCAGCAGCTGCTGCTGCCGCTGCAACTGCTGGAATGGGTTATTATAATGCTGGATATCCTGCGGCAGGGGAGATGCCGGCATATGCCTATCCTTCATCAGCTTATAGTAATGATTCAGTTTCTCAACAAGACAGTGACTCGAGGAAAAGTGGTATGTCGAATTTTTAGGTTGATATCGGATTATTTATATAAGTGAAAGGCCGAAGCAGTGGGACAAGTCGTAGAAATCTTGGAAAGAACGAGCGGTATCATCCATATGAGCGCTAAATGAATGTGAATGTCGAAGTTTTACGTTGTAACTGTTCAAACAGAACGAATTATGAAGGTCCACATTTTCTGCCGTACATTTTCTGTCGATAGCGAATCACTTAAAGAACAGAAACCGTTTTTTGGACGAAAATACCAAGTTTATAGTGAATGGTATGTAACTTATCTTCATGTTGTTGGCTTTTCTAACTACGTGTTTGCAGACTTTGGCATGTCTGATTGCTAACACAATGTTTTAAATAAAGGAGGCGACATTGAACTATTTGTATACTTGACTAATCTGATATAGCGACATTGGTATTCTATACGAGCATCAAATTCTTACGCTTGGTATTTCATATCATTGTTAAGAAGATTCAGACAAAATAGACTCTGTCTTTCGTATAAAATTATAAATTGCACTCTCTATAGCACTTGCTTCTTGATCCCTTGGAGAGATCGACGCACTTTCCGAGAACGTGTCTTGGGCAATCTCCTCTCCACATGATATCAAACGAAAAACGTTCCTATCAACCCATGTCTGATAACGCTTGAGGTTTGCAGATTTCAATGGCAAGGGCGAGTCAAGAAATGTGCAATGGGATGTCGAGACATTAGAAAGTGTCTCTGTAAGCTTCGCGATCCAGGTCAACATAAGATGCACTACTTGTTCATTCTCTCTTACAAAAAATTCCAGTTCAGAACACATTCCATCACTAGCCTTCATGTTATCATACTGAACAATTATGGATTCAAGATATTCGCGGATATTCCGCATTAACTTTAAAAGTTGTTTTCTTCTTTGCTGGGAAGCCGTTTTCAACAACTGATGTTTTCTCACTTCATTGGCAATGAGAAGCTTCAATGATCGTAAGCGAATTTCTTCGTTGTATTTGCTACCAGCATGTTCAAAACATACATCTCGCTGTTTGCAAAGATTGGCTAGTGTCCTAATGGAAATGACTCGAAGAGTTTCTAAAAATTTATTTCCAGTAAAGCTGGACTTTGAAAGATGCAACTCTGGAAATGTCGTCGAAAAAAATTCAAGAGTATTTTGAATGAATTCTCTGAGAACGGAATCAGCAATCTTTAATACTCAGCCAGTCAAGCTTACCTGTGCTCTATTGGCGAACAAGGAAGTCTAGTTAGCCCTTTGGATCTCAACTCCTTCGAATTCGCATTTAATCGTATAAGAAACTGTAATATTTCTAAAAAGAGAGCACTCTTATCTTTTCTCACTTCTCTCCTACACTAAAAAATCTTGTCATCATGCGTTGTTGGAAAATATTATCCTACTTACGCAGTCAACATATTCTATCAAAGAAGTCTGAGGCTTATCCTTCCAAAACTGCAGTATGATTAAGTTGCTATAGAGCTCTTCCACTGCTTTCATTGAAAGCTGCGCCATTTCAAAAATTCAAAAAATTGGCCAGCCTTAATTTCCATCCAACGAGCAGCAACAAAATGTGACTTAACTATTGATGCCCACAAATATTCAACTTCAGTTACATGAGAGAATGTGCAAACTTCTTATTTTTCAGACAAATTCTTTGTAAAAAAGAAAAATATTCAAAAACTGCTAATATCATCTTGAAGATGTCGCCACTTCGAGCCAAACATCGAAAGCTTCACTTTTCTTTTTTCATCAAAAAAAGAAAAGCATAGCACTAACTTCTCATAGGGTAACAACTTTTCAATGGCAGATGGCCATTCTATCAAGCAAACACCTCTTTGTAAAATAGTCTGGAGATCAAGTGGCGGTAGGCTTTCACAGCTTTCTATTCTCCATAGATCAAAATGATATACACGGAACTTCTCAACTTCACCCTGTACTTCTCGGATAATTTGATATTCATTCATCAGCAAGTAAGAAGGAGATGGAACAATCAAGGAGGGGTCACCAAGAATCTTTCGAATAAAAGCTCTAGCAAAGGTTGTCTTACCAGAGCCAAAATCTCCATACAATAAAATAATATCACCGAAACTACGAATCTTAGATATCACAGGACTTTAAGTTGACACTTACGTAACGCTGGCGGATATAAGGCTGGCAAGTCGCTCTGTTTCTTGTTCAGCTCTTAATACAATTTCCTTGGAAACGACATTATTTGAGAACGAGCTGTGGCATGTCATCTTTTTAACAGCCATGTTTATAGATCTTCTGAGACTGGTTCGAAATACAGCAACACGACACTGACACTGCTTGTGAAAGAACAGCGAACTAACGTACGCTGCAATGATTTGAGTGAACAGATGACTAACTTTCCTGCAAGATCCTTCACTCCAAAAAGCACGAACAAAGACTAATAGTTTCCTGGCATTTTAGGGCTTACCAAACGATAATAGTTTTGGAGTATACAGAATACGGAGAGTCTTAATTTGAAAATTTTACAAATTTAGAACAAAGATACTAAGAGAAGCGACACTACAATATTATATTGGGAAAGTTAAGATAACTCAATATTCGTATGCAATGAAAAACATTGCGCAAAGTATTTCAACAAAAGACTCTCCCTTTCACTTGGACAAAGTCAAACATAGATATAACGAACACAAACAAATATATCGAACTTCTTCAACACAGCTGTTCCAGACGAGGCAGAATTTGCCAATAATTTGGACTGTAATTGATCTCCGTTATCCTTGGCTCTGTCCTCAGAACCTGATATGCATGTAAAGATACGTTTCCAAGTCTTCCACCAACAACATCTTGTCCCCAAACTGCTATGGCTACGTCATTCTTTCCATTTGGGTTTAGAATTCCGTTGTGAAGAACAAAGTCATGTTGTGGTCCCAAGTAGTTGATATAATGGCCTAGCATCCAACCATTGATGAATATGAGAGCATTATATCTATAGGAGGGGTCATCTTGTATAAGCAAGCCGATGGGAATATCAACATCAAGAGGAATATTCAGTTCAAAACTAGTCCGAAACCATGCTACCGCTGACTCGTTGAAGTTGTAAGGAAGTGACACATCTTTCCAGTCATAATCCGGATAATCTGGCAAATACCATCCTTTTCGTCCCCGAACAGACCGCCGTTGTTAAGAATACCGCGAACAGGATCAGGAACATGTTCTCCTCCACAGCTTCCTTGAATTTTCCAGATTATTGTAGCATTGTAACCAACCATGCTTGCTTCGATAAAGCCTCTAGCACGCTTCTCATTGTCATCGTTGGGGTAGTCCTTTTCATGTCCAAGATTTTCTAACAGCATGGAAATCACATTGTCTTGTCCAATCCGGAGAGAAGACTTTGGAAAGTCGAAAGTCTTGTTTCCATAAGTAGAACCCAAAAATTCGCCATTAAACCAAACCGAATAAGCACTAAAAGCTCCTTTCCTATGTCCACCTACTCCATCCAACTTGATACCTTTCTCTGAACCGTTTGCAATGAAGTGCCCCCGGAACCATACGTCTCCGAAGTGGAAACCGTAATCGTCAACATACAGAACTGGATATGTAACTGGAGGAGTGATGCTATTGGTCGTATATTTATCCGCAATCAACCAACGAGAGTCATCAAAGTCTGGGAACCTTTCAGGCGAACCCATCTGGAATTTCCAGTTATTCAACTGCGGCAAAGAAATTTTAGGAGGACCTCGTATACTTGTCTTAAGACCGCCACAACCAGTCCTCGATAGCATCAAGATTTCGTCGTTAAACTGAGCTAGATTGAATGGTACTTCAGCATATATTGTAACTTCAGTATCCTTATCCACGTCACCACGAATAAGTAGGTCACCAAATTCGAGATCAATAGATCTAACCAAATATGGGCCGTGTACAAGCACTAGTTGACCATCGACTTCTCCTCTCCATAACGAAACAGCCAGCTCAGTGGTTACTATATATATCTTTAAGCGTTCTTTTCGATCGGAAGCTTCCACATCGACACACTGTATCCCATGGTGAACATAATTAAGTCGGAGATCGGACGAGTTATGGTCAAAATATGAGGTTATGTTGTCTTTTGTTCTGACTTTAGGTTCACCACGAGTTCGTACCACTGTCTCTCCATATTGACCTTTACCGGCATATAATACAATAACATCGGAATCTCCCATTCGTCCATGTGTGAGAACTTCTGAAGTACTATATATAAGATACTGGTTACCAAAATGGTAAAATGCAACAATAATTTTAGAGTCACGTCCATTTAACAAGATATATGTATTCTTCTCTTGAGGTACTGAGGAATAGTTACCCTTGCTGTCTCCAATAATTGAAATATGAGTGGTTTCGAAAGTGAAACCTGAAGCGTTCTCGTGTCTTAAGAAGTAGAATTGTGTTCCTGTCTCTAAGTCTTCTCTCATAGCAACTTGAACTTTTGAGTTGGAAGCAGGAGGAACCGCTGTGTGATTTGTCCTTCTAAACGGCTCCACACTATCTAGAAAATAGCCTAGAAACTTCAACTGAGGATACTTCTCAGTCAAAACTCTAGATTCAGCTATTGCTGCGCCGAAGTCATAGGAAGTATAGTCTCCTGGGTATGGAAGCCAACCCCAACTAGTTCCCCCATACACTACATAAATATTAAACATAGAAGCTCCTTGTTCCAAATTATTTTTATAGAACACATTTTCAAAGGAAGCGTTAGTCATTTGAGTACATTTTAAGAAACCAGGTCCGCCCCAGTAGTCCGTTGAGCCTCCTTGAAACTCTGGTAGATATTCTGGTTCATTCGGATTGAAGGCATGATGGTCGTCTTCAAAATATGTTGGTAAAGCACCCCAAATATCTGGATAAGTACAGTTGAATCCATTTGGATAAGCATCGATTCCATACAACTGCACATGTCCGGGGCCTCGAACCCAATGGTCTCCTGGATATGCATCATTGAAACTAAATGGAACATCAATACCGTCCAATCTATATTTTGCTTCTAATTGTTCCATATATAGAGGCTCAAGAGGGCCTACACTGTACTCATTCTCTACTTGCACCGCAATAATATTGCCTCCTTTTGTGATTTGATGTTTGTACAGATATGGGTTGAGGGCAGAGAGCCACTGCATCCAAGATGCTGTGTAATAAGGATTGGTAGATCTTGTTGTACCAGGAAGAGAAATGAGCCACCCAGGAAATCCTCCAGCATTGTTGTCTGAGTTGATATAGGGACCAGGTCGGGCTATCAAATAAAAGCCAAGTTCTTCAGCCAAGTTTAGGAACCTGTCGACATCTCGGATACCACCAAAATCATAGACATTGCTTCTTGGTGAGTGATAGTCCCAGTTGAAATACATTGTTATGGTATTGAATCCTGCAGCCCGGATCTTTTCAAATATATCTTTCCAAAGAGTTGGTGCTGGAAGTCTCCAATAGTAATAAGATCCTGAATATATAAACTCTCTTTTACCGTCTATTATTAACGAGTAGCTGTCCCAGGTAACATTTCTTGGTTTATAGCCTTCTGAGAATGTTGTTACATATCCAACGAGTATAAGAAGAAATAATATTTTTAATGTTGACAGACGTCCTTTCATGACAAAAAAGACAAGGAAAGATGAAACATCTACTGGAACTCTTTTCTAGACTTTTCAACTGTAATTACACCTGTTTTGTCTCATCGAATAGGCGTATAGTTTGGGTGAAAACACTTGTCCCATGGATCAGACATGAAATATTTCTCACTCACTTGCTATTCTGATTCTTCGTGGACAACAGGAGGCATCGATACTCTTCCTAGATTGAACAGTCGTCATCAGTGGCAAAATTGTCCTTTGGATGGGACACAAAAACAGACAATCAAGGCTGGTTGGATTCCCCTTTTGGAATGATTCTACAAGTCCTAATTTTTCGATTGTTTGAAAACTCTGCTGCATATGCTTCGATAGAACTTTTAGCTCTTTAAAAGTATTCCATTTTGTTTCAGTTCTTATTAAGATAGAGAAACTTTTATGTTTCTTAAACCTTCGGGTTATACTACCTCATTGCAAATTTCAAAAACAACTATGAATAATGGTCAAGAAGTACGATCATTTCAGGTTTCTAGCTCTTACAGGGCACTACACAAATTTATATGTAAAACTGCCATTGCAGAGATACGACTGTCAAGTTCGTTTTCGAGAAAGATATTGCTTAGTAATTTCGAAAAACTTGTAAATGGATGGACAGCGATATTAGTAGAGAACTAAAGGTGAAGGAATAATGTATCTCGAGGAAGATAGAGAAGGAGACAGGGGTACGTTCGTATGAAAAGGTCAGAAACGTTGTACAAGTCGGCAACTATGAGAATGGAAAAAAATTCAGTTTCTTTACACAAAACGTTATCTGTTCCGGTCATATTTTAGAAAAAGATGCTGCAAAAACCACAAACAAATAGGTTTATTGAGACCAAACACAAATGAAAGGATTCCAATGAAGGAATGGCTTCAGTTGTTGCAACCACATCGAAGATAACAATAACCGTCCGTAAAGTCGCATTTTGAACAGTTGCAATTGCATTGTAAACATTTACTGCAGTCGATGCCCGTAGCCTTGCAATTGTGGAACTGGCAAGTCTTACACTGTTCGAACTCTTGATACGTTGGGCTATAGACGTCTTCAACAGGAACTCCACCGCGATAGGAGCCATATCTTTCCAAAATGACTTCTCCTAATCCTCCATTGGTAGAATCCTCATTCCAAACAGCTATTGCAATGTCATTCCGTTGGTGATTCTTTAAGATGCCGGCAGGTACATAGAACAAATGTTGCGGCCCAAGATAATTAATGTAATGTCCCATCATCCAACCGTTTACAAAGATTAAAGCTCGATAACGGTAATATTCTTTGTCAATAATTCGCACCCCAATAGGAATGTCGTGATCATCCGGCAAATTTAATGAGAAATGTGTGCGATACCATTGAACTCCAGCTTCATTAACTCGATATGGTAGTTGTACTTGCTTCCAAGACTGATCTGGATATCCTGGAAGATACCATCCATGACGTTCTCCATATAATCCGCCATTATTCACTTGCCCTCTGACAAAGTCGACAATATCCTCGCCAGCAATATTGCCCTGAATATACCAGGTAATGTTAGAAGAGGACCCCACAAGTTGCGCTTCAATAAAGCCTCTTGGTCTCTTGTAGTCATCATTAGCATCATAGTCCTCATTATGGCCCATGTTCTCTAACAATATGGCAATAACATTTTCCTTACTAGTCAGTGTGGATGACGGAAACGCAAAAAATTTCTTGCCACTTGTCGAACCAAGGAATTCTCCGTTCAACCAAACAGAATAGATTCCATTTTCTCCTCCATCCCCATCTAAAGTAATTCCCTGTTCTTGACCAGACGAGTTGAAATGACCTCGGAACCATACATCACCAAAGTGAAAACCATAACTATCCATATAAAGAACTGGTAAAGTTACAGGTTTCGTTGGGTTATTCGTTGTGGTCTTATTTGCTAAGACCCAGTTAGAGTCGTCAAAATTAGGATATTTCTCAAAAGTTTCCATCTTCCACTTCCAGTTATTAAGAGTAGGTAAAGTAACCTGTCGAGGCCCAGGTACTTTGGCAACGTAAGAGTAACTATTTGTCTTGATAATTTTAAGTGGTTCTCCATTCCAATATATGCCGTCAACTGGAGAAGTAAATATCTCGATTTCTGTCTCCTCACTAGTATCCCCTCGAAGCATAAGATATTTCTTTTCTTCTGAAGGACTGGAAGGATGAGGAGGAGTTGGAGGACCTACGGGGGGAACTCCAACTGGAGGTTGTCCAGGAGTTGGTGGTCCTAACGGAGACACTTTGTGGGAAGTTGTAAACTCAGCTGATCTTAAAAGATATGACCCTCTGACGATGACAGTCTCATTTTGAGCATACTGCCTCCAATATAGGTGAGCTTGACCTTCTGTTGCAAATACCAATAACAAAGACGTATTATTATCTTCTACCTTAACCCTTGTTTCGTTTTCAAGAACATAGTTGAGTCGTAAGTGTCTCGTATCAGCATCCCAACTAATTTCTGCTGCTCCCTGAAGGACATGGACATTTGGTTTGGAAGAAAATTTCAAGACCAATTCTCCAAATTCATTCCTTTCTGCATAGAATATAAGGGCATGTTGTTTGTCCACCTTTGAATGATACATAAGCTCAGTAGTTGAATAAACCATGTTGAAGTCTTCTGTAGAATAGAATGCCAATAGAATTTTCGCTGTTTGTCCATTAATAACAATAGATGTATTCTTTTTCTGAGGAACAGTGTATTTCCCTCCAATACCACTAAATGTTATATTTGTGAGTTGCTGTGCTGTTGAAGTCAAATCGTTTTGGCGGATATAGAGAAATTGGGTTCCTGTATCAGGGTTTACCCTGGCTTCGAGGGTAAGATCTGAGTTACCAATCGATGCATTTGTGAGCCATTCAGTTTTGGTTATCGGCTTCACAGTTTCTAGCATATAGCCCAAAAGTTTCTGGGTTTGATATTTTTCGGTTAGTTGACGAGCCTCAGAAATAGCAGCACCGTAATCATATGATGTGTATACCTCTGGAAATGGCAACCAGCCCCAGGTACTGCCACCGTATGTCATGTAATAGTTTTGAAGAGAAGCGCCTTGAATAATATTAGATTTATAAAATATCTTTTCAAATTTCGAGGAGGTTAGCTTGTAACAATCTCCGAAACCAGTACCTCCCCAGGGATTGAAGGAACCTCCCTGGAATTCAGAAAGATACAGGGGCTCGGTAGGATTGAACTCATGGTGGTAAAGTCTGAAGTCATCTAACGATCCCATATATGTATAATCTGAACATGTAAATCCTTGTGGATAATTATCAATAGCGTACATATCTACGGCGCCTGGTCCCTTTGCCCAGTGACCACTGGGAGAGGCATCATTAAACGATAGTGGAACAGTAATGTTTTGTTCCCTTGTCTTCTGCTCAAGAAGTTCCATATATTCGGGGATCAAGTCACCATTTGAGTATTCATTTTCTATCTGATCTATAATGATAGTACCATTGGTAGTATATTGCCAAGGAACCATTTGCGAGTGAATAGCTCGGAACCATTGTTCCCATGCTGCAGTATAATCTGGCGCAGCCGATCGAGCTCTTCCCTTTATATCAACTAGCCAACCAGGAAACCCTCCAGCATTTGTTTCTGCGTTTATATAAGGTCCAGGTCTTGCTATGACATAAATGCCAGCTTCTTTCGCCATTTCTAACACCTTTTGCACGTCTCTAACTCCAAAGAAACTGTAAACCTCCGATTTGGGTGAATGGTAGTCCCAGTTGAAATACATAGTGGCGGTGTTGAAGCCAGCTGCTCTATATTTCTCATAAATGTCTCTCCATAAGCTAGGGCTAGGGAGTCTCCAGTAGTGCCATGATCCTGAGAAGATATACTGCCTTTCACCATCGATCAGGAAAGAGTACTTGTCATATCCAAGACGATCAGAAATATTATACTTCGGTACCCCTGTACCATTATAAGCACTGCCATGTTGCCAGAACAAAACAACAAGGAAGAAACCAAACAAATATGACCTTAGCATGGGGAAGTGAATGATGAGAAATGACTGGTTTCGCTTTCCTTTTAAAGGAGAACATTGTCTTATGGAATTGTATCGTTAAATGACTGTTCTTCTCGAAGGGATGTGAAATACTGTTTCATGAGCTGAAGGACAGAATCGACGTAATTCTCCAACCCATTGAGGGACCTTGTCCATTTGACAAAACAGGATATATCGTTTCGTCACACCCTTTCATCTTTCTTTGTGATAAGGACCTCCTATGAAAACTTCTAACTGCAATGGTATTCTCAAAGGCATTCCTATAAGTCTATTTGACTACTCCTGATGATTTTGAGTTGTATTACGTATTACGCACCGGTAGTCAGCGGTGCTCTTTAAAGTCCAAATGTGTCTCGTTTGAGTTTTGCGGTCGTATAAATTTTGAAGGATCTTTCGTCCGTCTTGATTCAACTTTTGAGAGCTTTTTTAACCAAGATAGTTACTGGAATAGAAATACATTATTCTAATGCATCTTATGATTTTTGTTTTTTCAGACTTGATAAAATCTATTAGTTACCTCGACTGTTAACATATCTCACAAATGTTCTCCAATATAAATTTAAGCATATTAAATTCCTTTGAGGAGCTCTAAAATCTACTTCTTTCGACTACAACAACGACAAACAAAATAACAAAGCACTGACGCCTTTTACCCCCCGACTCTCTATCTCTACCTCTTTAAATTTTTAGGGACTATATATTCATGCAACACGTATTGACTTGAAAACTAAGACTTTCGAAAATCGAGGTATAGCAGAACCTTAAATTATTGGAAGAGATCTAAAGTGATATATATATATATATATAAGCATATACCTAACAGAAGATGTATACAGGTTATCTAACTTTAATCCCAATCTTTTTCTACTAGAAATACAAAGAATACTTATCCGAAAATCATATATAAACTTCTCCAGAATATCAGGAAACTGAATGAAAACTTTATGAAAAATGGTTGTTATAAAAACGCCTTTAAGATTCTTCCATTCTTTTTTAGAAAGAAGCTTCACCGAAACAGTGTAACGAAGAAATCGCAAAAAGACGAAACTATTATGACTATCTTTCTACAGGACCACACACAAACACTATGAAACTCACTCAAAAAGTGATCTTACTCAGGCTTTTGATGGGCCCTCTGTATCGTAAACAAACTTTCTATACGTTATTAGTCTTCACTTCAAATATACTACTCGTCGTGACAAATGGTCAAGCCAAATATGCAATTTTGCTACAGCTGCCTTCGAATGTCCTTTTTCTGATCTAAATGGAACATCTCAACTGCTTCTGGAGGAAGTATTTGCAAATCATTATTACAAAACAGTCAACCCTTTGTATAGGACCATGCCAGTACTACCCATAGCAGAAATTTCTTCCCACTTCACTGCGCGATTTCATTTCATTTTTGTCTTGAAGATGCAACCTCGAAAGCTTCATGGACTTATAACAACAGCCACCCCCGACTCTTCAGAATACGATAGAAAGCCAGAAAATTGTCTAGTTGTGGTTGAGAGGGAAGTTCCTGATTTATCTGGTGCACAAGTGGGTAGAACTTGGTTGCTTGTTTGAAACTTATTCTGAATACTGTAGTTGCTAGTGAAAGTAAGGGCAACAGCTATCAATCGTGCGGACATAATGCAACGCCACGGTCGCTATCCTCCACCGCCAGGTGAAACGGACATTTTAGGTTTAGAATGTGCTGGAGAGATCGTAGAAGTTGGCCCTGGTTGTAAGAGAGATTGGAAGAGGGGTGATCGAGTGATGGCCCTGGTGGGAGGAGGAGGTTATGCTGATCTGTGCGTTGTAGAAGAAGCGTGTACAATTCACATTCCTGAGAATTGGACGTTTGAGCAAGCTGCAGCCGTTCCAGAAGCCTGGCTTACTGCCTCACAATTGTTGATGTTTGTGGCTCAAACAAAACCTGGTGATTGGGTTCTTATTCACGCCGGAGCTTCAGGAGTAGGTTTGGCTGCTGTTCAAATTGCCACCAAAGTAGTTGGCGCGAAAGCAATCTGTACCGCTGGGTCTCAAGAGAAGTTGAACGCTTGTATTGCAAGAGGAGCGTCAGAAGCACTAAACTATAAAGATGCTGATGGTGCTTTTTCAGAACGAGTATTGCAGATAACAGAAGGCCATGGAGTTGATGTTATTCTGGATTGTATCGGAGGTTCCATGTATGAGCAAAATGCTAAATGTTTGGCGATAGACGCCCGTTGGGTGATTTATGGCACATTAGGTGGAACTAAAGTTCCATCATTCGACTTGCGTGTTTTAATGAGTAAACGTGCTTCTATGTTAGCTTCGACGCTGCGTAACCGAGATTTATCTTACAAAGCTAGTTTGATTAAGGTCAGTATTTCGCGTTTATTGTATTTGTAGTTCTGAGTCCGTTTTCCATCAGAATTTGGAGCAATACATTATGCCCAGATTTGTATCAAAAGAATGCGAGCCTGTCATCGCAAAGGTATTTTATTCGTTGGAAAGCGTTCCAGAAGCACATCGTTTCGTGGAATCAAATGCAAACATTGGTAAAGTTGTAGTTTCTTTAACAGATGAAACCAGCAGCCTATGAACTTATCTATTTTCGTCGTCAATAAAAGTGTGAAACGATTGTATTCCTATTGAAACATTTTTTGACTATAGGTTACGTAAACTTATTAACTAAACTGAATTGAATTTGTTTTGCTAGCTTGAAGACAGAATTTGGTTCTGTGCATCATCAGAACTCCGAACAAAGCTTAACAGCATAATGTTTACTATACGTTCTTTTTAAAAGGAGAACAAAATTAGAACTTTTTACCGACTAGATAAGTGATTTTTTGGATACCAAAACAGTCTATTTGATCAACACATTATAACAATTGAAGCAGATAAAGGGGAAATTTCTACCCGTCGGAAAACTATTCTAAAAGATCAAAAAAAAGCAGTCTTAGCTTTCATTAGTTATGACTTGTTCCTGGATGCCTTGGGAGAGATTCGCATTGTCAACAACGCTTAGCCTCATTGAAAAATACAAAGGCTTATAGAATCTATCTATATGTCATATCATTTCATTTCACGTACATGAGGAACACAACGACATAACAAAATATGTTTAAGTTAAACGCTTCTTCTATCAATGCTATTCTGCGATATTTTGTATCTCAAACGCAGGACAAAGACATATCATATATAAAAATGCCAATTTACAAGAATGCAATATGGATAGACTAAGTATCTCTGCAATATTTCAGTTTCCAAAACAAACGCGAGAGAAGTTTTCACATATTGTTTGTGATTATATACACAGCGTCAACTCAAATATTCGCCCTCTGCTACAAAATTGAAAGAAAAAACTTCAAAATCAGAACATAAGGAATACACTGATAGCCCCATCCCAATAACTTCGCAGTATACTAGTTCTACACTACGCGTAATTGTTCAGTTTGTAATTCCACGGAACTTGGATTGAAAACGTATCCTACAGAGACAGCAAGTTAGTTTAAGACAGAATAAAAGTGCGGCAATAAAAGAGCCAAAGTTCAGAGTGGTTAAGGAAATTCATAAAGCTCAGAAGGTGGAACAAGCCTCGTTGTTACGCACAACTCTGAAGGTTCCTAGGAGCAAATTTAGAAAATACTCCTCTCTACCTCTGAACTTATCCTCTTATTCACGTTCATCATTGCCGACAGACAAAAAACCAAGAGAAAGAAAGTACTTACGTCCACGCTTCCGGCAATTCAACAGGTGTACAAAGTAAACCTTTTCTTTGCAAAATGTGCACGAAAGCTTTTTTGAAACAACTAGATATCATTCAACAGTTCCAAGTGTTCATCGTTTTTAGTGTGCTGTCTCTCACACAGTGAAACTTCAAACCTGAGGAGAATATATGGAGAATAAGCAGGGAAAACAGTTACAAACTCATGATTACCCCGAGGCCTATTTAAGCTTCTCAATCTTACAAAAGTTCGATAGTTTCTCAAAAAAGTTTTCATATACTTAGAATATCTTAACATGGAGTTGTACTTGTTCGCAAAACAGCCCAAGCTATAATATTGGATACAACATTTTAACTAACCCAAAAGAAACCAATACGTCAAAAGAAGGCAAGTTACAACAAAGTCTACGTCATTGTCTGTGTAAGTTACACGACACAAACTCTGACCTTTTCCCATCCAAACTAAGCAAGTCATAGAAACCGACAATTGCCATTGGCGACATGTCAACGGAGAACTTACTAAATGTTGTTTTTGGTGTTTTAGGTTCAGTAGCAATGTTGGTTTTATTTGTTCTCAACACCCTTCATTATTTGGAAGAAGACTGTTCGACGTACTTACTGGTTAACGCCCTTGGTGCACTTTTTGCTTGCTTGGCTGCTGTCTTTGTCAAATATTGGCCTTTTATCGCGTTGGAAGCCAGCTGGACGTTATTTTCTTTAATTCGCTTTGGCATCAAGATAATGAAACCAAGAAAGTAGTTGATAACGAAGCTGATACAGTTAAGGTCTTTTGGTATTGCAAGTTTTGTCGATACTCTCGCAGTAAGCAAGGAAGTGCTTGTCCTCTTGTCGGCCTCGCGGGTTTTTTGAAGAATCTTGTGTTTGGGAGTTAATAATACCGCATATCTTTTTGCTTCAAACATATATATTTGCGTTTAAAGCATATTGTACAGCTGTGCAACCAAACCTTTTTGAAAAAGAACAACATCCGTGTATTTCAGGACCAACGCTGTTTAGCCTCATGACCACTATTCTTGTAGTTTTTGGGACTATCGAAACTTTTGTTGTTTATTCTCGATTCCCTAGAATTGATAAAAGAATACCTTGTACTCTATGTTATTGAAATCGATCTTCTTCAGACATAGTTTATATGATGAACAATGCACTTTTGCCTAAATTTACCTTCCAATAGTCGAACAACTCGAGAGCTATTCAAGCTTGCAATTGTCAACCAATGGGGCGTTGGGTTGAAATCAAGGAAAGCCACGCTGCTAGAAACACTTTAAAACTTTGTATCTAGTCTCTCTGAGTAATCGAAGCTTTTCACAAGATTGCAGATATACTTAAACTCGTCTACATTAATTATACGAAATAATAAGTATTTGGTCTCAATTCTAGTCATTGGACTCAAAGGCTAAAGCTCTGATTCGGATTGGGCATTTTTCTGTTGGGAAAAACTGTTTGCGTGTTGTTCTCCTGTGGAATTATCGAGTTCGAAAGCTGCTTATTGTGTCACTGAATTTGGTGAAACTTCCCAACAAGCTTTTCAAAAAAGCTAGAGGTTACTAGAGCTCTTAGTTCTTTTTTGGAGTTTAAGGGACAATACTCCTTATTGAGAGCGCAAATTTCCACAGACAACCATGGCACAACCGGTACAACTAGAGGAAATATTATCTGTAAGTTTTGCGAGTTTTGTTTTTATTTTGTTGAATATTGAATACCTTTGAATATTGAATACCTCTAGTTAACGTCGTTGGGCATCAACACGGAATCCATATCTTTCAGCACCGTAACTATGGAATCGGACAAATACCTCTGCGTGAGGGAAGTTTCCGGTGGTAGTCAGAATCAAGTGGCAATTATTGACATACAGGATCCTGCCAACATCATTAGACGCCCCATAACAGCAGACTCTGTCTTGATGAATCCTGCCACCAAAGTGTTGGCGTTGAAGGCTGGAGTACAGCTTCAACTTTTTGATATCGGAAAGAAGAGCAAGGTGAAGTCTTATGTAATGGAGGAAGAAGTTTTGTTCTGGAAGTGGCTTTCTCAGAAAACTCTTGGTCTTGTCACTTCGCATTCTGTTTATCATTGGGATTGTAGCGACACAAGTTCAGAACCGGTGAAAATGTATGATAGGCATTCTACTTTGATGAATGCACAGATTATAAATTATCGGGCAGACGAAGATGAGAAGTGGTTAGTATTGATCGGATTGCAACAAGAAGGAGACAAGGTTGTTGGAAGGATGCAGTTGTACTCAGTGGAGCGTCGTGTATCTCAAGCTATTGAAGGCCATGCAGCAGCATTTTGTAAGTTTCAAATCAACTCAAAGGATCCTGGTACAAAACTATTTGTATTTGCAACTAAAACCTCCAATGCAAGTAAGTTTCACGTCATCGAAATTGGTCAAGATAAGAAGCCTTCGGATGCCCCTCGCTTTTCAAAGTGTGTTACGGACATATATTATCCTCCAGAAGCAACCGAGAAGGATTTCCCTGTAGCCTTACAGGTATCTTCCATGTATTCATTTGCTTATTTAGTCACAAGGCTAGGATACGTTCAAGTTTATGATTTAGAGAGTGGAAGATGTCTCTACATGAATCGCATTACAGAGTCTACTATTTTCCTTACGGCGGTACATACCAACACCGGTGGTTTTGTTGGTTTGAATCGAAGAGGACAATTGTTAGGATTTTCTGTAGAACCTAATAATTTTGTTCCTTACATTCTTGATTCATTGGGAGATGTTCAACTAGCTATCAAAGTAGCATCTAGAAACAAACTTCCCGGAGCTGAAGATCTATATGAAAGATACTTTGACCAACTGTTCAATGCGGGAAATTATAAAGAAGCTGCAAGAGTGGCAGCAGAGTCTCCTGGAGGAATCTTAAGAACTCCTGAAACTATTGCCAAGTTCAAGTCAGTCCCAGCTGCCCAAGGACAGCCTTCTGCTTTATTGTTGTATTTTCAAGCTTTACTGGAACGAGGTGCACTAAATCGTTTTGAAAGTGCAGAGTTGGGTGGTCAAGTTATTCAATTTGGTCGTACTCAGCTTTTGGAACGTTGGATGAATGAAGACAAGATAACTTGTAGTGAGGAATTGGGTGACGTTGTGAGGTCTTCAGACCCAAAGTTGGCACTTCAGATATATTTAAAGGCCGAAGCACACGGAAAAGTTATTGAGGTAATGCAGAAAGTGCAATCATTGGTTGTTTTGAGCAATGCTAACTTGATTCCAGGCATTTTTAGAAAATGGAGCTTATGATAAGATTTTAGTATATGCGAAGCGAGTCGGACTTTCTGTGGAACCCATGGAACTTATTCAAACAGCAGTTAACTATTCTCCTAAGAGTGCTCTTGACCTAGCTCAATATTTCTTGAAACAATTCCAAGAAGGTGGAGGAAAACCTTTGGATCATGCTGCCATTGCAGAAATGTTTTATTCTCGTGGTTTGATACAAGAAGGAACATCTTACTTACTTGATGCGTTGAAGGACGATCGTGCCGAAGATGCTGAACTGCAGACAAGACTACTGGAAGTTAATCTACTTTCCGCACCGCCGGTAGCAGATGCGATTATGGCACAGAACATTTTTCACTATTATGACCGAAGGAAGATTGCCAATCTTTGTGAGAGACAAGGTCTTTTCCAGCGAGCTTTAGAAAACTATAACGACCTTGATGATATTAAAAGAGTTATGGCAAATACTCATGCACTTAGTCCTGAATTTCTGATTGGATATTTTTCTAATCTTTCACCTGAAGATTCTTTAGAGTGCTTAAAGGAGCTTCTCAGAGTCAATCCAAGAGGGAATTCGCAGTTATGTGCTCAAATAGCTAGCAACTATGCAGATCAGCTTGGCCCTCAACGAGTGATATCCTTGTTTGAAGAGCGAGGTCTTACAGAAGGCGTATTTTATTTCTTGGGTGGTATAGTAAACTACTCGGAAGACCCCGACGTTCATTTCAAATATATAGAAACTGCAATCAAATTGGGTCAATTCCACGAAGCTGAAAGAGTTACTAGAGAAAGTAACTTTTATGATCCAGAAAAAGTGAAAGATTTTTTAATGGATATGAGACCAAAGGATCCCAGGCCTCTTATTAATGTCTGTGATCGTTTTGGATACATTCCTGAGCTGATCCGATATATGGTAAAGAACAATCAACTTAAGTTTATTGAAGGCTATGTACAACGAGTCAATCCAGCAAAGACTCCTCAAGTGATTGGGGCTCTGATAGATCTTGACGTTGAGGAATACTTTATCAAAGATTTGTTGCAGTCGGTGAAGAATTTAGTTCCAGTAGATGAACTTGTAAATGAGGTTGAACGGAGAGGACGTTTAAAGATATTGTTGCAATTTTTAGAAGCCAAGGTTGCAGATGGTTCTACGGAATCCTCTGTTCATTCTGCTCTAGCAAAAGTGTATGTAGACTGCAACATTAATCCTGAACACTTTTTAGAGACGAACTCTTATTATGATCCCCTGGTTGTTGGTCCTTATTGCGAGAAGAGGGATCCATATTTCGCATATATCGCGTATCGCAAAGGTCAATGTGATGATGAGCTATTGAGCGTTACCAATCGCAATGGATTATTTAAAGAACAGGCGAGATACGTTGTTGAAAGAGAAGATTCTGATCTTTGGGCTCGAGTTCTTTCACCAGATAATGAAAATAGACGCCAATTTATTGATCAAGCTGTGAATACTGCTTTACCAGAGCAGAAGAACCCAGAGAGAATTTCAGTCGCAGTAAAAGCTTTTATGACAGCAGATCTACCTCACGAGTTGATTGAGCTATTGGAAAAACTTGTTCTTCGTGGCAGTGGTTCTTTTGCCAACAACCGAAACTTGCAAAACTTGTTGATTCTTACTGCTATAAAGTCAGATACATCGAGAGTGATGGATTATGTTCGAAAATTGGATAATTTCGATGGCATGGATATCGCACCTGTCGCCATTGATGCAGGATTGTATGAAGAAGCCTTTGAGATTTATTGCAAGTTTAAGCAACCAGAGGCTGCAGTAGACGTTTTGTTGGAACAAATTGGAGATTTGAACCGCGCAACGGAGTTTGCAGAGAAAGTCAACTCACCAATGGTTTGGAGTAAACTTGGCATTGCAAGATTAGAACATGGAGATGTTGTTGGCGGTGTGAATGCTTTGTTAAGAGCTAAAGACCCTGCACCCTATCAAAAAGTAGTAGAAGCAGCGAGAGCAACAGATGGAGATCAATCGGCATTTGAAGCAGTCATCAAATTCTTACATATGGCGAGAACCAAAGTGAAAGATCTTGTATTTGTGGATACTGAACTAGTCTATGCTTTCTGTGTTTGTGACCGTTTGAATGAAATGGAAGAATTTGTTGCTGGTGCTAATTCTGCCAATTTAGAGGAAGTTGGCGATCGTTGTTTTGATGAGCAACGATTTAATGCGGCTAAAATCTTATTTAGTAAAATTGGTAATTTTGCCAAATTAGCACCCGTTCTTGTATGTCTTGGAGACTATTCCGGAGCTGTTGAAGCCGCAAAGAAAGCAGATCGTCTGAAGACATGGAAACTAGTTTGTTATGCGTGTCTAGAAGCTGAAGAACTTCATCATGCACAAGTTTGTGGTCTTCATATTATTGTTGAACCGGAAGAGTTGGACGAGATATTGCAGTTTTATCAAAATCTTGGCTATTTCGAAGCGGCTATAGAGCTACTAGAAGGTGGAGTTTCTTTAGAACGAGCTCATGCGGGCATCTTTACGGAACTTGGAATACTCTACTCTAAATATCGTGAAGAGTCTTTGATGGACCACTTAAAGATGTGGTGGCAACGTTGTAGCATTCCCCGTTTGATTCGAGCTACGGAGGCTGCTTCTCAGTGGCCAGAACTTTGCTTCTTATATATTCGTTATGACGAGTTGGATAATGCTGCTAATATTATGATGAATCACTCACCTTCCTGTTGGTCACATTCAGGTTTCACAGAAGTCATGTCAAAAGTCACAAACACTGAAATATTATATCGTTCGGTGGAATTTTATTTGGATGAACATCCCAACTTACTGAACGAGCTTCTTTCGTTGATTTCCACGAAAATCGATTCTGGTCGTGTAGTATATATTGTGCGTCGTGCAGGTGAACAAGAAATGGGTCCATTGGGCTATCTGCCAATTGTCAAACCTTTCTTAATGAAAGTTCAAGAGAACAATATTGCTACAGTCAATGAAGCACTTCATGATATATTTGTCGATGAGGAAGACATAGCTAGTCTTAGACAGTCCATCCAGAAATATGATAACTTCGACCAATCGGAACTTGCAAGATTATTGGAACAACACGAATTGGTAGAAATGAGACGTGTTGCTGTTGATTTGTATTGTCGAACCGGAAGACATGAAAAGGCATTAGAGCTGTGTAAGAAAGATAGTCTCTTTCGTGATGCTGTTGCAACTGCAGCAGACAGTGGAAATTCGGAAATGGCAGAGAACCTTGCGAGATTCTTTTTACACAACAATCGGCCAGAGTGTTTTTCATTCTGTTTGTATTCCTGTTACGAGATTATTCGTGCTGATGTAGCATTGGAATTGAGTTGGCAGCATCAAGCTACTGACTTCACTATGCCTTATATGATTCAAAAATTACATGATCTTACCTCGAGATTGAGCAGACTGGAAAGTGAAAGAGCTGCACAACTCCAGCGCAAGAAAGAAAAACAGCAAGCACAGGAAGCAGAAATTAATGAGGATCCTTCTATAGTTATTCAAGGATTACAACCAACCCAACAGACACCCATGCTGGGATATGGACCTTTTGGAAACGGACCTTCTGCATATTCCCAGAGTGGTTTACTTAGTTTACCTCCGGCACCTGGGACTTGGAACAGTCAAATGAACTTCCAGCCTTCTCGTTCTTCGTAATTTGAATGTTTTCCTTGGTAGAAAGAGAAGTGAAGATGTTTTGCAAATTTTTTCTTGAATAAACAGTTGTTGTTTGTGAAGTCTTTTTTCTAATGAGTTTTTGCAAGATGTGCGCATTAGAATATTCCTGCTCAAGTTGTACTACAAATAATGCATGTAAGTCGAATCTATTGTTGAAGCGACAGATGAGTGTTGTCAAGCAGGTGAAGTCGAAGCAAATGTATTCCTTTTTGTTTTGTTTCACACAAAGGGCAACGTAGGCTTCAGTCATACAAGACTAGTCGTTGAAAGATAGTGCAGAGGGACATGAACATTCTCCAGTGGGATGAATCTCGGGTTGTTGCAAGATTCAATATGCTAATGACTCATCAACATGCAAAAGAATTGTTTCAAAGACGTCTGCCAACAACAGAAACTTGGATACATACAGATATACATATAAATCAATAGAGGTAATCAATATATGCAAAGACCGGTCCTAACCGCGTATTCCATAGTACTTGTGGTACAAAATGCAATTTAAAAGACATTCAATTCCTTAAGAAAAAATGTGCATTTTCGCATTGTTGGAAAAGCTCATTGTCTTTGTATATCAGTTTTGAGTATTGTAGACAACTATGGGAATATTAGAAAGAATAAAAGAAATTGAAGAAGAAATGGCACGTACGCAAAAGAACAAAGCTACAGAGTATCATTTAGGCCTGCTCAAGTCCAGACTAGCAAGACTTCGTTCACAGTTATTGGAAGGTCCGAAAGGTCAAGGCAAGGTATGTAGCTCCAAAGAAATCTACAAGCTGATTCTAAGTGGAAAAATGGACTAGTCGGACGAGAAAGGTTTTGAAGTAGTCAAATATGGAGACGCTCGTGTTGCGTTGATAGGATTTCCGTCTGTTGGGAAGTCGACCCTCCTGTCCATGTTAACAAAAACAAAATCAGAGACTGCGGCATATGAATTCACGACTTTAACAACAATTCCTGGCATTTTGGAATACAGAGACGCGAAAATTCAACTTTTGGACCTTCCTGGAATTATTGAAGGCGCTTCTCAAGGAAAGGGAAGAGGAAGACAGGTTATAGCAGTGGCTCGGTCTGCAGACTTGATCTTGCTTATGTTGGATGCCACAAAGGCTGAAGAACAGCGAATTCTTCTCGAAAGAGAGCTTGAAACAGTGGGTATCCGATTGAACAAGAGACCTCCGAACGTTTATTTTGCCAAGAAGAACACGGGAGGTATTTTGTTTACAGCAACTGTTCCTTTGACTAGGATGAATGAGAAGATGGCTTATATGATATTGCATGAAGTACGATAAGTTTCTCAGCCATGTATTTGTCTCTAAATGTTTAGATAGTATCGAATCCACAATGCGGAAATATTGATTCGTGAAGATATTACTGTTGACGAGTTCATCGATGTTGTGGAAGGCAATAGACAATATATCCGTTGTCTTTATGTATATAACAAAATTGACAGCACTACAATTGAACATGTTGATAGATTAGCTCGTATGGATAATTCGGTGGTGGTTTCGTGCGAGTTGGAACTTAATTTGGATTATTTGGTTGAGAAAATCTGGGAATATTTGCAACTAGTAAGGAAGGCTGATACTATTGTTATTCATTGTAGCACTCACTCTTTTGTAGATACGCGTGTATACCAAAAGACAAGGAAATCCTCCAGACTTAAAAGAGCCTCTTATCTTAAGAGAGGATTCCACAGTAGAAGACGCTTGCAAAGCGATTCATCGGAGTTTGGCAGATCCTACACAATTTAGATATGCACTCGTGTGGGGTCGAAGTGCAAAGCATGATCCCCAGAGAGTTGGATTGACACATCCGTTACTAGACGAGGATGTTTTGCAAGTTGTTAAGAAGTGAAAAATGAAATTAAGAAACCAGAATAAGAAAAATTCATTTGTTTTCAATACTAAAGACAAAAGTTGATGTTATCGCTCTTCAATGGATATAGAGACGGTATTGCTTTTACAAGGTTGGAATAAATCATACTCGAATATTGCTCCATATGTGCAACATGTACCAAAAAGTTTTCCAAGTTTTTCATGTAGCATTTACAATCAATTTCTTGTAAACGTATTTTGCTGCTACAAGAATTGTTGCCTGTATGATGGTTTGAGTGTATTCACACTTGCCGATAAATAACTTGAGAAAATGCAGTGAAAGCTCAGTGAATGGAAGCACAGCATGAGATTCAAAACTTTTATAGCTTTTTTAGTTACTTGATTATACTTTCATGCGTTACATGTTTTCACCAAGAACAGAATGCCACTATATTCTATAGCCAATTCTTGAATTATCAACTTAATGGTCAGAGTATATATATATCTCTTTACTTTGCGTAAACAAGAGTCAAGGAGTGTTTCGCATGGTTCACTATCGTCACAAATTTTTGTCTAAAGAAGATCTTTGCCCTTATCCACAATAAGCTTCCTAATAACAATTTCGATTGGAAATAAGAAAATGGCCCCGTTATGTAACTCTTTAAAGCACTATGCGGCTTGTCAAAACAACAAGTTATTGTTTGCTTTCCTGTCAACATCCCTTCCTTTAGAAAACATAAGACGGAGTCAAAAGAATCGTAGTACTTGTCTGGCTGCAAAAAGGTTTCATCGACCTTTACGGAATTTGGCGCACTCCTGTACACTTGAAATGAGGCAGTATAAAAGTCCAGAAGACAACTCAGAGTGGATGGATAACTGGTACACTGTATACAGAACTGTAATGCCTGCGGAAACTGATTATGGTGGAGTTGTATGGCATGGAGAGTATTTTAGGTGGCTGGAAGAGACTAGAATTCGAGCCTTAAATGCTTTGGGCCTGAATTACGTGAAAATTGTTGAACAACTCAAGTTTGAGTTTCCAGTTGTTCAAATAGAGTGGAAATACCTTAAACCTGCAAAGCTGGGGGACTTGGTTTGTACTCAGGTTGCTTTCAAAAGGGCTGGAATTCGTTTGATTGCCGATAGTAGAATATATAGAATTGTATCGAGCAACAGAGAAGAAAAGGAACTTTGTGGACAAGGGAAAATTTCTTTGGTTGTTGTGGATATGACTTCGCGGCAGGTTGTAAGAAACTTTCCAGAACCCTTACAAAGCCTTCTGTCCGGAGTGGAGAATTGAATTTTGTTATTTGGGAGATGTATTGCTTGAGTGGTTTTTGTACTAGTCTTTTGCCAATGCGGTTGAACAAAGAGATAAAATTTTTTCAAGTTTTGCACAATAAATCCTTGGAAAAGCATTTCCTTGGACTTTCTAAGGACTTTCATCGCCCCCGAGTGTTAAGAGGTTTTCTCCGAACATATCGTTACTCAATTTTAGTTGCAAAGAACGATTGGCGTAGTTCAGGGTTGGAGGGTGGTGTTAATCTCACTGTAGATGGAGGTGTTCAGAAAAAGTTACTTAAAGAAGGCTCGGGTGATTCTGTCAAGTCTGGTTCCAGGGTTGCTGTTCATTATACAGGGTATTTGGATAGCGGACTTGAGTTTGATTCCACACGAAAGCGACAGGAACCTTTTCTTTTTGTTGTTGACAAAGGGCAAGTTATCCGAGGTTGGGATATTGCCCTCCTTTCTATGAAAGAAGGAGAAACAGCGAGAGTTCGATGTTCTCCTAGTTACGCTTACGGGGAAAAAGGTGTTCCTCCAAGTATTCCTCCAAACGCGTTTCTAACCTTTGAAATACAAGTAGTGAAAGTTGAAAGATTCTCAGATGTTCCTAGTACAAACAAGGATAGTTCTACAAAGAAGTCTACTACTAAGATTGCTTCCAAACCAAAGGACGAACGAAAGCCTGTTCTGGAAAGATTTTACTTTATTTCTCCTTTTGCCAGTCAAACAGGAGAACGAGCTCCTTGGTGGCTTAACCCTATTATAACCTTTTCTATTATCTTTATTTCTGTAGCAATAGCCTTTACCATTGTAGTTCAAAATGGGGCTTTGCATACAAGCTATTTGAAGAACATGTAATATTCACTTTTTAATTAAAACATATGTAAAGCTTCCAAGGCAAGCACATTTCATTTAATGTCTTATCAATAACTTTCAACTTACAAAGGAAAACATGGCCAACCTGAAGCTTCAGTATAATTATGATACATGCTGAACTTTAACAAGATGTCTACACCTGGGTCTGTTTCACTAATAGAGAGCATGACATCAAAGGAATGAAATGTCTCAATAACAGTCCTTTTCACTGTAACCTCGACATGACGTTACAATTGACAGTAATTGGGTAACAAAGCTTAGAAAGAAAGTATTTAACCTGTAGCAGTCGCTACAATGATATTCCAAAGATCTAAGGATCGAACACCATTCCTTATTTCAAATGGTTGCAACCAGATGATTCTTCAAAAAAGACAATTTCAGTTGGAAGCGGTCACAATTGTTTTTTTAGAGAAGTTTAAGAGTCAAAAGAATCTAGAAGAATTTTACTAGCAACTCTACCAGTCTCTCGTAGATATATAATTCCCAAGCAAAGTGACGTTTTCTAGTCCTGTCCTGCTAACCATAGTAGCAGAGCTTTCAATCCAACATTGCGTGCTGACTTTGCTGTGTTTCCAGACTTGTAATACACAGGGGAGGCAAAAAGTCGCCTTCCAGAATAGGAGCTGAGCAGCTTCACTCGTATGCTCATAGTGTGCAGTTTTGACTAACTTGTCTTCAAATTTGCTATATTGCGAGGGCAGCTCTATTATCCTCCATGTTCCTCTCAGTAACTGAAACTTGCAGCTATACTTCAAACTACCTGACAAAAATACAATTTTCAAATGAATGGATACCGAACCGTCATATTTTTGAGTGAAAGTATCCAACAAATATTTTTTGAAAAATTCAATTCGGTTCTGCCATATAAGCAGAATCAAAAGTTTGCCACAGTCAATATCTCCCAACAAAATGCTGTGTCGGATTGCTCAACTAACCTTTAATTCTTCTATTATTTGGTGACTTCTAATAAGTCCTTTTGCGTCTCATGTGAGAAAATAGTCCCTCCATATTCTACTTTTCAGTCGACAACTCTGTTACCTTTCAAATAAAAGCCAATGCAAGAAAACATAAACTAAACACATTCTGTCTAACAAATGTGGAAAAATACAAATTCTTCGGCAAACATCTGATAAATAAAGGTTAACGATTTTCCAAACTAGGAACTCATGTCTGGTTTGGAGGTTTCAACAGCATTTCCGAGATCTTTCAGTGAAAACTGTGCGCTACCTCGCTTCTTGGGTTGTTGTTGATCAGGATGTGGTGACCAACCAATCATATAAACAACATGAATAGATGCAAAAATATATCCTTCATCATCGGAATACTGTTGTCTATATAGTTCTGAGGCCAGTTGGAATGCCTCCTTCCCAAAATAACCACTTTTCCATAGAAAACTTCAACAATCACTTTTATGAAAAGCTTTCAACTCACCCTCGCAAGCAATTCGCATTATTTTCTCCGGTTGCTTGAAGAAAGCGCAGTAGTTGAAACATATCTTCAAACTTAACTGTGAGACGATCGGTATCTATTGTAGTCAACTTGAAGCCTCCTCTAGATAAAACCGAACCAACATCGCTCGTTTGAACAAAAGGCGACACTCGAGGACTCAAACCGCCGTGGACTTGCTCTTCAGCCAATTGCAAGCATACTCGAAGTTCATGTAAACTGTCTCCACCAAACATAGCGCCAAGGAATAAGCCATCGGGCTTCAAAACTCTATTGAGTTGAGCCAAAAAGCCTGGAAGGTCGTTAATCCAGTGCATACTTAAGCAACTGATAGCCATATCAAAAGAGTGCTGCTGAAAAGGCAAAAATTCCTCGACCGACACAATTCCTATTGTCTCTATTCCATCTGAAGAAGTTATGAGACTTGTTCAAGGTTGTCCTCACACAGCTCTCTGAAATATCAGTTTCTACAATTCGCTTAATGCCTGGGAAATCAGAAAGAGCCTGTCGAACGTGCCCGTATCCACAACCAACGTCAAGTGCTGTCTCCAAAGCTCGTGGAATGTCCTGTAATTGTGTCTCAAAAAATTTATAAAAGGAGCCTTTAAAGTTCGTTTCCTACGTTCAAACGTTCACAAAGTCTATTGGCCACTTCCTTATGAAGAAAATAACAGCCTTCGTCAAAATTTCGAGCAGCTCGTTCTCGTTGTAGTCGCTTCAGTTTTCGATCGAATACTTCGTGAATCTGTCTCTTTGGCAATATTCGGATACTTATTCTACTCCTGTTGAACGTTACAGCAGTTAGCCATCTAAACATAGTCATTCGACAACATTCAATTAAATTTTATTCCAAGGACAATGTGATTAAAACTACAATTAAGCCATTCAGCTATTTGTCACTTCTCTTGTTCTATTACTTGTTTGGCTAGCTAAAACACTAAACGGATACAGATCACCGAATACCAGTTCTAGACTTTTAGTCCTCGTCCTATCTTATCAGATGAAATACTTTGGGAAAAGTTCCTAGAAGACCCGTGTGTAGCCATCTCTTTTGAGTCGAATCGTATTCCGATGGCGAATTCGATGCGAATTTCGACATCATACTCCATATTGGCATTGTTCTTATCAGTTCCAGGAGTTCTGGGACCCATACAACTATAATTGGAGCTAATAAAATACAGGTTGCCAGGGAAAAGCTCTGAGTGTTCATCCTTCCATACTATTATATGGCATATATACATACCAGACCAAGTTCCAGGGCCTCCATAAGTCATATAGGGAGTCATTATCATATTGGGAAATATTATTCCTTGTCGAGTTGGAAACATGGACGTCATATTCATACCTCTAACTGTGGAGTAATAACTTTGATAATATTCTCTTTCAATTCTCTTGCCAATTTACAATCATCTTACCTTGTAAGTTTTCAAACTGTGACGGCGTATCCACATCATGCCATTGTTGTTGTAGGGTTTCTCGAAATGGTAGCTGCTGAGGAAACTTGCCTTCCTTCGAGAAGGACGTAAGTAAAGTTTTGTTCTTCGTCACATTTGTTACTTGCATAGGAGGAACAAGACTTTGTTCTGAAGAAGCAAATCCTGAAGAATGCCACTGCTGACTGATATTCACTCCACTCAACAACTCCAAAAGATCATCGTTTGTCGTCTTCAATTTTTCTAAAGATTGTTGCTTGGAACTGACTTTTAAAGCATTGTCTGTGTAAGAATCATGTGAATCTGATACGATACAAAAAAGGCATCAATACCATTTGGTGGTTTGGAGCACTCCCGGATTTCCCTGTAGTTCCACTTAGTGTTGTATTCTCTTCATCACTAATATCATCAGAATGAATCATCGTAGAGCTAAGAAAATCCTAATTTGGATAAGAAAGGCACTTGAAATGTAAAACTCTTTATCTGGAGTGATGCTCTAATTAAGCAGCTTCCTCATCATAGTCATCGTCAACCCCCTTTTTGCGGTTCAATGGATTTGCGAGTTGCTACCACATGCGATCTCTTCTCTGAGGCAGTGTAGAAAACTCTTCATCCTATTTACAAACTCGTGAGGAAACTCAATGCCATTGGAAACATTTCACATAATCTAAAGGAGGGTGTTCCAAAGAAATATTACTTTCTGTTGCTCAAAGACTTTTGTATAACAAATACTTGCTATCAAACAAATATCGATAGCCTACCGATTAGCAACAGATCAGAAAGCATTTACTTTTTTGATCAACTCAATATGAGTGTGGTAAATTTCAAACTTGTTTCACAATGACTCTTAGATAATGTGAAGAAGTTTTCCTGTTCCTGAATCTCAATTCCTTGGGTTAACTAATAGAAAATTTCCATTATGAGGTACTATCCAACATTACGCCAAAAGCATATCGGTTTAACGAGTGGCATCCTTTATAAGTCTATCTCCATAACTCCTACCGTCAAGTCATTGTGTGACTCTTCAGCTCGTAAGCAAACATCAGTCAGGATATCCAGTTATAACGATCTTAAGAAAAGCAAATATAAGCTTCTTGCGATGTTCCTGATTCTCCAAAGTAGGTTTGACTTTCAAAACTTGCATCAATTCAAAAGTGACGATTTGACCAGAAGGAATAATCTCATTTTCTTGAATAAATAGTGCCTTTTCCTTCTTACGTATGGCATCCCGTATAGTATCATAAGAAGCACCTTAAACCACAGCTATTGAGAGCTATGTATAAAAATGAATTCACAACAATATACCAAAGTTCTTATTGTTACAATTTGTTCTTGAAGGTAGCGTGCAAATAGTCTTACATATAAAGAAAAGTCGTATACGCTAACGCGTCGTGAAACTCTTGCAAGTTAAAGATAAACGGTGAATGTGGTAAAAAATCTACCATTACTCCACTACCTTCATCAAGTAGGATGTGGCTTAACAGCAAGGATTTCAGAACGACCTTGAAGTGTCAACAATCAACCAACTCCATGCACGCTAAAACCAATAGAAAGCTTACAGGCCACTCTCTAACTGGAAGATGTTGTTGAATATACTTCAAGACTTTGTGAAAACCTCGCGAACAATAGTGAATGAAAGCATTGGGATAGGAAACAAACTTACCACACTTGGGATTGTGAGATGACTGAAGTAGAAACGTGAAGTCGATTATTCCTGTGAAACACAGGTTTAAAACCAAAATTTTAAAGCTGTTAAACTTAATCTTGACATTTTTCATTCGAGGTCTGGTTTTCTCTTCTAGAGTGGCTTCGGTCACTAATCTTTTCAACTCGTTCACAGTCACATCGTAGTAAACATGCGTGCAGAATCCATCGCCTTCCTAGTATACTTTTCGACGCTTATCCCTTGATTCAGTAACACAAGCTTTTCTCTATTTTGGATGGCTGCAAATTCGTCCTTTCTTTGTTTCTCACTTGTGTTTCACCACCAGACAAGACCAATGAAACAAACTTCAAGGCAGCAATCAATTCAATGCAAACGACACAGAATTTGTTAAAATGTTTACAATGTCTGCAACAGCCATCTAACTATATTTTGATAGATGGAAAGATAGGAGTGTTTAATTTCAAAGGTAAAAATTCTGCAGTATTTCCTTAAATTGTATGCATTGTCAAAGAGACTGTAAGAAAATAAGTTGTTATCCGATTACAAACTCATTAAAGCATTTGTTTTGGACATGGAAAGATCTTATCCCTTGTCAAAGTAGCAATATACAGATTATATAATAATCTGCTGTCTATGACTTTTGTTACTCACATAAGAAAAGTGCTATATTTTGATTTTTACAGGAGGAAATATGTTTGTTATTATTGGAGATGACACAACAACACCCATTCTGGTTTCTAGTAAAAGAGAAAGGAAAAATTTTCAAATCCTTTGTTGCTAATATCTTGCAATTTGGTTATAGAATAATTTTGAAGAATAAGTCACATCTAGTCTGATATCTTAGATTTTAAAGGTGAAAATCTAGTTCAATGGGAGTAGAGATTTCGTCAAACCAGTTTGATTACTTGTCATCATGGAAACAACGCAATGAATGCAAGGAATAATAAAGGCAGCTCCTTGTTACCAGAATTTTAAGAGTAAATTTTCATTTTTGATAGAAAATGAACCCGCCATGTCTTTTGGTATATTCTCTGAAGAAGATTTTCAGAAAACCAATTTATCACATCAATCCGTGTCAGTTGAAAGAAACATGGTATGGACACGAACAGCGGTACAGAGGGCTATGCAGTCGACTCGAGAGCTCAACTAGCTGAACAATTACACAAATCCGAAAAGGAATACCAAAGTTTGTTATCATACCTTGAGTCCCAACAGGCAGCTGGAAACTCAACACAACGAGCTTTCCTTCCGTTAGGGCCTCTTGTATATGCAAGCGGTGCTCTCAAACCTTGTGGAGCGGTAAAGGTGATGGAGAACTGCATTTTTTGAAACTGAAATTTGCTGTAGGTATTGGTATTGCTAGGAGAGAATTATTTTGCTAGAGTTACCTTGGAGCAAGCCATGAACATAGCCCATAGAAGAATAGCCTTCATTCAGAGAAGACTGTCAGAATTGAAAATAGATAAAGTTCTTTCAGAACGGAGTGAACCTGTCATAAAAAAGCAAGAAAACGAAATTTTATTAGATCGTTGGACCAAAAGCATGCAACTTCTAGAGCGGTATATGCAGGCCGAAGATGTTGTCAACTTATGTGAAGAGTACGATGACTCTGTTTCGAAGGAACCAGTTCGCGTTTTCGGTTTGAAGAAGGATATGCCTCTTAGGAAAATAGAGCAAGAAGAGTTAGAGGAAAACGTGGACTGGAGTAGTCTCTTGGATGTGTCAGGTTTAACTGCGGAACCGAGTGGACAAAACCAAAAGCTTCCCGAATTCGTTTGGAATGACTTGAGACAACTTGAAATAGCCGAAACTTCTAGTTTCACGGGAGATACAGTTGAAGACTCAACTGGTGCCAATATAGAAGTGTTTTCCTATCTTCCGCACCAGCAGAAACAAGTCGAGGTTTCTTCGCAAGTTGAGCAAAAACTATCCACCAATCAACATACTACTTCAGGCGTTGCTTCAAAGAATGCTGACGAACCTCAGTCGACAACTTCTCAACGGAACTCGTCTAAAGAAACTTTTTCTGGACTAATCAAGGAAAGAAAGCCTCCATCAAGCTAATCGAAGGTGTTTGCTCAATATGTTCGAATTTTTCCAAAGCGAATTCTATGGAAGAAGGAATATTTGGAAAATGTTTTTCTCCAAAGCAAAGTGACAGAGAAAGACATCCTTTTGGGATAAATGATAGTCATTTATTGACCGGTCCTTTTTTGCCAGTGAAGTTGAAATATCTCTTTATCTCCTCAGTTTTATTTGCGATAGCATTGATGTAAACTATTAGAACTGTCCGTGGTAAATGCTGAGACGAATACTTTTCATACACGAACTCGAAACTGCTCTGCTTCAAGATTTTAATTAGGTTCCTACAGTTGGCATCTCTTTTGTGATGCTCGCTTGACAAATCGAACTACCGTGTTCGCTTCTATATCTACAACACAATCAGCTCATAGACAAGTTGTTGAGAAACAACATTGCAAGGTAGAGCGTTTAGGTGAGACTTTCGCACTGTTTCTTGGGAATTACCAGTCTCGTAGAGTTTCGCATAAAAATAGCCAACAAGTTTCTCTACTTATTGTAGTCAAAAAGTGCTGCAAATAGACTATTTTTATGTAGCAAAAGGTTGGAAATGCAATAGATATTACGAAGTGGTAGTTAGTCCAATGCCCATTGAGTACGCAGAATCCCAAAAAATTGGTTATGGATAAGAAGTCATTTTGGTTTTTGTGGATAGCATTTTTGGCAACTGTTTCAGCTAACCCAGCTGTGTTATTAGAGGACAACGCTTTGGCAGAAAGTGGAAGGAAATCCACAGTATCCGGCTTTGAGTTGAAGGGAGAGGATGTAGCACCGAACTTTGGGTTATTTGAAAGCAGCTGTCCGGGAAGATTCGGATTCTCGATAGCAACTGATAGTTCAGAGAAGAACAAAAGTGGCTTGGTTGCCATCGGTGTACCGGGGAGGGACGCCGTTCTTATATTGGAACCCAAAGGTGACACCTCCCAAGGAAGAGTCTTCGCAAACAATTGGATTGTGGACGTCGACTTGCACTCAGAAGAGACAAGAAGCTGTTATCAGCAGAAGGAACACTTTGGCACAGCTGTCGCACTATGGGGTAATTGGATAGCAATATCTAGTGTTGTAAAGGGCAGAATTGATATATACGAGAAATCAAGAGACGGAACGAGATGGGATAACAAGGGACATATCGATGGAACTATAATTGAAGGCTGGAATGAAGATTCAGAGTATGGAAAAAGACTTATATGGTTCTGTAAAGAAGACAATCTCTTTTTATTGATATCAGCACCCAAATGGTATTGTCCAATTCGCCACACATTTTTTAGATGGTTATTTGGTAGGTCTTATGCAAGACATCACTGTGGCTGCGTGTTTATGTACAAGTACATTATTGGCACAAATTCTTGGAAGCATATTCAAACAATTAATCCTCCTCAAGAATGGAGTGTTGAAGCCAGTGTTTCTCTCTCTTGGATATCGTTCGGAGAAGCAGTTAGTCTTTGGAACGATAGTTATTTTGCAGTTGGGGCTCCAGGTACAGCCTGTTGGAAATACAAGGATACTATCGAGAGAAGAAAGCGTTATTGCGGTTCTGTATTTATCTATAAGTGGGAAAAGGAGAAGTTGAATTATCACATGGAAGTTCAACCTCATGATATGGAAGGAGGTGATGCATTTGGGTCTTCTTTAGTGTCACTTTATCCATTTTCATTGGCAGTTGGCGCTCCTAGACAAGATTGCTACGACGGACATCTCGCGAAGAGTAGTTGTGGAGCAGTTTATTTAATAGATGGTACTCAAGATATTTTATCTGCTAGACTCAAAAATATTCAAAGATATAAACCCGATGTTCAACTAGGAAGTTTTGACCTGTTTGGTTTTGCAGTTGAAGCTCCCGAAAATGGCAACTTCTTACTTGTTTCAGCTCCTGGTTCATGGCATGAAAGAGGTACTGTATTCCTACTGAAGCGAGCAAGAGGTAGTTTTGCATGGACAGAGAAGAATCTTTCAATGTCTCGTTGCTTATGGAAGGAAAGTAGGCCGTTTTCCAATTTGGGTTGGCAAATTCGGTTGATAAACTATGGGGAACAGTATTGGTTACTGGCTGGCGCTCCTTTTGCTCGCTTCCAAGAAGGAAGTGTCTATATTGTTCCGTTCCTAGATTGATGCACTTTGGATTGCACTAACTACCTACACAAGTGGTAGGATTCGTTTTAATTTAAATTCATAGGATACGATAGGCGTGAAAGTTGGTTAAGAAATCCCCACAGTGTTAGGTTTCATAAAGAATTACTTCTGACTTCGCAAATGGCTTGTCGAACCTTTTCACTCAAAATAGAGCACAACCTCATATTTATCCAGGAACCTTACTTATCTTTACTGTGGCAAACCTTTAAAGCAACTCTGTTACACGAATGACCCAGGTTATCGTTGCCCTGTCTGCTTTCTCTACAACATCATAAAAAGGTGACATCAAAGCTTTGGCATCGATATTTGTTCAATACTAGTACCACTTGTGACAAAAGTCTGAAAGAGATGCTGTTAACAAGGCTTCAAACATCGATAACGTATTGACACTTTGTACATACCAATAAAGAACTGACGCTTTAGAATGTGCATCTGCTATACTAGAATTGGATGAATGACTATTCTCAATAAAAAAAGACCTTACGATGACTATTCAACTATATAATAGAGGACTGTTTGCGTCGTTAATACTAG